TGGTACCTTCTTTGAGATTTGCCGCAAGCTTGAGCTAGCAAGAAATGATCGGGATGTTGGTTGGCTTACAGTAAGCTTGGGCTGCAGCGCATTTCCCCAGGCGCCACTGTACGCTATGCTGCTTTGCGGCGCCTATCTTGCTAGGATTAAGCTTATTGGAGTAATCTGTGTTCATGCTGTGATATATGCGAAATGGTACAATTGCCAACGCTCTCATCGTAGGAATCTCGCTGCGTTCTTGTCGCTGCAGTGGCATTCATAGCAAGGAACGCAGATGTGAGATGGTCGTACAATTACGCCCCTAAATCGGCTTCCGGTCCTCATTATATTCGATAACGCTAGTAGTGAAATGCTACACGAAGACTCTCTAGAGTACAGAGCTGCATATACAGTCAGTGAGTGCTGGTCAACGCAAAGACTGCAACATGACTGCAAAGAAGGGGAAGACAAGACTTCTGCAGTTTCGAAGATGTTACGTGAATTGCTTCTAAAGCCTGTTGTGGAAGTGTTGCGGAAGCACTGAACGATAGAGAGTGGCCACTGGCCCCGGACCAAGGGAATGAAGATATCCAACCGACGCCAGCCACCGAGGATCCGGATATTGACTCCTACCCGGTACATTTCAGTAATCTCTCAAGCATGTTCCTTGATGTTGATGGTGATGCACGAGTATTCCTGGATAGGGCAGTAGGAAAGATATCATGTAGAGCTTGTGCTCACTCGGAAGCGCGCTCATCTCCAAGAGCTCAGGAATGATTGTGTAGATAATGGGAAGGAATGGCGTTTCCCGGTAGTTTCGATATGACAGCTTATGCGTGTTTAACATGACAGTTCTGAAGGTTAACACTGACACTTGATGGGTATTGCCTAACAGATCTGATGGCCATGTCCTAAGCGACTGACATCTCCTGATCTACGAGTTCCTTGAGACCGGGCGCAAAACGTTGGAGACCATATTGTCACGCACGCGCTGGACCAGTCAGCTGTTCATCGTCGTCAATATTGGACTCACAACCACATAACCCCCACGCTGCTGATACTTACGTTCTCGCCAAGGCCGGCCTTGCCTTTCAATGTTCTTCTGCTGAGGTAATACAGCTCTGCTTCCAGTGCACCAAAGGCCCGTTCCGACCGGCTCCCTGCATCAGCTGCATCTCTGCCTCGAAGTAACACATCGCCCTGGCTCCCATTATTCCCCAGAAGCTCGTGGTCCATATGCAGCATACTCTTCCGGAAAGCTGCTGTGAGCGTATGCACACGTTTTCATATGCAGACAGGGCGCCCTGGCTCCCGACATTCCCTTGTTTTGCTTGTACCCGAACGGTTCATTAGGGCCCGATAGCAAGCGTTGTACGACTGCGCTTGTTTTTGCCACATGAAGTCGAGGTTACAGGGAGGCTGAACTGGGGTTTGTAAGATGCATTTCCCTATATGGTGCTTTAGAGATTAACAGGTTCAGGAGTGGAAACGGTGATTGACGGAAAAGCAAGACATACGAGAACAACATCGGGATGCTGAATAGTCGGGATCAACCACCGAACGTGAGGTGGGCAGATAGCCATCTACAATGCAGGGGAAGATGCATATAGACGGACATGTCCGAAACCATAATCTCTGAGTGAAAGTATGGAGAGCTGAGTGCCGGGGTCGAAGCGCCCATGAGGCTGTGTGACCTTGAAGAAGGGAAGTGGCTGCAGGATACATTGCCACCCATGGCCAAGCTATTCTCGTCTTGTCACTCAGATGCCGCAGGTCTGCGAACTACGTACATGAGACCGACCCATTGGACGGAGCAGACGTACGAATGTATGGCAGTCTCGAAGGGGACGTGTTCCACAATGGTCGCGTATAACTTTTCATCTCGCCTGAGCAGCAGCAATCTGACAGGATACAGGTGGGGTTGCTTGCCTGTCAAAGTGAGACATGCACTAGGCAATACGAGCGGTACGTACCAAGACAGACGAAAGCGTGGCATCCGAACACATACACCATAAGCCTTGTGTCGCCTACTCGTGAAGAATACTATATTCGCTGCACGGTCTTCCCATTTCTTACCTGGCTTCGCGCTTAGATTCAAGTGCTGTGACAAGTATGCAGAAAAGGATTCCGCCACCATACAAGCCCTGCATTGCTCTAGAAATTCTCCGAGGGGCACTGCAGAACGATATTGCAGGCGACACTTGCGATTCGATCCAGGATGAAAGGCTGCCCAATTTAGCGAGTTGGTTAATGCCGTGTAACTTTGACGTATGTTTCAGACCAGAGGTTCGCAGCGCGTGAGTGGGGATACATTGTCATGTGTTTGGGAACGGGTACAAGCATTGCATATGCAATGTTCCAGCAGAGATCTCAGGAGGAAATGGGTGGATGGGATCTGGAGAGTGCTGGGATCGGGATGTACGATGATCAATGTGGTCAGCTCCGCGGATGCTGCCATGACCGAGTGGACCTGTAGTAAGAGATTTCTTGTCTTTCAAGGCAGTTTGTATGTGCTATGAGGATCAAGCATCTACGACCATTCATTAACCATTCACCTTGTCGTGACCACCAACATGCGGCATTCTGGCCGCGAATATGGCGGAATCTCTGACGCCCCCACCGAAGAGTCTTGCAAACCCTTATCAATTCTGGAATTTGCATGACCCGCTTTGATTCGCGTTCGTGTTCTCAATTCCTCTCTTTCGCTTTTATTTACCCGTAGTACACACGACTCAGATGCCTAGTCACCGAGACAGGCCAGCTCATCAGTAAAACATAAAGTTTTCCGTAGTCGGTCAGGGCTACTTCGACTGACTCGAATTACCCTGTTCAGGTACTCCAGGGGCATCAAAAGAGGGTCCCAGCGAGACGGTAAGCCGCTTCCGGAAGATTTCAACCGAGCGGTTCAGGGGTTGTGAGCTGAGGACCGGCATTTTGACGAGAGGAACGGGAGTGCTCCTTACAGGGGCTGTTCGCGATTGTAGTTGGCTCAGAGAGCAATGGGCGCTGCTGGCGGCCTTTGCGGCTGTCTGCGAACGCGGGCCAACGTCAAAAAACAACCACAGTGTCATAGCTAGAGAACGAAGACCGTGCGAAATGAATGCTTTGTACCACGTGTCTGGACGAGGACGTTGAGAGCGCGGAGGCGAGAGCGTGAAGTTGGAGGTTGGGCGCGAGGCAGCGAGTCGTGCGCTAGCAGTGACATAACTGCTGACAAGCACGACCTTGCTTACCAGTCAAACAACGACCAACAGTTTGTCCTCCCCACGCTCTATAGATAAATGCTCAAGTATCTGACCTTGCAAGTCGAGATGCATTGATATGAAACGCTTCCTTCAGCCCAATCGATTCCATCACGCCATTTTTAATCCATCGTGAGTCGATGCCTTAGTTTCCACGGGTGATAAGGCCTGGCACCCCACGGCGGATTCCAACTCCCACTCCAATCCAAATCAGCACTACGCCCCTATCCATGTGACTCGCCCAAAGCGACCAACTTTTCCTATCATGAAGCCTCACCAGGGCAACACAAATGCCGCGCAAAGTTGGCGGATATACGTCATAATATGTTGGAATTCTGGACCTGCGTAGACAAATAGATCGACAGTAGCAGAGTGGAGATCCTACCCAATCAACGGATATATCCCCACACCCGGACTCAAGTGTCAAGTCTTCTGTAGCCAGGCAGCGCGTAGAAGTGAGGCTTTAGACGTTCCTAGCATGGTCGCACCGTATTCAACGTCATCTTGCAACGCAAGACGGCGATGTTACGTACCTCATTCAATCGAGGAGATGGCGACGGCAACATTTGGCTTTCTGAAGGATTGTGAAGGCGCCTTGGAATCTGGCGCATAACAGCCCAAAAATGGTACCATTGGCCGCCTAGCGATGCGTCTTACATCCTCTTCAGAACGCCCGCATGGTTAGAGTTTGGGGAACCTGGTCTGCGATCTGGCGGCGACGGAAGCGCGGGATGTGCATCTCTCTACCTGCCCAATTGCGCTTTATCTGACCAATACTGATCCGCGGAGAAACTCTGCGCAAGATTTGGTTTGATGGCAGGATTGCTATCAGCCTCAGTAAGAACAGTGAGAGATGGACAATTTTACGATGGGGCGACTGACTGGGTAAATGAGGCCAAAAGAGGGATTCATAAATCTCGAATGTGTTGGGCGGCGTTGCAAATAGTAGGCGGTCCACTTCTTCGTGCAAGCTTATGTAGGCGCTGCGCGGCGCGTACCATGGGTAACCTCACAACCCACTTACTTGCGCCAGTGCGTAGTTTGTCGGCAATCGGCGGTAGTCAGCTGTAGTTCAGAAATGTCAGTTCCTATCTTGAACGCTACAGTCATGGAGGACCCAGCTAAAACTGAAGATGCGCCTAAGCATGTAGCTAATGGAATTACAACAATCTCACTTCAAGCTACGGATATGTTGGGCACAAGTCTAAGCGAGTGGGTGTTGCAAGCAGAAAGCTGCGGTGAATGAACTGCGCAGTCGCCTTGCATCTTGCATATCGCAGCGAACCAGTCGCATACGCCCAGCCGTTCAGTGTCAGTTGAGCGGTGAGTCGTTTTGCACCACACTTCGTTCTGTTGGTGCTGTAGCGGCGCAAAGATGGAGAACAGTGACTGGATGGATAAACGTTCTTTGGTTCATAATTCTACTCTATTCGTACAGTGATGCGCACTGGGGCCTTGCGGCAATGGTAAAATCTTTTGGCGACTGAATGCCGAACAAGCGTACAGGGGATAGGAATACATGAAATACTGAACGCCAAGCGTAATGGGCGTAGACGAAATTGCGTGAGAAGACATTACTGATGCAGCGTAACTATGCCATAACGCCAGTGTAAACAGGATAGATGAAAGACAATAAAGAGATGGTACCCTTCGCTGCGCTAGCTTGGGTACTTGTCACCCGCGCCCCGATGCCCGCTTGATCTCAGCGCCGATATCCAAGAACTCCCACTGATTGAACCGAAGTCTTATATGGTATTTCTCATGTACCATGATCCGTGCTCAGTACATCTTTCGCTCAGGGAAGACCATGTCATCGTAGCCATTGCCTTGGGGCTGGTGGTATCCGTTGTGCATTGGTGCACTGAAATCGTATGCGCTGTCTGTCCGTTGTATGGGAATGGTGTCAGAAGACATCGATGAACAGCGACTGCTGCGGTCGCTGCTGTGCTGGTGGAAAGAGCTGGCGTAGCCTCGAGACATGGAAGCCATTGGCATGGCGGCATAGGAAGAGGGGTATGAAGAAGCAGACGACGACATGGCGGAGATGCGCCTGTCCTTGCCTCGACCTTTGATACCCTTGTTGGAGTTCTTGTACAGCGAGGCAAAGTACTCCCATAGCTCCTTGTCCTCTTGCGAGACATAATCGCCTGGGTTGATGGTTGCAAACTTCGTGGTAAGATACCTGAGCGTAGCGGCATGGAACTTGTTTTGGTGGGACTACAACAATTTAGTAATGGGATAGAGAGCCATGATTCACGAAACTGACCTTGAGGTTGCCTAGTTGAGTGAACTGCTTGCCACAGTCGTCCAGCTTACAGCTGAAGGGCTTAATCTGTTGGTGAACAATCTTGTGGGCTCGAACGTTGCCACGTTGAGCAAATGTCTTGCCGCAGATGTCGCAGCTGTAGGGTCGCTCTCCTGTGTGACGCCTCTCGTGCGTCTTGAGGTTACCCAGCTGCGAGAATGATTGGCCACATCCTGGTGCTTTGCAAGGGAATGGCTTATCACCTGTATGGGCGCGGATATGGATCTCAAGATGCGTCTTTTGATAGAAGCTCTTGTTGCAGTTGGGTACGGTGCACTGGTAACGCTTCCTGGGCTTCTGGGCAGTCTTCGCTGCATCATCCTACTTGATCATTAGCGACGTCGAACTGAAGATCTTGACGTTGAATGACATACCTTCTGCTCATTCTCTTGAGGCGGGTTCGTCTGTTTCGCCTGGATGGCCCTCATGAGAGTGTCCACGTCGGTGGCAAAGTTGATGCCACTGCCTTCGGTAGGCTCTGAGGTGGATCGCTTCAACTCGGTTCCATAAGACGGATCGGCGTACATTTGGTTTGACTGTGCCGGTGATGTGCCCTCAGACTTGACGTTTGGGTTGAACACATGTCGGACATCTGGCAGAGTTGGGACCTGGACATCATGTGATTGGGCGTATGAGCCTGGATGTGGCATGTTCGGTGAATAGTAAGAAGCTTGTTGCATATTGTATGGGTTTACCGGTACCGAAGTAGGAACGTCGTACGCAAATGCTCCTGCTTGGTACGGGACGGAGCTGGTAAGGGTGTTGGTGGAGTAGAGAGGCATGTTCATGTCCATGTGGTTTGAAGTGGGCTGGTATTCGCGAGAGACTGGAGTGTTGGTGACATTCCGTGAAGTGTCGTATGGAGGCATGATGTTGGCGAGATGCATGTTAGGGATGTGCATTGATGGTTCTCGTCGGTCTTGCCAAAGTCCAATGTTGTGAGATGCAACCACGGTAGCCATGGTAGATAAAGACGCTGTTGCCACGGGGTGGGCAGTGGGATATGATGGCGGTATACCCTGCGGTTGGAAAGGCGAAGATGGGAAGCAAGTGCGGGTTGGGCCGTGAGCTGTCGGGAATAGAACTATCAAGACTACAAGAAGAAGATGCGGTGGAGATAGAGGATCAGATGACGTGGGAGTGGTGTAGATTTGCTCGATCGATCTGGCTGTGGTATGGGGGAGCGTTTGGGGCTTTACATATGAATGGGCCAACTCGATACACTACCACTGTGAGTATCCCGCGACGCAAGGATGGAGTTTGTTGTGGACCAAGCCGGAGTGACTAGGGTTAGGAGCGAGAGCATGGTTGCAAGACCAACAGGGAATATCGCTCTCGCATGCAGCCAAGAAGTGACTGGGATGAAGGCTTTAGTGGAAGGCTAACTAGCAGAGAATGGTGGATGTACGGGGCACGACATCCGACTAGGATGCAGTCTGAAGACGGAACCGGGGTACAGTCCCAGGTGTGAACGGACGCATGGCTTCGCCGTCTCATGTGCAGTGTGGGGGTTCCATAGGACAGGATGCCCAAGCCACACCCCATTTGGCGATACATTGATGACCACAAAATTCACCGTGCGGTCTACCCCAGGAGTCAATGTTGAGCCTCCCTGAGTATCGGGTGTCGACGATCCACTTGTGTTCTGGTCGGCAGTATCCACGGTGTTGAAACCCAGATTTACCAAGAAGCACACCGGCCTCGCAGATTACCAAGAGAAGCGTACAGTTCATGTTGCGAGTATTCGACGAGGTACGGGTTCTCGTCTGTTGGGCCAGGCCGACACCCCGGTGAGGATCCTCGCATGCTGGCTTATCGTGGCTGGTAATTTCTTGGGTCCTCGGCGTAGTGTGAAGCGCGACTCCTTGTCTTCCGTACATACACACGTGGGTGCAGATATGCGCTATTGCGTCCGATAATCGACGGCGGCGTGGCGGACGACGCTTCTTCCCGGGGCGTTGACGGGACCGTAGATGAAGCCCACACTCGCCAATCATTGGTGTTTCTAGGCAAGCTCATTACATCCACCTACGAATGGAACGCCTCAAACCCGAAATACCTTAGGTAATAAAAGGCGGCGCGCGGACGCAGCACTGGTCAGATCTTGACGTGCCCCAGTCTGTATGGGAATCCCAGCCTGTCATCGGGGAAGTAGACGGGTATGCCGCCCCACTTTGGCTTTGTTTCAAAGTTTATGAGGTAGAGCATCGTAGTGGTCGAAGCTGAAAACAATCGCAATTCGAATGTTGATGGTGTTGTCGACCTGTACAGTGTTTTTTATGATCGGCGTGCTGGAATAGAATCACGGTTCTCACAGGGTCTCTGCCCGTACATGGAGGAGCGAAGAGCTCGAAATCACGTGGTCATGGCGAATAGCGCTAGGACAACTCCAGACGCTGGCTCCAAATATTTGCTCACGCGATTACGGCAATCTTCCACTGAGACATTCATCCCACTCCAGTGGTTGTGTGGAACCTTTCCGATGCATTGGGTCACTTCACCATGTATTTTCTCAGGTTCACTGCTCCATCAAAGTTCATTCCTTTGGTATCCATAACCCCGCCCGAGTCTGTATTTGCTATTGATGCCCCTGCGTTACGGGCGATCAGATTTATTGTTACCCGCCACACGCTGTGGCCCAACCGTGAGTTCAGACTCCCGTGGCGTCACAGTCGGCGATGTCTCTAGAGCGACGCTATGTACGGCATGCGCTTTCCGATGTACCCACGGTCTCTATTGCGCCATTAGACCTGCCACCAACGGCTCTTAGTACTACTAACCCGTATATCCTATTCCAAAACGCCATTTTTGGAAATTAACTTCGAACGACGCGCTCGGATCTTTAAGCAGCTTAGGTTGCCTGTATTGACCAGACTAACGTTTGTGACCCTAGACAGCTCGATTGACGACCGTTTTCTCGACATGTATTTGAAATACTAAGCCAATGCTGACAAGAGCTCAAACAGATGCAGGGGCTTTAGATCGTGCTCTTGATCTACATGCTAAACAGCGGCGTAGGCGACTACGGAACTGCAACATACCGAGATAGCATGGCCGTATACCCGTCTCTCCACCACTCTGTGGACAGCGTTGTCCAGCATGCAATTACTTCCTCTCAGGGTATCCCTACCAAGAGAGCTGAGCTGAAAATTGTATGTCTGTTGCCAGTCTACACTTCTCTAGGCCAAGTGCTGCCTCCTTCCACCTTCGGAACTTGGTGATCAGCTCCAGATAGGTTGGGACTGACATGCGTGTAATCTGTGTGGCAGATTTCTGTGCCAGGGTGTATCGATCGCGTCCCAGTATCTCACCGGATCACCCGTGCAGACCCTTACGGTATCTCGACTAGAGCGCGATGCCTCCAACCTCGCACACTGGAGCACAAAGACCTGAAGTGCAGGGTTTCGTTGAGCCGCGTGGCTGGACGACAACTATTCGACCTAAGGTCGATGCGGTTGATGCTGGTAAGTGAGGGTTGGAGGGGTTGCAGTACTAAGAAATTCTTCTTCCGAAATCGTGGACCTGCAGTAGTTTCAAACGAGTGCTGGACACCATCATGGAGCATCAAATCTCGCACTTCAACCTTCAAACAATGAAGGGCCACCATAGCATGCCCTTGTGCAGCCGTGTTCGTATCGCAGCGGTGTGGACTCGTCTTAGTTCTTGTCTTTCGTCTGACGGCTTTTGTGAGCGATTGGTGTAAGGCCAAGATGTTAGATATTGTCCAAAATTAGTTAGCGACACCACTTATTTCTCCCATTTGAAAATCGGATTGCCAGAAATCCCCATCGCTCATATTTCCCGTTTACGTCCGGCCCATTGATACTTTGATGGCAGGCGTTAGCTATGCGGACGGCAGCGGCGGCGGCGCACGGAACCAGCGGCAGCAAGCCGCGGACCTTGCTCGGTGGCACTGGCCGGCGATCGCCATCTAGCTGTCCGTCTACGTTAGTGTCCGCTTCACAAAATGTCGAGTATTTGGTGAAGCGAGTGGTTCGTGAACCTTATACTAGTCGAATGACGCATGCATGCGTGTGTTGCTAACCGAGCAAAGATCCTGGCCCGCGGGCCATATGTGCACAGTTCGTCCTGTCAGTCCCACCTTGGTTAGGCCGACAGGTCAGCCGCAGATGCCACTGACCAAACGGATAGGCCCGATCGCTTCCCCGGGGCCGCTGATGTGTTTCATCCCATGTTCCCTGCCTTTCACCACCGGATCACGTTCAACATCGTCGTACAGCCACGGCTGCTCATGTAATCCCCTGAATACTCCCAAATCGCCTGATGCTCGCGCATCTACACCGCACGGTATGCGAGTGTGGAAGACACACCACCCTACCTGCAATCCAGGGCTCACTGTCGATCACTTCTTGGGCCTTCATTGGTCAGCAACGTGTTGCTGTATGGTCTAGTTAGCTCCTGGGCTACTCCCTCGAAACCTTGACGGTTATCCGGCCGGCAAGCATCGCTACCAGCGCTTCACTCCCAAGTTGACTTGCAGTCTCCTTATCTCGGTATATACCGTGGAGAGGAGAAATATTTCGGAGTCTGGTGAGTACCAATAGCAAGGTGAAGGCTGAATGAATAAGCTGGAATGAAGCCAGGCTACAACAGTATTGTGTTTCGGCATGTACCATATGGTATTACAATAGGCTGATCCAATGCGACTAACGCCCCATACTCCAATTGCAATCTAATCTGTACTCCCTCCTGCGACGCTGTGGCATTCTCCGCTGGAGGAAGGCCAACGAGGCAACAGAGCTTGACCGCCAGACGTCTCAGAACTGTTGACCTGGTGCTACTGCATTTCAAGACCCTGAAAAGTAGGCCTAACACCATCATTCATGTGCAGTGGACGCACTCATATCGCAGTGCAGCACTGTATGATTGAACAACACTCACCGCAAGTACGAAGGTACATCTGACAGGGGCAGCAAGACATAGAATGCTCGCCCAGTAGCGGCTAATAACCATGGCATGACATATCCTGAGCTCGGTAGTAGCAGCCAAAAATGCCGATGCAGTGCAGCCACCAAAGCTAACCACGGAACAGGCACATAAGCCGGTCCGGATATGCGCCAACTGTGGTTGAATCCTGTAGAGCATTAGCTATGGATTTCCAGCCTCTGTGACTCTCAACATGTTACATCACGCTGCGATACCTGGAATACCCTAGCAACAAATCTTCACTGCGCGGAACTGCCACAGCCATCTTCCTGCTCATGGCGCACACACACACACACCTCTCATGCAGATCACCTTTCTATTGCCACCATGATCGCCTTCTAGAAAACATCCACTTGGATGATCAAACACGCTATACCTCAGTGGCTTTATTTACAGATCTTTCATCGTTCGCCTCTTGATACAGATCAGATCGCAAGCGATGCAGTGTACCTCCACTTCAAGACCACGTTCTTGTTGAAATCTTGAAATAGCGGTAAATCGGTCTAGAAGAGTCTGGTACACTACCAGCTGACGTGCATGCGAAAATGGTAGTGTGGAGATGCTTAACCACTGATGTATGCAGTAACTCAAGAGTCGATCACTACGTATAACATGCATATCGTCACATAGTGTCATCATATTTTCGGGAACACCCACTATAGTTGAATGATCGCTGCAGGTTAAGCGCAAGATCTCAAGAAGCTTCAGAAATCTCTAGCCACGATATGATGTTTTGCAGTGGTGTGTAGCTTGAGTCAGTTCCCCTGTCGGTTTCGTATCGGACTCTTCATTAGATCCGATGCACCTTCATCGCCCCTGCGCCTAGGGAGGAGAATCTGCATTTAGATCCATGTACTGCTGCATGGCCGACTACACGCTAGTCGACTTGGCGCGAAGGAGGGGCGCCGAGGGTACATTCAGAAAGCGATGATGACAGAATGAAGGTTGCACCAACAGGGGATGCGCATGAACTTCAAGGATTGGTTAAGTGAAACTAACTCGTTTGAACGCAGCGTGCATGATCTGAGAATGCGATTCCGATGTACCTGAGCGTTCCGCAACAGTGGGTCGATAAAATGGCGTCAGATAGCAAGAAAGCGAGTCGTGAATGTGGCTATGGAATGCGATGACTGAAGCGTGCTGTTGTCACAGCTGACCAGTTCGCTATCATCGTGTATTTTGCCATGTGCAAAAGTGTACTTGGAATCTTAGGGTAGAAGCCCATACTCGATATCCGGTACATGGAGGCCACATGAGCACCTTGGCGTAACCTATTTACCGGGTAGCAATATGACGAGTTTGAAGTGACAGTTTGACCCTGGTAGCGACCGTAGTTGTGCTAAAGGCTTCCTGATCCATCTCTTTGCAACATGTCGCTTCGACCCGTGACCGATCACATCTATCCAACTGCAATGATTGTTAGTAAAGGACATTTTCCGTCGCGCCGCTTGTATGAGAGTGGTCGGCGAGGTATTTCGATACGCCCCACCGATCAGAACGCAACGCTCCGTGCTCTCGAGATCTAGGGTACGGCAACTTGTATCCGCCGCAGGATTACATGCACAACGCTGGAAACGGAACGGTACTAAGCCTAGCGTACCTCTTGTCGCCATAAGGCACGACTGTATCTGCTGACGCAAAGTTCAAGATGGCGGGGTGATGGACCGCGGAGAGGTAGTATTAACCTCCTTGACTCAGACCAGATACTGCCATTGTCGTTCCAGATTGGCGAGCTGTTGTGTCTCTGCGCTTGTGGCCTTCAAGCCCTGGAGAGATGTGATAGGGTGGGGGCGCAATTTGTGACACCACCAGGGACGCTGTGTGCATTACGCGAAGCCACTGGCTGCCGGAAAACGCGCCCACCAATGGCACCTGCGTTTGTAGTGGTGTCTGGAGACTCCAGGACGCTCGCACTCCTCGAGGCGGGCTCCCGGGTGCCATCTCAACGAGATACATCGGCAGCATTCCGGCCCTTCCCCTGTACCCAGTCCGCCCCGCCAGCCGCTTCCCCAACTCCAATCAGAAGTCGTTCCATCCACACAGATGCGAAAAGAAATATCAGATCTTGCGTTTCCCTTAAGGATGGACCCATCGCGAGCATTCGGCCCTTTGCTGTGATTCCTCCAGATCTTCATCGGTGAGCGTGCCCGCTTCCGCTTCCGCATTTCGTCAATCTTGCATGACAGCCGTGCCTCTAGATCTCGGTAGCTTGTAATATACCGACCAACCGAGTTTCAGGCCGACATATCTATCAACGGTGCAAGCTGATGCTTCTGGCGGCGGAAATCACTCGACACATACCGTGGCATAACACGTGGGGTTGCCGGCGAGGTCGTCGTGTACGCGCAGCACGTCAGGGCGATGTCAAATCCGCGACCGGTCAGTTTCCGCGTCAACCGAAGGAGAACGCGCATCATGTAACGGACCACCTCCATTAAAAGATGTGAGTGAAGAGAGGTACGGGACTGCCACATGTTACAAAGGATGCATTGGCGAAAGATACAACTTGAGTTACACGAAGCTGTGGGAGGATCACATTGCAATCGTTCGCCACCCTTGAGAAGTTTCGGGGCACGCCTCACTAACGCGTTTGCAACCTTCCTTCCCAGGAATAGACCTTCCATGCATGGCCAAACTGCAAAAGAATGGGATGGATCGCTGTGCTGAGATTCCCCTATTCAACCCCATGCTGATCGCCACTGCCCCATTCCGTCACCGATCCAGCGTTTCCCAACATTACGGCGCTGTAATGAAGCTGAACATTCTATCAAGGGTACATCGCCACTAGCATCACAATCTTACGCAGCCTCTGATGAAAGTCCTCACTGCGACTCAGTGGCCTTCGACGCCAATCTTGTCAGCATATACGGTCACAGCCAAGCACATACCGTGCGAAGCTAATCGGTATTCCATCTTTACTGCATTCTTCCCTGCTATAGCAGGTTGGATTCTGGCGCCACGCACAGCAGCCGAGCCGGTGGCATTATGTTTCCTGAAAATATTCGCATACGAGCGACCAACGGCAGATTACTGCATGCTAAAATCATTCCGGAACATCGTTGTCGTGTTGAAACGTTACGGTCGCTGCTTGTAGTGGGATCCTTCTGCATGTTGACCGAAGAAGTAGAGCTTGCGTCGTGTACCCTGCAAGTGGAGATATCTGATGTTACAGATATGACTACGTCAAATTTGCACTCGACGAGGCCGAGGCTCCTAACTGCGAGCATCGATCATGTATTCAGACGACCATTCCTTCGCTTAGGCCCATAATATAGGCCTAGGCTTTGTTCACATGAAATGACGTTTCGTTAGAAATGAAAGATTATTTGACTAGATCACATCGCCTTCTTTCCACTTAATGTCCCATTCCCCTTGGTCGGCCGCTTGGCCCTGTATAACTGCCGCCTGGTTCCAAACACGTGCAAGACAGTCTAGTAACCTCTGCCTGGTTCTCAAAATCTGCGACTACCAATTCTTGAACCTCTGGGTCAAGTATCATCCCATAGTCTCGCCAGTACCTATACCTCAAAAGCGCTAGGATCTTATTCCAACTACGGTAGAGGTTTTGGTATGAAACCAGCCCACGGACAGCAATGTCGATTTTTATCGAGCGCTCGACTTGCAGTCTACCTACAAAAGCTCCTTCGGCGCGCAGGGTTCAGGACGCACACTTGAGCGTGAAATCATGGACAGGGTTGTATCTAGCATCTTCTATATCCATAGTCTGATAATTAAGGTGGATGGACATCGGACGCACCAAGGCTCTCTTACTGTTCAGGTCCGTCCTTCGTTGTTCAATCAAATCGAAAATGATAGTACCAGAACTAGAGAGAAAGGTATCTGAACTGTATAGATCGACGACATAACGTGTGGACTTCATCATGAGCTCATCTAGATTGGAGAGTAGGATGGGCTGTGCTTTGGTGTACACCAGACAACAGGTCGATAGCAGAGTTACAGAGAGATCTTGTGACACGCGTGATGTTCGGACCTTCATCTGCGCACTCTTAATCTCCAAGATAGATAGGATCATGTAGGGTGTAGTGTTTAGTAGTGACTAGGTTTACCATTATTTAGCACAGATACATGCAGCACAAATAGTGCGCGAACTGACTTGTACTACACTCACAGACCATTAGACGGAGTTCGGTTGGAAAATTCAGGAACTGGAAACCGGTGATCTGCCCTAGACTCATTGCGAGAGAAGTGTCGATTGAGCACTAAACTTGTAATTGTAACAATCGCGATATACAGTCAAAAGTATGTTTGCATGTGAGGGGCATGATACTTCGGAATGACACGAAAGGGGAAACAATTATTGGCTACAACTCTCGCATTTTTTGCAATAAACCACATTTGAAGCGATAAAACTTCGTCTTGTTTTCCTCATCATAGTCGTAGATGAATCACGACCCTTCTTTTCCTCAGCTGGTTCATCAATTTTGTTCGGTACACATTCCCAGATATGCTCTAGTCTCACGGCTCTCGTCACTAGAGTCGGCCTAAAGCCCCGAGGGCTGAGGATACCCAGGTTTTCTGGTAACCTAATACCACATATACGTAGGCTACTTACATCCTCCAGTTCAGGCCATCTAAGCGCTCACATCAGTAACGGAAGTCGACATGCGACAACCTCACACCAACCCTCCACTGCCAACAAGACAGCGCTTTAGCCTCGTGCTGGACAACTTGGCTCATATAAGCGCGATAGTAAGCGTGACGACAAGTGATTGGACCCGTCGAACTTTGAGCACAACATGACGTCTAGATATAATTTGCGGCTACCACTAGCTCTATACACTACCTGTATAGTATCGGAGTACTACCTGAGATAGGGCTGATTGCAACCAAAGAAACTTGGTTTCCTGTACCTGGTACGCTAATACCCGAGGTGAGTTAAGCAGGTTAGGCGAACGTCCTATAGGGCAAACGTCTTGTGATATTTGATCTACCAAAGTGTTGACACACGCTGTACACGCTGTCACATCGAGTAAAGTTACACGGTAATAGCGGCTAACGCGCGTTGCGTGATTTAAATCTTGTGGTTATGCTAATGAAGCGACCATAGTGCTGAAATCAATATTGACGAAGCGACTTGTCAGTTTTACTCGAGTAATGTGCCACTATCTTCAGCAGTCAGGGTAATCGTATCTGGAAATCTATACCCGTGATTGTTGGTAAATTCTTGAATATGGAATACCTATGTTGCAGAATTATAGGTTACCAGAACAATCTTGACAAGTTGTGTAATGCGTTCAAATGCTACACCGATCTGGATTAGGGGTGCATGTTATCCATTTTCCAAGCGCATGTCACATTTAGCTAATCCCCAGCTCATTTTCGCCATTGCTACAAGTGTCTTCCCTGACTACAGAGGACATATCTCTCCTATCGCTTCTTCGGTAAGAAGGCATTTACTGGCATGCTATAATATACCTTTAGCCCATTATCATATATCAGAACACATTTAAATCATCCTGAATAGTAGAGAAAGTACGCTCTCTCAATAAATCGCGCTCTGATATAGCCTCCTCATTCAACGTAACGACGTCATCCCTTGCTGACACTACCTTCCACCCCGCATCCGAAATCTCTCTGATACGACAATGGTCATCAAGACGATGCATAAGCTTTGCCGACTCGAAATAAAGAATTGCATACTGAATATCCTCCGCCTCGAATGCACCAAGTTGGAGTTTGAAGCCATCTTTCTCTCGATTTGAGGGCCAGAATGTGAGGTTGAAATCGCTAAGGAAATCCTCGGGCAGCCCACCAGAGTAGCGAACGGTGATGACTATTTTCGTAGTGAACCGGCATCTCAGGGTCTCAAAAGATTTCTTGTAGAATGTCACGATGGCGGCGTGTTCCTTAGAACCACGTAGGAAGACGTGGGATGGTGGCTGTCCGATACATAGCTTGTGGGAGATCCAGGCACCAGGTTCTTTACCCGCATTAACACCATCCCAATCTTGTGTAAACCTGTCAAACTCTTGCTTCACGAGCATCGTACTGATGCTGTGCTGACGGTTGGCGAAGTGTGAAAGCTTGTCAAGTCGATGATGAAACGAGTTGGTTCATCACGTAGCATCTCTAGCTTAGGCGCGAGGAAATACGCTCCTTCCGTATGGATGAGACGGCAGGTGGTTAAGAGTGCTACTGGCAGAGTCTTGATAACGAGCGTCATGCATGACGGTGGTAACGTTTCCTCGTCAGATTCGTACCTGAGTGCCGAGTCCTTCAGCCGGTAGTGACGCGCAGAGATCTCAATCTGCTCATACACCATGTATCGTAGCTCTATAGGCAGGTCTGGGAACCGGAAAGGCTTGTCTTCCACATATGCAGGATCGCTCAGGAGAGGATATTGATGTCCCCATGGTGGAGAGCTTGGGGTGGCTCGAGTCAAGGCTTGTTTGGTTCGGTCGACTTGACGTGGAGGACCGATCGCAGTGGGTTGATTTCGTTGTGGCAGAAGGCAGAGGCCGATGTAGAAGAAGGCCTGAAAGCTAACAGTGTTAGATATTCAACCACCGTGCGGGAAGCTTTGACATCAGTCGCTGCCTCTTTGCATCAAGTTTAGTCACAGGCAGCAGCCATATCACTAGTGACCAGTGAAAGTCTCTCGGAAGAGGTAGGACAAGGATTCTGTGAAAGCGCCCTAGCGTTATTGGTGACCAGATTCCGTGACGCGCTGTCGAGGATGTATTGACAATACTTCGTACGTGAGAGGCAGCATCCAAAAAGCTCGTGCGTTACAAGTTGTGTCTCTTGAAATAGATCTCTGCCCTTGCTGTGTACAGTTTGGAGATCAATCCCTTTGTACGTGTACGAGAAAGCACCTGGGGAACCCGAGATCGATCATTAATGGCAGCCAATTACAACTTTCTCGAGTCGCATAATTCGTATTGGGTATCTCAACATCCTCATCATCTCTTCCCCTTCTTCCCCTTTCCCTTTCCCTTCGCACCCCCACCCCCCGTAATACTCTGCACATCCTTCTTACTCAAACTCAGCGTGCCGCCCCTAAACTTGCCTATACTCGGTCCTCCAACACCCCTCTCCCTCTTCTTCTCAGGCGCCTTCTTAGTAACCCTATTTTCCCTCTCTAGAACGATACCAGCCTCCTTTGCCTCCTTCCGCCTCTTCTCTTCCGTCGTTCGCGCTTTATCTATCATGTGTTTCCGCTGTGCCATTGGCATCTTCTTCTGCGTGAAGATTGAGCCTTTGGCGCCGAGAGCTTGGAGATGCAGGTCTTGCGATTTATGTCGTGCGACACCGGTGGTGGTGAGTGTGGGAGTTGAGGTGCCGGATGAGGAGGCAGAGAGAAGGTGTGATTCGCGAAGGAGTTTTTGAAGCGCCATGTCGTTTTTCAGATTTGTAGTTTCGTTGGAGTCGGCATCGTCTTGCTTCTTTTTGGTTGTCACGGTTTTCGAGGAAGTGGATGCCGAAGTAGGTGGTTTAGACGACATGAAGGCTTTCATCTCTGCCCGTTCGGTCTCGTCGAGCTCACGCCGTGGGTCTTGATACTCGATGACTTCGACGCCATTTTCGTTGTCGCTTATGCCTGACCAGTCTGTTTCTTCCTCCTCTGGTTCTTCTTCTACGGGCGTTTCTTCTATCTTGGGCTTCTTGGGCTCTGCGGGTAGAGGCTTGAACTTTGCTTCGAATGCGCGCCGGAATATCGCCTGGAGATCTCCTGCGCCGGAGTCGTCGCTCGAACCAGAGGAAGGAGAAGGTGATCGCGACGCTTGTTCGAGTTCCGCGCGCGTTACACGCTTCCGTTTTCCGAGTGCGGGCGCCATTGCTGTGTCGTTATGTTGAGCGCGCAAGATGGGCGATCCAAAAGTTCGACATGGGAAATTGTTAGCGCCAAATGCTCGCTCGGACCTCCGTCTTTCACTTAACCCCTCCCCCGCAACACCATTCTACAAGCATCGCAATCCTGTAGAGTACACGATGACGCGCTTTCGCCCCTGCATAGACCTACACGCCGGTAGCGTCAAGCAAATTGTCGGCGGCACGCTCAACACCACGACCCCCGACGTACTAAAGACAAACTGGACCTCGGAACACCCCTCCGCCTTCTACGCCGACCTATACAAACAACATGGCTTGACAGGCGCACACGTCATAATGCTTGGTCCTGGAAACGACCAAGCAGCCCAAGAAGCATTGGAGGCATGGAAAGGCGGCATGCAAGTCGGTGGTGGCATCACAGAGAAGAATGCAGCCGAATGGATCGAGAGAGGTGCTGATAAGGTGAGCTTTACACTTTTGCAAAGACATAGACGATCATAAGCAGTAGATTGGGCTAATCGAAGCGCAGTAGGTAATCATAACATCGTACCTCTTCCCCTCCTCCACCTTCTCCATGGACCGCCTGCAAGCCGTCCTACAAGCCCTCGGCAACGATAAAACCAAACTCGTCATCGACCTTTCGTGCCGAAGAAAAGACGACAAGTGGTTCGTCGCGACGAACAAGTGGCAGACTATCACCAATTTTGAGTTGAACCAAGGTACATACCTCCAGTCTCCATCTCATTGTCCAAGAGGAGCAGCTAACGAGCAAATGTAGAGTCGATAACCCTCCTCGAACCGCACTGTTGTGAATTCCTCATTCATGCCGCCGATGTCGAAGGCTTACAACGCGGTATCGACCACGAACTCGTTACCAAGCTGGCCGAGTGGTGCAGCATACCCGTCACATATGCCGGTGGAGGTCGCTCCATCGAGGACCTAGAACTGGTGAAGGAGCTGAGTAAAGGCAAAGTGGACCTGACCATTGGCAGCGCATTGGATATCTTTGGCGGATCAGGCGTCAAATTCCAAGACTGTGTAAAGTGGAACGCGGAGCAAGCATAATTGACCAAATTACACGGCTGGCATACGGCCGCGAGTGCACTGGTGTATGGCAACGCTTCACAAAATTATAAACAAATCAAAATAGATGCAAACTATTGCATTCTTCGTTCTCTTCGAACATCAAACTGCCTTTTTATCAAAGGCGAGCTAAGGTAAGCTCGCTAGCTACAGTAGCTATACATGCATGCATCAAACTCCCACTGAAGAAGAAAAACCCCTTAACCCCAGAATCGTGTTACTCAATCAAGCATCCTAGAACCATGGGAAGACTCGCGCCAATGTTTATGGGAGCGAAGAAACGTGTAATGCGCGCAATAAAATGCCTGGAATTAAGCCTCGCCAATCTTTCTCCAGGTCTTGCAAGTTGTACAGGAGGGCAAAAACTACATGTTGAGAAGGTGTAAGGTGGTTCGATATCACGTCCATCGAACCGTAGCGCAGATCACGCGTCGTATTTGAAGACATGCGTTCTCATCTGTTGCTGTTAGTGGATGCTCAATGCACGCTTCTCTAGCACGGTGACTTACATTCTTCAGACACCAGCCCGTGGTGTACCAACCGCACTCGTCATGGTGCTGAGGCCACCGTGCACACTACCACCATCGTCGTAATCTTGCCACTCCGGGAACTCTGCGGTTGCTTCCCGAAGCTTGTCGAGTGCAGTCTGCTCGATGAGGTTGGCGTCTTGGAAGAGCAGCGACGTGTCCTCGTTGTACGTGCGACAGTTGTTACACAGCAAGCCTAGATCTTGACGGAATTGCTTCACAGATTGGTACTCCTTCTTGTTGATCTTCTTCTCAATCTGCTTCATGCAGATGGGATTCTTGATCAGCTGGTAGTAATCTGGGTAATCCCACTTGTCCGGCAGCTCAATGAATGGGTCGATAATACCGCGGTTAGGGATGTTCGGATCTTGCGACTCCTCTTCCAGATCGTTGAGAGCTTCATAAACAACATTAACGACCTTCTGGAGCGACGCTCGCTGGTCAGGGTGCAGCATGTCCTTAGCTGGAGCAGGGCGGCCACGCTTGCGAGGTGCGAGGTCAACGTCGAGAGATGCTTCGTCGGCTTTGCGCTTCTCAGCCTTAGGTTTACGGCCTCGCTTCTTTGGCATGGGTTCTTCTGAGCTGGCACGTGATGGCACAGGCGAGGCCTCGTCGTCCGCTCTACCAGTCTTATTCCTGCCCCGCTTGGCGACCTTGGCTTCTTTGCGGGCGATAGCAGCTTCAATGGTATCTTCGTCGTTGTCGACAGCCTCCAACCACTGCTCCTCGGTAAGACCGTCGTCGTACTTGACGCGGGTACGCTCTCGAGCACCACGACCAGCAGGTGTGTCGTCCTTCTCGTCGACAATGGGAGCCTCCTCGTTCAGGTAGATGTCAGGCAACTCACTCTCGCCGATCAAGCGACCAAGCGGTTTACCGGGACCATATGGATCTTCGGCTAATCGCTTTCGATCCATCTCTTGGAAGGTGATCAGCTCATGATCGTGTCGCATCATGATTTGGTTCAGATCATCGTCATCCATCTCTTCCTGTTCAAGGCTCTCGGCGGCCTCAGCAGACTCCAACATGATTCGCAACATGGCGTCACGCTCGTCATCCTTGGACTTGTTGTCGAATTTACCAGCTTGGATAACCTTGCCGTCCATGTCCAGCTTGTAGTTGGCTCGTTCGAGAATCTTCTCTTCGACTGAGTTGGAAGTGATAAGACGCAGAATGCGGACCTCGTTCTTCTGACCAATGCGATGGGCACGATCTTGGGCTTGTAAATCCTGGTGAGGATTCCAGTCCGAGTCGTAGATGATAACGGTATCGGCAGTTTGAAGGTTCAGTCCAAGACCACCGGCACGCGTAGATAGCAGGAAGCAGAAGTACGGTGAGTCGGGAGCATTGAACAGCCTTAGGAGATCCGATCGGTCGTCTGCCTTGGTCGCTCCGTCTAGACGCAGGTACATCATACCTCGCAACCGCAAATAGTCTTCCATGATGTTCATAATCTGTGTCATCTGGAAGAACATAAGAACACGATGGCCTGTGGCCTGGAACTTGGGCAGAATTCGGTCAAGTAATTCAAACTTGCCGGCCGCACGCCATAGAAGATCGTTGGTACTCTTGGTTGGGTTCATCACGTCCTCAACCTCTTCAAATACGAACGGATGATTGCAAAGCTTACGCAGCTGCATCAGCATATTGCTCAAACCGCGCATACCAGTCTTTCCACCCTTGCCGTCGCTGACCATGAGTCGGTTATGTGTGACAAGCTGCTTGTATAGCTTCGCCTGGAGGGTGGAAAAGTTGCACTTGATTACACGCTCGGTCTTGTCGGGAAGATCCTTCTCGACATCACGCTTGAGACGACGGAGCAAGAAAGGCCTAAGAACCTTATGAAGACGACGAATGACGAGCAATTGCTCTTCTTCGGTAAGCTCCATCTTGTCTTGACCTCCAGTGTTTGCGAAAGGAGTGTTGAACCACTCGTCGAAGGAGGTAGCCGACTTGAAGATGGTAGGAAGGACGAAATTGAGCATAGCCCACAGTTCCGTAAGGTTGTTTTGCAGTGGGGTACCGGTAAGAATCAGACGATAACGCGTTGTGTAGTACTGTGTGATGGTCATGCTGAGCTTAGAACCGGCGTTCTTCATACGGTGACCCTCGTCGACAATCATGTGTACCCACTTGATCTTGCTGAGAACTGGCCTGTCCTTGATGATGAATTCGTATGTTGTGAGGAGCACCTGGAACTGGCCCCAGCGGATCTGCTGCTGGTATTGCTTACGTGAGTTAGGAGGACCCTTGTAGACAATCTTGGTGACGCTCGGTGCCCACTTCTCGAACTCATTGGTCCAATTGGTAAGCGTACTGAGCGGTACAATGACCAAGTAAGGTCCTGGCTGTCGCTTCTTCTCGATAAGATATGTGATCAAACTGATGGTCTGAATAGTCTTTCCGAGACCCATTTCATCTGCAAGGATACCATTCAGGTTGTTGTTGTACAGGGATATCATCCACTGCAGACCCTTCAGCTGGTACTCCTTCAGGGTACCTCCAACCAAGTTGGAAGCCTGTTGTGTTACCTCCTCCTTGACACGATGAGCGATCTCGTAGTAGTCGGTCTTCTTCTTGCCCGGACGGTCTTCGTCACCAGATTCAGCATCGCTCTCCTCTTCTGGCTCCTCTGGCTCGTATGAATTGTTTGCAGATCGTTGTTGTGCCTTGACGGAGTCGGCAAGCTGCTTCAAGAAACCATCGGTTTGCTTGAGCAAGTGTGAGATACGGGTATCCTTGGCTTGACCCAAAAGCTTAAGGTAGGTCTCTTCGTCGTTGGACTTGAGAGCCTGCAGACGCTGCTTGGCGGTGCGCTCGATACGCTTCTGTTCCTCCTTCTCGATGTTCTGGTGTGTTGTGATCATGGTACGGCCGAGCTTCTGCAGACGCATGCGCTGAGCGGCGCCGGATTCTTGCAACTCTGTGCGGTGCTTGCGGATAGCGTCGATGAACTCGTGGTGCTTCTTCTTCTCCTTGGTCTCGCGTGCATCGCGTTGTTGCTTCTCAAGCTTCTCGGTAAGACGGGCTTCGCGCATCGATTGTTTCTTGAGGCGTCGGTATACTGTTCTGTTCGCTGTCATCGCAAGGTTGTCAGCATGGATCATCTGCTGGGCGATCTCTCTCCGCAGCTTGCGCTGCTTCTCCAGTAAATTGAGCTTCTTCTGTTCGATGACCAGAGCTAGTTTGACCTTTCCATCGTCTTCAGGCGTATCGGTCTTGCTGGTATCCCAGGAACCGATGTTTGCGTGGACCTTCTCTAGCTCGGCCTTTCTCGCGGTGAGTCGGTTGTAGAGTAAGATTTCGCGCTCCTTGCGCATTTCTGCCATGCTCTCCTGAACTGCATCAATATCCACACCCTGGGGCATAATAGTAGCAAGGTATGGTCGGTTTTTGCGCTGAGTGTGTGAGATGTAGTTGACATCGCGGAAAGCTTCGCTGCTCCAAGGATCAATGAAGGTGTCCGGAAGACGAGGCAGAGTTCGAGTTTCCTGTACTGCGCCGCCGTTTGCGCTCGAGGTGCTGCCCGCGCGGGTCGCGTTGTCGAGCATCTGGGAAGCAGCAGCTACAGCCTCGGCTGCATTCTGGGGCTTCTTGGCTTGGTGATGACCAAAGATCTGCTGCTGCATGTTGGTCGGCAACGGAAGGCCCTTGGAGAGATGCTTAAAAGCTCCGATTTGGGCGCGTAGCATAAGGAGCTGATCCTTAGACAGCGCCATTGGACCGCTGGTGGCCGATGTAGGGGTCTGGCCATCTGCAGAAGGAGCTTGCCCACCGGCGGTCGCAATTTGCATGGTGGATGAAGGCCCGCTGGAAGCAGGCGCAGGTGTAGCGACCTTGCCATCAGTAGGAGCAGCTGGCTTGGTGCCGTTCGACATAGCCATACCAGCGCCGTTTTGTTGTGCGGCTTGCGGATCCATCTGACCCTGTTGACGCTGCATCTGCTGTTGCCGTAGCATCTTCTGCTGTTGCTGGAACTGGTTCTGCTTCTGCACCATAGTGAGAAGGTTGCGCGCCTTGATGAACTCGGGGTTGGTCTCGGGTACGCCTTGTTGCTTCATCGCAGTATAGCGCTAGGGACATTGTTAGCATGCTTGTCATGCATAGGAAGTGCCGGTGGCGCAAAAAAACATGACAGGACGGGTACGTACCTGGAAGACATGCTGAATCTGCTCTCGGGTGATATTAGCGGCAAGCGGCCCCTGCCCAGGCATTTCAGAGTTGGGCTGAACCGACGCCATGGTGATGGGGGTTCAGTGTGTGGCGGTGGTGGTGCGCAGTAAACAGCCAAGATATGAGATATCCACGCTCGAACGCGGTCGCAGTACGGGGTCGAGGTAGACGAAGATCGCGCAATTAAGAGGGAAAGACAGTCGCGGGAGAGGTGGTGACGCGTGCGGCGATTCTATAACATTATCGTGCAGCGTGGTGGTGGTGGAGGCTCTTTCGTCGATGAAGCCGATGAAAGACCTTCGGGGGTCCGCCTTTCAGAGAGTCGCGTTGTGTGGTGAGGCTGAAGGGGGAGCGCGCAATTTCGGTGTTGGGGGTGGCAAAGGCGCGGGCGCGCTCTAAAAGTGTCGGAAACCGCTATACGCGTCGTGGACAGCGCGTTGCGGGGATGTTGAGATGCGGGCGCAAGTCTTCGTGATATCGGGATGGGTGGTGTTGAGCGTCTGCGGACGTCCTCTAGCCTGAGCGTTGTTGCGCGCAAACAAGTTAGCGGCTTGCCGAGATCACGTGATGGCCAGAATGGGGGCTGGGCCAATCAGCGTCTAGTTGTCCTCTTGCTGCAATTATTCACTCTTCCTCAGTCACCCTCGTTCACGTTCTCTATAGGAGTCGCTGTGGGGTAGAGAGATAAACAACGCGCTTGACGTGGACTAGTGCCGAAATAAGCCACCGCATCGGAGGCGGAGGAACGAGTGGAGTGGGTGCCACGTCCAACGACCCCTCCAAACCTGCTACCATGGTCCAGCGAACATCAAACCTGTCTTACTTTCCTTCCTAACCTAGTTCCAGTGCTATGGTTCGTCCATCATATTTGTCCAGGATTCTAGACGCCTTCCCCTTGATACCGTGCTTGTTATAGCGGCTCTATCAGGTGGAAAAGCTTTGGTGGTGAGAATTATGGACTCGCGCTGAATGGCGGTGGGAGGCTTTCAGCGCGCTCCCTAGCCCGTCCACAATACTCTACTGCGTACACAAGCGAGCTAGAAGCGAGGCAATTGAAGAATATTTCCCCTAAATGTCCACTAGATTTTGACTAGAGAGATTTCATACTTTACTAGCACATTCATTTGTCTAAGCTGTTATCATGTTGGCCCCTCAGTGCCGGACGAATAACCAACGTCAACATCCATGGAGTCAAGATTCTAGTAAACAAATCATTCAGCTACGAACTTATTGCTAACTATGTACATGTTGAAGCCCAACTCAACACCATTCTTTTCCAAGATTCATACCAGCAGATTCTAATCCTAAGTGAGCGTAGGTGCAGTCCAGTCAATGTACGTCGCCGCATCGGCACCCGACGGGCCTTTCTCGATGTTGGCAGTGTTCGAGCTCTGGTTAAGCAAGAATTTGTTGATGAATGCAGTAAGGTCAGCCTGCTGGTTGGATGGGAATTGGCAATGGTTGTGGTTGCCAGAGCCAGTGAAGCCCATGTTGTCTGGTACACCGAGAGCCTTGTAAATGAGGCGACCAGCCTTCATACAAGCGGTGGTGGATACGGGGCCAAGCCAGTCGATCTCGTTCTCGATGACGAGTAGACCACGAGGAGCGACCATACCAGCAAGCTGATGGTGGTCGGTAGCGAGGGTGTTGGACTTGGTGCTGAAAGAGTTGAACCTCGTGGAGAACCAGACGTTCTCGCCGACAATTTGGCTGGAGGTTTGGATGTTCTTGCCCTTGGCCTTCTCAGAGTCGGAGATGCGCCAGCAGGCGGCACCACCAGAGCCAGACTCCTGAGGAAGACCCAGAGCAATGCGGTCAACAAGCGCAGCGGCGACGAAAGCACCCTTGCCGTTACGAGAGCAGCCAGTCACGCCGACGCGCTTCGGGTCGATGCCAACACTTGGAGTAGCCTCAAGAGCGTCCATGATGCGGTCAACACCCCATGCCCAGGCAGTGAGAGCACCAGCGCTGTGGCTGGAACCGTACAAGTCAAAGAATTTGCCCTTTCCACGGCTGCTGCCGCCCTGTTGTTGACCAATGTCATCGTTGTTGAAGGTGATGGTCGCAACATTGCTGGGAACAGGGAGACTGGCAGCGCCATATGCGATGATGGCAGGGAAAGGTCCGGTTCCGCTAGGCTTCTTGATGGAGACCGAGAAGGAAACCGACTTGCCGCCCTCAGTTGAGGTAATGGAGAGCGAGGATCCAGAGAAGGTAGCAGTAACGCTTGATGGCTTCTTGGGAAAGTCACCGAGTTCCTGTGCCTGGATAGCAGCGCTAACCTCCTTGTTCTTGCAAGCGAAGTCGGCTTTGGTAGTAACAGCCCTTCCGTCGAAGAACTTGAAGGGGTTCGGCAACTTGGCGTTGGCGGTAGTAGGGAAGGTAGTTGGGACAGTGCATGTAGCGTCCTGACGTTGTTCAATGGCCGGCGCCGCAAGGACGGTCGTAGCAAGGAGCGGAAGGATGAGTGAGTATTTCATGTTGGGCGGATTGATGGTATTCGGGATACTGCAGGACAATGACTGCTAAGATACTCTCAACCCTTATATAGTGATTGTAATCTCCGCAAGCATTCCGCGCTCCCGTGGCGAAATATAGCCACTAAATGAATCTGTGGAGGTGACAAAGTATGTTTCGTAGCGTGACTACAGCGCAATCAAGGCAGCACGTCTTGGCTCATGCTGGTCTCCTTTAGTTTCGCCACGCACTTGTGGAGCAAGGGCCGTCACAACAGAATTGCGTAGGCTTACTACTGTTGCATGTACATACTTCTATTCTGCTTTATATGCCAGATGTCTTGCAATTGAGGCTCACGAAAGCTGACATGCGTCCACTTTTGTCTTTATATCATTGATACAGTCCAACATGGGGAATGTTGGACGCTCGACGTTTTCCAGGTAACTCACCCAGGCATTTACGGTACTACCCTCATCATGGAGCACAAGCTTACCTTGCGTTAACAGTTCATTGATGGAAAATCTGTTCGTGATCTGTATAGTTAGTATCATCGATTGGAGTGCAGCAGTTCCCTTGAGCCGTGAGGAAACCGCCTCACACTATAACACCCTTGCCGTGCCGTGTCCCCCAAAACGAGACGTGACCACTTAGTCTATGTTCAGATCCGGGTATTGTAGACTGATACGGGCATGGCGCAGTGTAGCGAAAGCTCTTCCAGAACTTCCAAATGGATCTCGTCACAACATGGCGATCAATTGGGCACAGGAAGGCATACGCACTATAGGAGCCCTGGTTCGACCGCTGAATAGATATTAAACCGCGATGGCGGCTCTCCATGCTTCCCCACGTTGCGGGGTGCAGTGGGGCGCTTGCTGAAGTGCCGTTTAGCCTGATCGTCACCAAGCAAGTTCACCCGGTAGTGTATGATCGACGTCCTTCCAGCTCTATGCGGTCCTGATATGTCCTGCGCAGAAGCTTGTTGTTACTTACTTGTCTATCTCTTGTCCGGGAATTTTCTTGTGCATAATGAGCTGGTCGTTTGGTCGCAGTTGTTGCATTTCCGAGAAGGGCCGTATCCCTACCGCGACATGGATCGGCTTTGCAACGTTCGCTTGGGATATGGTGATACACGAGGGCCAGTACTGCACTCTATATCTTGTTTGACGTCTGTAGCACAACGCTTGGACTACATACCCTGGCAGATGGGCATGTTGAATGTGACGTCGCGCAATTCATACGTCGTCCTAGTTCTTAGCCGAGTAGTCTCCAGTGCCCAGGTGTCATGCGGCAACAACATTCGAAGATGAGCAAAATCGAAAAGCTTCATCGTCCACGGAAGTCGCGTTAAGCTTCGTTACATGACTCCAGACGAGTCTAGGGGTTGGGATGTCCACCATTGAGAATGGCGTTGCGTGCAGATGCGTACTGAATAGGTAGGACGGAGATCCGAGGCATGTTTAACGTTAGCGAAGGAGGTGCTGAATCTTGGAGTTTGGAAGGAGCAGGAAGGACTGGTTTGTCACCCACGCTTACCAACTTCAGCGCTAGCGATCCACAGCTTCGGCACCCCTCATGCGGCATCGCGGGAGTTTCAGCTACGCTCACAAAATCTTAAGGTAAGCTACAAAACCAAATTTACGCAATAGCTAGGTAGTATGCAGGATTCACTGTCGTCAGGTTGTATCATCGCCGATAAGAGGAGAAGGAAGAGTAGTGAAGTTTGACTGGCCACATTCAAAGCAAGTTAAGCTGACCAACCCGCCGTTCATTGATCACTTGCCTGAACCCTCTCCACAGTCAAAATATATGAAGAGACCCTCCGATTCTACAACGACCGATAGCTCCAAATCACTCAGAATGTCAAGCGAAAGACAAGCAGCAGATGCTATCCGATTTTATGACTCGAAGTCCTGGGATTACGATGCTACCTGGCACAACGATTTCACCAGGCGATTCATTTCCCATCTCGACATACAGCCAGGCCAACAGATACTGGATCTGGCGTGTGGCACCGGACTATTGACTTTCCGTGAGTCCGAGGCAGTAGGACCACAGGGGCATATCGTCGGAATTGATGTCACCCCTGGTATGCTCGCGGTCGCTACTCACAGACAGACTCAAGGAGGCGACAAATACGCAAATACGACTTTCCTCAAGGGCGACGCTTTGCACCTGGACGAGACGGAAGAGCTCAAGGGAATGCAATTTGATGTCATCACAGTGGCTTCTGCTCTAGTCTTATTCCCCGATCCAAAGGCTGCTATTGAGCACTGGGTAGAATTCCTGAAGCCTGGAGGTGTCATTGCAATGGACGCGACACACCCAAGGAACTTGGTCTCCGGCATGGTACTTGAGAGGGTAGCTCGCAGACTGGAGCTTCCCATTCCCTACAATCGGTCATGGAGCAAATCAGAAGATACCTTGAAGCAAATGTTAGAGTCCGCGGGATTGGAGGTAGACGAAGTTCTTACTGTAGAGAATCAAGCGGGATATGGCAGGCGTTTCTATGAGATGGAGCAATGGGACGACTTCTTTGTCGAAAACGTGATCGTCAAAGACGTTGCAAGAACGTTTGCGAACAACGACATCCGAAGGAAAGCGCAAGGCCTCTACAAGGAGGAGTGGGAAAAATTGGCGATAGACGGCAAGATTGAGGAGATCGACTCTGTTTTCCTCGGTATTGCAAGGAGACGTGAGTAATCCATAGCGTTACATTGACACAGAGCTAACATCTTACATAGCTGCAGACGGTTCGAGATACGTACCGCAAGTCATTCAAGACGATGTTGTCTTCAGGGGCGGATGCCGCTGCGGCGGGGTACAATACACATCGAGCGCTGCGCCCTCAGATATCACGCTGTGTCATTGCCGCGCATGCCAAAAATTGTCAGGCTCTGGCTTCCTTCCATTTACGCATGTCCCCAGAGACAGTCTTTCTTTCACCCATTCGGATACGCGCACGGTTCTAAGATTGTCGGATGCTGCGGAACGAACCTTTTGCTCAGGTTGCGGTGCTCCAATATCCATGTCTTACGCATCCGATCCCACCAAGATGGCATTGTGTATGGCCACAGTCGACCTGGAAAGCCTCAAGACTGAGGTGGCACCAAAGGTTGTGCAGCATATATTTCTACGAGAGAAGGCGCCTTGGGTGGTGCTACCCGAAGATGGAACTGAGCGTTGGGGCACGTCAGAACATGCTCACCTGTTCATGCAGAAGTAGAGTAGTTGTAATGGAGGTGTAGCTACAAGAAGATGCGGTGAACTTTTTCAGGGTCCGCGATTATTCGGTGTGAACTTTTGTGGGGTGGTGCCGTGGGCGAGTGTAGGCAACCCACTGAATTAGGAGACAAATCTATGCTCCCACAATCACAACAGACGTGCAACTAGTGTCGCAGGCTCTGGAGCTTTTGTTGTTGAGAGATGTTCTTAGAGAGGTCTTCCCTGTGACTGTAACGCGTACTAGCCGTGCGCTAGATGTTGCACGATGAGATGTTTCGAAACGCGAACGCAAACAGAACGGATAGAAAGCAGGGTCGAGTGCGTCTTACAGCTTGTCTTGCATTAGACCAAAGTAATTGGCAAGGGGTTATTGGGTTCTCTAAGCGACGACGGCTACGTGTTGCGGTGTGCGTTGCGTACATGACGGGGCCGCTAGCCCTCCCAGCCTCACAAAATCTGGATTCCCTGCCACGCTGTTTCCTGCCAACCACGCGAAACAGCCATCGAGGACAAAACCTCGCCCTTTGCTTGACGGAACATTGAACCCTCTTTTTGCCTTTTGGTACACTACATCTGCAGTCACTCGTTGCACTGCATCTTTCACCAATTCTACCAGAAAACACTCGTTGACCGCCGCATTACCTACCACCCATAACACTCGCTCTTCGTTCTTATCGATAAATTGATTGTGTTGGCCAGGTTACCCTCACCCGCCCCGCCGAGCAGCAAGGAAACAGTTGCTTTCACGTTTCACAAGGACTCATCTGTCAGCTCGACAAATTGTTGGGCGACTGACGCATTCCTCGTCCGCCGACCAGCGTACCGACTTGTAACCCCGGCACCGGACGTTTAGCTGCAGTAGTTTGGAATGAGCCGCAACGCCCCTCACGACTTGGAGCTGCAACAGCCGCCTCAGGCCCCTTATGCCACCCATAGCTCGCAGCATACCGGCGTAAAAAGTCCAGCATACCATACTCGAAAGCAGTCGGCTCTTGTGGTTAGCGATCAAGTGCACAGCTTCGACGACGTGGACATTACCGGTCTCCAACCACCACCTTCCGCTTTAACGCCCACTACTGCAACTGCATACGACCCACATGCACCTTCCCCACTAGAAGACTTCCCTAGAGCTGGCCGAAGTAGTCACCAGCGGACGTTGACTGGCACAATCTTCGACAACTTCAATCGCGCAACATCGACAATTCAACAACATACTTCAAGAGCATCTTCACCCTCAAAGTCTCTGGCAAGCTTCATCCCCTCAAGAGGCGCTATCGAATCGAGCGCTAGCCAGCCTAAGATTAGGGCGCTACAGAACTGGTTCAACGGCTCCTCTGCGCCCGTGAAGCTGGGTGTCCAGCCACACGACGATTATTCGGATTCCGGCTCCGAGTCTGGAGAGGAATACGACTCTGAGTCCGACGAGGAGGAAGAAGAGGAGAGGGGCAACATGATGACCAACCTCTTCAACCGTGGTTCCTCACTCACGAGGGGCACCTCGCAGAGCCCCATACGATCGGATCATACTCAAACACCGAGCAAGGCACCGAGCCAGCCTACCACTGGCAGCAAGTTCGCATGGTTGCTGTCCACACAGAAGAATGCCGCCGTCCCCCCTCCACAGCAATCGCCGACATACCACAACCCCGACGATGAGCTGCTTAACTTGAACATCTCTCAGTCGCTCTTCCCACACGGACCCGCCGATCCACTAGCACCCTCGTCCTTCCACGATCTCCTCACCAACGCCGAAGCGCTTCTCTCTCGCTACCAGACCGCCTACCGCCAACTCTCCAATGATTTAGGAGATGCACATGCCGAACAAAGCGCGCAGGATGACGAGCTTGATGAGGCGGAGACACGAGCACGGCACCTAAAGATGCAACTAGAGACGATGGCAGCACGAGCAGCTGATCAAGATGAGCAGATGCGAACCCTCATGGAGGACCTTGCATTTGAGAAGAAGGCTCGTCAAGAAGAAGAGGCAGCTCGTAAGAGGAGTCTGGCCCTCATCAGAGCAACACCACAGTGTGAGCACACTTCGTGCCAGGAGACCGCCCGTCGGCACAACCGCGTATCCGGCTCGGAGATCAGCGTCGATTCTGGCTTCGAGTCAGAGACCGAGACCGATGCCGCGAGTGTGTTCTCAAGAAACTGCCTCAGCCCTACCGGTACCGACCGCTCCTTTGTTCTCGACAACGATATCCACGACATCACACCGAAGGGCCGGAAGCTTCAACCACTACAACGAGGAAGCACATACGACAAGGGTCGGGAAGGCAAAGTCGATATCGCAAAAGGTGGATGGGGATGCGCCAACTGCCAGGGCGGCGCACAATCTGCTGTCTGGGGTCGTCTAGCAAAGGAACGAGAGGAGAACCGCACACTCAGACTAAGGGTTGAGACTTTGGAGGAGGCCGTTGATGGTGCTTTGAATGCTGTCGCTGGCGCTTGGGGGATGTAAGTATCCGTGTATGAACATGACTTTGGAGTGTATTGGCGTTTGGTATACCACAACTTGACGATTGGATGACTATCAGATTGGTTTCAGTCTTTGGAGTGTAGAGCACATACATCACATAGTATAGCATCAACTACTACCCCATCACAGTATCATTATACGTCCGTTACCTCATCATCACTTCTGTAATGAGGCTGTGAACCATACAGCTAATATGTGAATCTGTTGGATATATTTCGACTAATGAATGCCATATGTCTAAACAGTACTCACAGTTTCTGCTCCCCAGAACAACATCCCTTCTCAACCAAAACCGACGCGTTGTTCTTCGTGCTCGGTACGTCGATGGCCGGGTTGCGCTCGAAGAAGTCGCTGGGCTTGAAATGTACTTGGTAGATCTCAACCGGCATAACTGGCCAGTCTTCCACTCTGCTTGTCGTCAGTACATGCGTCAATCTTTTCTCTAAAAGTGATGAAACTTACCGTGGGTTATGTGTCAGTCCGAAAACGTTCCAGAGAACCAGATCCTCGTTCTCGACATTATCCTTTCGTGCAGCCATGTCGTGTACACCACCTCGCTCAAGCTGACTCTGGAGCGTAAATCTACCTGCAGCGTACAGCTCATCGTCCTGGTACTTGGTCACCCACACATGGTGGTTTGTGAAAAGAGCTCGTTGTGCTTGAATGCTTCCTTGGCTAGCGAGTATCTTCTGCGTGGGCAGCGGTGCGAACTTGTATCCAACGGGGTTACCAGACTTTGGGTTCGTCTTCGACGGGTTGATGATCTTGAAGACGCGGTGATCGAAGGGATTCGCGTCGACGCCAGACGACTTATCGATGGTTGTCTTGCGGATCTCGTAGAAGTTGCCGTTGGGGTTGGTTTCTTTGTCCCAGGGCGCCGTGTGGGATTCTTCGTAGAGGACTGTGTTTTTGTGGCCGTCGATTGCTGGGTCGAAACGCGCTGCGAAGATGTGCTGGTGGTTTTGGGCAAGTACACCACCTGATACGACGTTGCCGTATTCTGATGTCTTGCCAGGGTCGATGTTGACGACGGACACGATGCCAGTTGCTCGGACTTCGAGCGTGATACCACCAGCGGTGTCAAGCTTATAGGCGAAGACGTATTCGTAGTTGGCTAGAGTGATGATGAACTGAACAACGAGTTCTCGTAGTCGTGTTACTACTGCGCGTCCGGTTCGCCAGTTGGCTAATTCCTTAGGTTAGCTTGTGCCGAGAAGTTGGCGTGGAGAAACTTACTGTGCTTCCAGCCAATACCGTTGTCTTGCTCATGAAGACAGACAACGTTGGGGTGAACCTTTGGCTCACCATCGGATCCAACAATAACCGCATCGAAGTATTTGATCACACCGAGACAGTCGCAGCCTAGTGATAGGTTGTTGGCACAGTTGCCAGCACCTCCGTCACCAAAATCGAAAGCTTGCTTGCGGTGGAACGGTGGACGAGCATCGGCGTATGGGACAGACATCTCACTTATACTCATCCGGTACATGATGCTTCTACCGTCATATTTGACGTCGTGCAGAACGGCTCCTTCACGTGGGTTGAACGAAACCCTGAAGCTCCACTTTTGCCATTCGACTAGTGATTCGTCGGTGACCTTGAAGGAAGGTCCCTCTGGTTGTGTGATGTTGATGGGCTTCACGTCTTGTCGAAGACCGCCTTCTAGCATCTCGGGGACGTATTCCGCACCCTCGCAATGGTCTAGGACGCGCTCGGAGTGTGTCTGACCTGTGAGACTATCGCCCTTTCCACCTGTGGCTAGGCGATCAACGCGAATGATCTTCCTCGTTTGCGCATCCATGACAGGAATTAGTGGTAAGGGGTAGGCATAGAAGTTTGAATCGGCGTTTCCATTCCTTGTGTCCTGGGCAAAGCACAATCCTTGGAAGTATCTTCGGTTCTCGGCGCCAATTTCAAGACCACCGTACGGCCTTGGATTGTCAGTATTGCTGATTAATGGTTGAGAAGTAGGTACCTACCAAGGCTCAACGACCAACTCGAATCCATCGGGTAGCTTCATTTCAGCCATGGCTTCTTTGAACATCTCGCTCTCCTCGCATGCTTTGACCAGATGTTGGAACTCCCACAATGTTAAGCTAGCCTGGTTCTCCTTTCCGACAACCTCGTGTCGTACTCTCTTCCTCTGTTCAACATCGATGACAGACTCGTGGTACTCTGGTATCTTGTCGGAGCCAATGACATCGTATTGACACTTCGCCAACCGCGCAGGTCGTTTGGAAGCTGGTGACTGTCCTGGCTTTGCTGTATGTTCTAGGTCAAGGTACTGTTTCATAAGCTCCTTTTCCGGTTCTTGGAGGTAGATCTCTCGAAAGTCGACAACACAATCTTTGTGGAGGGAGAGCACAGTGTCACGCGCGATGCGTGTCTCCTCTACGTTGAGGATCTTGAATGGGTGAGGTGCCATGGTGAGGTGCACGATCTGGAATAAAGAATGGTGATGTGATCTTATTTTCACCCGCAAATAGTACAATGTAGATAGGAGTGAAAAGTGGCGGTCATCAAGTCTAGCGGGACACCATCCAATTTATCTACAAGCATACACATGGTGCCGAGCCCGTGTCTCGCAGCGTAGAAGCGGGGACGTTCAATGATAGAACGTGGCGATAACGTCGAACACGCAAAGGCATACCGCCGTCGTACTCTCTGGCGGAATATCGCATGTACCTACCACTTTCGGCTAGTGCGATCTGTAGATTATCAAGTGCTGCACGCCCCGTCAAGCGGTATACGAAAACAGACATGTTATCTAACCCAGCCCCTGTGACTCAGGGATGTGAGTAGGAAAGCACGCGCTGTTGTTGTGTTTCTCGCGGAACATTGCGTGTGGAAATGGCAAACCGCCCGGCGGAATTATGTCCGCTGTGGGTCGGGCTACTCGTCTGGCTTGGGCAGGGACGCGATATTCTACCAAACGGAACATTGCGCTACAACAGCAAATTGGGCGATGTGTCCTGCTCATCTTCGCAGCGGACTCATAGTCGCATTACTCAAATAAGTGATCTGGACCATATATGGAGACCCGTGACACCAAGGTTCAATTATGAAGGAGTACGGTCTTGGGAGACCTCTACAGCACAATGACAGAGACAATGTACCGGCTTGGCATGATAGTGTGAAGACTACATGGGCTTGTACAGAATCAGATTGGGGCTGTGTACGCTTATGGTATAGTGCCTAGTGTTCGAGTTGTTTACCAGGAAGATCCCAAGGTCGCTATAGAGAGAGCTGTGGAGATATTCCGCGATATCAAGAAGATTTCTTTGCCATACAATCGGTATCACCTTCTGCAATGAAGCTGATTCCACGTTAGTATCTCGCATGATGCACTCGCGTATACTCTTACGGCATTAATTGCCTTGCGGTTGCGATTGCAGTGGTACAGTATTCGCCAGGCTTTCCTTATAAAACAATATCGTTGCCGAGGGCGCTGGTAGTGGAGATCAATCATCTTTCCAGGCGGGGTTCGTTAGTAGAACGGTTCTCGACTCGGGCATCAGGCTATGCCGTACCCAGCCCGGAGACCCACAGCCCGTATCGCAGATGCAAGAACCGCTTCGTCCCGTCTTCGCCGGCTGCAATCTCATAACGTGGTTCATATTCATTGTTTTTTCCCAGTTCTCCATCAAATCAATCATCATCAGTTGGTTTCCAATTCAGCATCGGTGGTTTAGTGGTAAAATTAGCCGTTGCCATCCATTACAGGACAGTTTCGGCTAGCCCCGGGTTCGATTCCCGGCCGATGCATCGCAGCTTCTAGTATTTCTTTTTGTGTTTGTGTTCGGTTGTGGTGAACAGAGATGTGTTTTCCAGCCGGTGGTTCTGGACGCACGTGATGGTAGCGTGGTTGGAACGTGGTTCGTTAGCGAGATTAGCGCCGGCTATCTCCGCACTAGCGGTGGGATCCGTAACGTGGCAGACATTATTGAATGATACAGCTGGGCATGGTTTCTTTTTGTGTTACACCATTGCCTTATGATATTTGCCATTATGAAACCTTTGATCAGCCTATGCCGCAAACATTGCCATTCGCAGCGCTTGCTATGACTCCTAAATACATGCTAAGTTGCTGTTTTATCGCATGCCAATCACTTACAGCACATTCAACACTGACACAATCACCTCTCAATTCCTTGTATTCCCCGAAATGGTTGCAGCAACGACGCCCCCAATGACCGCCCCAAGTCCAATCCTCCTATTCTCCCTCTGACCACTAACCCGCCATCGGTGACTAGCCTTCGGCACCACGATCCTCTCCGGCTCCGCAAGCCCCATCTGTCCCGGCGGCGCATCTTTGAGTTGCCCATACTGTACTCTCCTCTTCCCAACATCCTCAAGCACCTGATCGAAGTCGCCGTGATACGCTTTCGTCTTGTCAGGCGCGATGATGGGCGCACCGAAGGCCTGTGAGATCTCAAGTGGACCAAGGGTGACTTTGCGACCGAGTTGCCAGAAGCCCCAGTATACGGGTAGAACGAGCATGACGGTGACGAAGGTTGCTGCGAGGGCGCCGCCGACGTAGGCGAAGGATGTGAGATATTCTTCTACGATGCCCGTGACAGACGCCTCAATTGTTTGGTTGGCCATGCCCAGGCCGGCGCGTAGAGATTTGTCGGTTGTAGGTGCGCCTTTAATGTATAACGCGGTTACAAAACTTAGGGTGTTGAGTTTGCGCAAGATTTCGATGGTAGGATCAACTTCACCGGACTTGTCAATGTTGTACCAACAGCGATCCTTTTCTGGCTCATCCGAGTCGGCGTAAAATGTAGTTGGAGCCGAAGCGCCTTGAGAGTCGATCTCCCATCCACTTTCGTAGTTGAGATCTGCCCGAGACTTGTAGAGATTGTTCATGATGTAGGCTAGAGCACCGACAGTAGAAGTCTCGTTGAATTGCTCTGTGAGATTGACATGGCGGGTTACTTTAATGCCGTCGATTTGTTCGATACCACTGATATCGGTACCAACAGGTATGGAATCGTTTGCGTTAAAGAATTTGACATGTGTGACAATGTTCTTGCCCTCCAATTCTTCTTGGCTTGGTATCATGACAGTGACGGGATACTGGACGACGGCGGGCACAATGTCGCATGTACGTATAGTCTTTGTACCGGGACAAGAGTGCTCATTCTCTCCAGCTCGACTGTCAACATATAGCATCTCGAGAGTAATGGTGGCGTATGGCTTTGTTTCGGTCACCCAAGACGGTGTGAAGTTGACATCCCACAACGGGTAAGATGTGTTGATGTTCTCTGGTCCTTCTGACCGTTGTAATCCATAGTCCACGTTCTCGTATTGGCTGGTACAATCGAACATGAAGCCGAGACCCTCCACAGCGCCGCTGCACTCTTGTCGATAAGGACAATCGAAGAAAGACGCGTAGTCCTTAAGGGTATCGTGCACCTTGCCATTCGCGATCTTGCCATTGTACGCTCTCAGTACACTAGCCCATGTCGCATCAACAGTCTTGATGGAGCCGTCTTTTCCGGGAATCCCACCAGATTTCGCTACCCAATCTGTCTCGATCCATGCAGTCATGTTGACGTTGGCGTATTCCTTTTGCTGGGTTACGATGGTCTTTGTCGCTTTCTGGAAGAGAGTACTGTCGACAACGGCGAATTTCGTCATAAGAGCGGCGAGAGCGATGATGTTGAAGTGTCTGCCGGAGGTGATAATCGCATAGAAGCTATAAGAATACGCATGATTCTGATGTAGTCTCCGGAGTGAGCTTCCGCGCAAGGCTGTCCTCCACCATGCGATAGCCAACCCCTGACCAATCAATGTAATCAGCCCCAAATTCTGGACTTGGTTCGCAATGTTGAGCAGTACATTAGGTTGGGCGGTGAATCTGGTCCGTCAGTTCTGATTTCATATTTAATAAGCTTGCCTAACTAACTCTGTGAATGGCCAGTCTTTGACTCGCTGCTTGTTTGAGGAAACCAGAATGGCTACAGCCCCGGCAGTGGCCACAAGGATCACCATAAGCCCCGCAAAGCCGATCCATGGAAACTGATGCTTGAAGCCAGGTCTCCAGTCGATGCCGTCGATATCTGAATTGTGTTCGGCATGGTCGAACTTCTCGCTATACTCTTGTCTAGATGCGTTCGGTGATTTGCCAGAGCTGCTTGTGTAGCTCGTGGAGTTTTCGCGTTCCTCGGTAATAGCGTCAATCATGACTTTACAGTCTTCCTTTGGTGAGCTTGGGGCAGTTTTCCAGCTATCCCTATTGTGTCCAGAATCATTGCTAACAAAGTTCGGCGATTGCGGGGTTTGTCGTATCTCGTTGTCCATGGTGGCAGTCTAGTGTATGGCTGTAAGACTGAAGGTGGATGGAATGAATAAGATCCAGTAATAAACGGAGCTAGAGAGGTCGATGAGAAAATGATAAGCAGACTTTGTGGAAAAGAAGGAGCAGCAAACAAACTCGCGTCGCGTGCCCCTGGAAGTCGTAGTACATATACAACAATGTGGTACAGGATGGCGGTATATCAGCACAGGCATTGCGGTCAGCCAGCCTTATGTCCATGCCGCGCCTTAGTTGTTTGTGGGGGCCGAAGCTCATCAAGGAGCCCACAAACGGCTTACGGACATGCATGCTGGCGTAGATAACGATTGGTTGTGAGTGCATAAGGCATACGGGTGTCAGCCGCACGAGGCTTGTCAACACACACCTTGCCCTTTTCGACCATCACAGATGCGCGAAGCGAGATGATCCAATCGCGGCGACGGTAAGACCGGACGTTCTTTAAGCCATGGCAGTCGCGTTGAGCTGGAAACAACGTGTCAAACCCTAAAAGGCGATTGCATTCGGGGATGATGTTCTAGCTCTTGTTCTTCTCCGCATTCTCTATAAGTTTGCGTTCCACGAAACCACGGGAAAGGATAGCTCAAATGGGTTCACGGGTAATCGATAGATAAGATGGTTTGTTACTAAGAGCCACGAGTGTCTTGACTAATGCACGTCTGTTGGCACATCAGCTCGAATGGCGGAGCATTAGAAGAACAGTCCACTTCCGTCGAAGTGTAAGCCCTAAAAATAGAATTCGGTTAAGATCTTCGAAGGAAGGCGTCGCCGTGAGACCTCAAAGAAGGATTTGGTCCTTCGAAATTTCCAGTGCTGATAAATGCTAGCGATTGGCCATGTCATAGTGATCTAATGTCCGTTCTGCACCCTAGCATGCGGTTTGTCGCTTGTGTTTGAGCAGTAACGCTTGACAGTTACAGGAGCGCATGCATGCATCGAGGCATGAAGAGTTGGTAGTACCAATACTAGAAGTTCGTCTTTAGTCCTGCATCTGTTCATCGTCCTGCTCCTGTTCCTCTTTGAGGTCGTCCCTTCCACTTTCTTCCTCTGGTGGCATAGACACAGGAAACGAAAGATGCTTCCAATCCTCGATCTGAAAGAAGTTAGCACCTCCAATCCAGTAACAGAAAAATTGCACATACCTCCTCGGTGATGCTCTTCAAACGGTCACGAATACTCTCCACGGCATAGCTGCCCAAGATCAATCGCAGTGGAGGATAGCTACAATGACCTAATTGCCAGACCAACTCTGCACTTTTCACAGCGCTCACCGGTTGTCTATCGTTCAACCATTGTACCATCCGTCGCGCATGTTGCGCCGGGCTTGTCAAACCCGCATAAGGTTCGCTAGGATTTGGTTTCACAAAAAAGTGGCCATAACGTTTCGGCTTCGGAGGTCCTGTTCCTACAGTAGGTGCTGACGTATAACTGGGTGGTAATATGTTGTCATCTGGCTCGTCCAATCGAACATGACCGGGCTCGACCAGTGTTGCTTTGATGTTAAAGATATCAACCTCGTATAACATGGACTCAATGAGGCCCTCAACAGCGTACTTGGTGGCACAATAGGGGCCAAGTCCCGGCACGCCAAGTGCTCCAGCCGTGGATGAGAATATGAGGTATCGACCGGAGTTCTGAGAACGGAAGTATGGGAGGGACAGCTGTAAGATGTGAAGTGTTCCGAGGAAGTTTGTGGTGAATTGATTGCGCAGGTCGTAGTCGTCCTGGTCCTCGCATGCTGCTATGACGCCGTAGCCGGTGCTGTTCGCTATGACATCCACCTGACCCCAGTATTCGATGCTCTTCTTGATTACTTGATCTACCGTCTCGCGCACCCTCACGTCGCATAACAAGCCCAAGCAGTTCCTATTCTGCCATTTATCCATCTGTTCCGGTGTGTTCTCCTCGGTCCATCCCACCGCGGTGCACTGGTCGCCATGCGCTAGTATTGCTCGAACGAGGGAACGCCCCATATGACCGGTCGCTCCGAAGACCTAGATGCATGTGTTAGCTACAAGGAATATGGTACTTTCTTCAATGACTTACGATCCATACTGCTCGCTTGGGTGGATTGTGCTCAGATGGTGGATCGCATGTTGCTGGCAAGATGAGACTAGGATGGTGAGTGGCGGCGCCTGGCGAGAGGCTCTGGCTTTGAGTATCGAAATCCATAAGAATGTTGAAGAATCTCCGCAATGGTATGCGATCTCAAGCTGTTCCAGAAGGTGGGGAGCTTGGCAGCCAATCGGACTTGCAACTGCCGCTATCTCCGTCTGCTTCCAGTGAAGGAGCAACAAAGACGCGTTGAGGGATTGGGATCGTTATGCAATCGGTCCGTACAGCGTTTGCATGTCGCGTTGGAAGTGTGGTATAGATGAGCATTCAAGGCATGATGAATCTCCTCTCGTCAATCAGAAAGCGAAGCCCCTCAATGACCAGTTGGGCTGGGAAGGCCTGTTGGCGGTTCATAAAATTGCTGACCAGAATGAAGAACATGATAAAAATGTCAAGGTGCATAGGCGACGTAAGGAAGAAGTGGTATGCGAGGAACAGAAAGGCCTGGGCTCGGTATCTGCTCTTGATGGATCGGATGACCCTATTCGCCTTGATCGCAGCGGCGCGGTTGGTAGGGGTCCTGAAGGTAACAACCTTTGAAAGGAGGGGCATCCTAGGTGGAATCGAGGTTTCGAGCGGCTCTGAGTCTGGGGAGAACTCGGGGTTGCGGAGATGGGCTTGGGGGAGTGATTAGGAGGCACCCTTATCGATAGAGCTCGGTCCCTACGCGGCATCCTTCCGATGCACAATTACGTCTGTCTGCCTCCTTCGTGTCTGCTCAATTCACAACCGACATGCAATTGTTCAACCGGTAGCAACATTACAGTCGCGACCATGGTCAAAGCAGTGCCCACACCTGTGGCGCTGCCGGCCACACAGGGTGGCTCGTCGTCGTAGGACCTCTCCTCATCCTATGTAGGCCCCACTAACATGCTGTAGACTTTCTTTCACGCAAGGCTTTCTACTCGGCCAGCTTTCGATCGCGATCTTGATGTTTTGCTTCATAAAATTCTTCATCTTTGGAGAGCCACCGTCCGCCGACGACCGCGCATTGCACCTCAATTCGCTCCGCCGAGCTCGAACTTTAGCACACCAACAATCGTATAAGCAACTAAGGACGCGCGCAAACTCGACATCCCTCTCCTTGCGCCACAAACCGAGTAGGAGTATAATACGAAAAGGCGAGGAGAGCAGGGGAGGACCAAGCATCACGACTATCCTTGCAAAAACATATTACAACGTAAAGGGACACCAGCCAGAGAGCCTGGATTGGTTCAATGTGCTCATTGCGCAGACAATCGCACAGCTGAGGGCCGACGCACGACAGGACGATGCAATCCTCACGTCGCTTACCGAGGTCTTGAACACGGGCAGTAAGCCAGACTGGATTGGCGAGATCAGGGTAACGGAGATAGCGTTGGGCGATGAGTTCCCCATCTTTAGCAACTGCAGAGTCATGCCCGCTGAAGACGGCTTTTGGTATGGACCAGGCAACACAGGAAATGAGAAGGAGAGACTGCAGGCGCGCATGGACGTTGATCTGAGCGATGTCATTACCATTGGCGTTGAGACGACGCTGAATCTGAACTGGCCGAAACCCATGTCTGCAGTCTTGCCTGTCGCACTTGCTGTGAGCATCGTGCGTTTCTCAGGAACACTTGCTGTCTCCTTTATACCCTCTTCATCGCCTCCACCAACCACCGCGCCCATGCCATCGCCAACATCGAATGCCCATCGCGGTTCTTCTCCAAGCCGCCCAGCATCGTCATCCGGTGCACCACCACATCGACCAACTACGTTGGCTTTTACCTTCCTCGACGACTACCGGCTCGACCTCTCCGTACGGTCCCTAGTCGGTTCACGATCACGATTACAAGACGTACCCAAAATAGCCCAGCTCATCGAATCCCGTGTCCACGCGTGGTTTGACGAACGGGCAGTAGAACCCCGCTTCCAACAAATCGTGCTCCCTTCACTCTGGCCCCGAAAGCACAACACGCGAGGCGGAGGAGCCACCGAAGACGCCGACGCTGCAGCCGGAGAAAGTGAAGGTGACGAAGACGATGAAATCGCCGTCATGGAAGGAAACGGCACAGCTCCAGGCTCAACGTCATTCATCCCTACCCCGATAGCTGAGAATGCTACCTTGGAAGAGCGCATAGAAGCCGAAGGCCAGAAAATGCGGGAAGCGGAGATTAGAGCTGGGGTTAGGAAACCCAGTGCATCGGATTCTCGTAGCCGGAGTAGAAATAATCGCGAAGACGGCATGCGATGGCGGGGTGAGCAGAGAGATCGGGATAGGCCAAAGGGACCGCCTGGTAGACCCAAATTACAAAGTCGGACTACGACTGGTATTGCGGGAGCTATACCGGGCGCTATGCCGCGATGAACATGGATGAGTATGCGTATGATGACATGACTAAATGTGTATAATATCACCAGCGGTGGCGTTGTGGAGAAAAGCGTGCGCGAAGCATACGTGTGTATACAGTAATGAACATTCAGCATCACCTATCAAGCATATTCTAGCACATACTGCATGCATCTGCATCATCAGAAGAAAAAAGACACTGATTATCAGTGATACTCACGTTGACGACGTAAGCCTTATTGATTACACCCACTCGTCTAGATATCCTAGCCAACAAGGCGGTCCATTCATGAAAAGCACACCTTGCAATACAACGCTAAGCCGACAGACAATGCCTATGTCCCACTACGGTAGGAGTAGAGGAAGAGAAAACAACGCCATGGGTATCTGTCTTTCTCTAGATACGACAGGGAAAAAGAAAGTAGGAAGATGAAGGCAACCCATAGTATCTGAACGTCAGCCGGGGTGAGTAGAGAAGCTCACTATAAGCTGGCAGTAGGAGTGGGCGCAGGCTGCTGTGGTGGAGGAGCATCGAAGGTGCTGGTTGGGACTTCGACTGGCGCCTGAGGCTTTGGTGCTTCTTCGGGCGGGGTTGGTACAGAGACGAAGCCATCTAATTTGGGCAGCACTTCTGGGTTACCGGTAGGATGTTGTTGTGCGACTGAAATGACTGGAGTAGAGATTCCGTTCGTAGTAGCCGCGGGCGTTGGTACGGGAGCTGATGTCTCCGGGGCAGGCGTGAGGCCAGGCTGTTGTGGTGCGCTGGTACCGACTGACGGCGCGCCTGTCGCAGCGGTGAAATCATGATCTACACCGTTTTCCATAGGTGCATTTTGTTCAGTGGCAGCGGCGCCATCCGATGCACCCTTCCGGTAGCGTAGAGTGACCATGAGGCTATGCGATTCCTCTTCTTCCTCCGACGAATCCTCTGCTGCATCATCTTCGTCATCGTCAAGCTCCATCTGATCTGGCTCCTCTTCGTCGTCATCTCCACCATCCCAAGATGTCGCATCCTCATCATCTTCCGAGTCTACTGTTCGGTTCAATGAACGGCCGTTCATGGTGCCCCTGTTCGCGGCGCGAGTCGATCGACCATGACCTGAATGTGGCTCTTCCGACACATCGGATCGTACGTAGTCGCCAGTCGCAGGTGATGCGTGGTCTGTGACTTGCCCACTAAGCAATGTTTCGCCATATAAGCCTGTTGCTCGAGATCGGACCTGCCGACCACTGGCGGTGACAGTAGGGCCAGAAGGTGCAGCGGGTGTGTCACGGGCCGACTGCCGCCCTGATCGACGTACAGAGGTGTTGTCCGAGTCGAAATCGTCCTCTTCGTCAAACGTGTATCGTTGGCGCTTGCCACGAGTGCGGCCTTCGTATAGGGAGAAACCGAGTTCTGGGCGCGTGAAGGCGTCTTTGCGCTGACGTGTGTACTCCCGTCGCTTGCGTTTCTACAAGACTGTTAGCATGAGATGATATATACACTGAACAGGGCGTACATTTTCCGAAGCCTCGAATCGCGGCACAGCATTGAGCATGCGCTCGCCGAGTGCCTTGGCCTCTTTGTGTCCGTCCACTTCCTCCAGCTTCGTCGCAAGCGCTCTCAACTCGTCGATAGAGCCGGCGACACTGATCCATTGTACGTTCTTGAGCTTCGGGTCGCTCTCGCGGTAGATACGAAAGTGGGTGTCGTTTTGACCTTCGACTAGGTAATACCGACGCTTGTCACCGTCGCGGCCCCAGGCTTGTACCGACAATGGGATATTCGTATCTTGCTTGTCCTTGGTAGTGCGAGACTTGTATGCGTTGTTAATCATAGCCTTGACCTGTTCGTTTTGGTTGAGGCTCCAAAGGCAGAGGGAGTGGAGGAGGGTAATCTAGGTGACGGTCAGCATTTGGCGATACCAAGATAGATGGCTACTTACTCGCTCTATTGCCGTCATGGTATTGAAGTTGCGACCGCCACTGAGGGGATTGCCAGTCCATTTGGTGGGCCATTGCGATTTTTGGGTTTGGATGGCTTCCTCGAGAGCGCGACCGTAGTGACCCTTCCTGTATAACACACATGTGTCAGCTTGTGCAATACTGCATATGCTCTGTGACGCCTACGCGACCGGGGAATGGGTGTTTGTAAAGAGCGAAGGGGTCAGACTGACTCGACAGGTTTCTTGCGATTGAGAACGAGGCCAAGCAAGGCGCATAGTAAGCCTTCGACATCAGCGGACGGCGTGTCTTCCGCGACACCCAGCTCGATATCTTGAGGTCCTACATGAGGGGAACCGCGAGGGAATGCTTCGTTGAAGCGTGACCGAAACATCACAATGAACTATGCCACATGGTGTTAGCGATGTCTGAGCGGAGGAGTCGTGCGCGATTGCCGTGCAATGCAGCGCGTCACGACGCGACGGACGCGTCCAACACGTACAGCAATGTCTGGGTTATCCTTTGGTACAGGCTCATGCGGTGGAGACGGCGCCCGTTTCCTCGGAGGCGGCGAGGGCGAGCGATGCTTGAAAAAGGTCAAGATTGTGCCGTTCTTTTTCTTCTTTTTCTGAGGTACGGGCTTTGCTGCAGTCGCCTCTGTAACTTCGAACTCCATCTCATCGTCAGTCGGGGGCGCAGAAGATAGAGAAGAGTCTGAATCGGCCATGGTTGCTGTTGTTTGGGGGTCGATGTTGATGGTGGTAGTTGCGGCTGCAGATGCGGGACGAGGAGAGAACTACGAACAGAGCACGGTTAGACAGGCATGAGGTAATGCTACTTTCGCTAGCACAGAGATCGACTATACAGATCCCTGTAACTTGGGGTAATCAGGACAATGAGAATTGTCACCCAGGGCATCTATGCTCAATGTAGCAAGCGTCAGCAGACAGCAAAGCGGAAGCAGCGACACAGTCAAGGCAAACTTTGTATTCTTAGACCATCGTTCATCTATGTACGTGATGCTCGCGTAGTGCTACAGCCATAATTCGATTCACATCGGGCGAAACGAGAGACAAAGGAAAGCCCACGGCTCTACCCTCGCTTTTGGTCCCTTGTCCCAAGCCTCTTCTGGCGAGATCACTCGTACGACCACGGCTTCCTGAACTCGAGTAATTCTGTAGTGAGTAGTGCCGGTAGCTTGGAGGTAACCCACATCTTCATACTAAGATTGGCCTTGCGCCATACATCATTTAACAAGCCTTTGCCGACCTAAGATGCGCGACTAAACGTGAAGATGCGATCGACGTGATGGAGTTGAGGTATGCCGTAGGATCCTATTACTCGTATGGCGCATTGATGCACGTTGGTGGTGTTCATATTCACAGCGCCCTGCTGATGAGGCAGGTGGGAGCCCCCGAGAGCGCTGGTCGTGCGGGGAACGCTTGACGATTGGAGACACGCGAATCGCGACAAGAGCGCGAAAGCCTGCGCATGTATCTTGGTGTTGCCTATGATCGCACATGAACCCTCTGCTGACTCAGTCCTTCTCTTGACTTTTTTTTTTCAGGGACTGTATGAGCGGCATCAGGCAAAACGTTCATAGACAGTGTTCCAGGATATACCTGTCAGAGTAGAGAGTTTGGCCGAGTTCGTAAATGGATTTGTGCTGGCTGCAGGCATGGACATATGCGTCAGGCTTCTAGTCGGAACTTGGAACTAGCCCGCGCACTCCTGAAGTTGCAGCATACCTGTCCACTCTTTGTCGCATATATGATCACAACATCTGCTCTAGCAACGAAAACATTGCGCAATGATGTATCGCAACCAGAGAGAAGCTAATTTCGATCATGTGAGACCGTGTGGGAGAGAGACTTCATAAGACAATGAAAATGACACCAAGTTAAAGATGCATCGGAAAAGGTCCATCAAACATGAAACGAGAAGATGCGAAAGCGCAGCCGAAGTTGTGTTGACTTGGCTGAGTAGAGACACGAATTTGAAGTTGGTGTTCCCCCCAGGCAGAAGAAATGGCACTTACCAGGTCACGTGCATTACCATGCACCGCTAGGCGGGCAGACCGGCCATGATCTCAAACCCAGCGTTGGAAGGTTTCGGTGCCCTTATTTTTCTCCAGCTATATTCATAGCTTTTTGGGATAGAGTTGGGAAGAGCCAGGCAACGTGGGCAGACACTGACACCGTGATGGAGAGTGTATTCGCAGCATGTTCAGGTAAGATAGCGACTACATTGACTGCATATGCCAAGGTAGGTCAACGAGGAAGAAATGGGCCCTTCAGCTCCCTCGCGTCGATTGCAGAGGCCAGGTGGTATATGGTGCCTGTAGCGAAGAGCACTTGGCCTGATGTAGGAAGGAGATTCGGGTTCGCGTCCTTGTTGGCTGCATATTGATGAGTCTGGAAGGCGCGCTAGACAACCAACATGCGCTTCTGTAGGTCTATCGGATTCCCATAGCTGGGCGCGATAGGGAGACAAACCGAGTAGGAGCCTACTGCTGATTCCGGTGATTTGCTCGGTGACTTTGGCAACGGACAGAGAGCAGCTAAGAAGGACGCTTCATTGGTACGGGTGGCGAGGGTGAAACTGCACATCCATTATGATGCGCTTGATGGCGCAAACCATGACATCGATTGCCAAGAATAGAATGAGGGGGAGTGGCAGCAGGTTGTATGCAATGTATGGCAAGACGGGTGAAACGGAGGGAACCCCTACAAAAGGCGATAGTGGATGCGTTGGCTGTGGTGAGTAGATAGAGCGCCGGCGGAAAGGCCTTAGGGCGGCAAACCCCGGAATAGACAGGTCCTCCCGCCCATGTCAGGACTGGCTGGGCCGCGTCTTTGGGCGATGCTGATCGCCGTTGGAGGGCACCTAGACGGTCTGTGGTTTTCTGGAATAATGGGTCAGGGTCGCGCCTGCTTAGCCTGCTATATTGACACGCGTTGGTTCTCAACTTCTGCCGTAGGCCGCCCACTATTGCGAAACCTACTCTCCTGAGTTCAATCGTCTCCTTTGCACTCTTTACACCTGCCCTCTCCTTTCTTTGCTGCTACCCCTTCTTGGTGTCTGTCGCTGGGTGTTGATCGTCCCGCGCCTGCCTCCCTGGCCCGTATCGATAGCTGTACCCTGCACACGGCCCATATCTTATTACGCACGCCGCATTCCCCCTCGTCATTCTGCTTGCTCCACGCTCCCTTGCAACTTTCTCCCTCACACCACCGCAATCATGAATGTCACCAAGAAGTTCGATCGCTTGAAGCAATGGACCAACGAGAAGATGGGCGCAGAGGCCCGCACGGGTCTCTCCGACGAGTTCAAGGCGCTCGAAGTAGAGATGAACCTGCGTCATGAGGGTATGCACGAATCCGAGCCCTGCAGTTCTAGTCTTGCATTCTAACCACGTCTATAGGTATGGACAAAATGCACGCCGCCATGGCCGTCTACGTCAAATCGCTATCCAAGCGCGCAGAGGGCGCCGACAAGGAGAAGCAGCTTCCAGGTGGCCATCTGGGTTCGTCCATGGTCACTCACGGTGAAGACTTTGAGCCCGACTCGGAGTTTGGCAATTGCTTGTCTTGTACGTCTTCAGGTCAATTGCATTTGTTTGCAGCGTACTAACTGCCAGCAGCATTGGGACGAGCAAACGAACGTCTGGCGCGAGTTCAGGAGACGTATGTCGCAAGTGCTACGTCATCATGGCTCGAGGGCCTTGAGCGCTCCCTAATTCAAATGAAGGAATACCAGGTAGGGCAGCATCTGCATGAAGGTGATGGTAGTCATTGAGCTAATTGGTCTCAGTCCACCCGCAAGAAGCTCGAGACGCGTCGTCTGGCTTACGATACCTCCCTCGCTAAGATGCAGAAGACGAAGAAGGAAGACTTCCGTATGGAGGAGGAACTACGCGCCCAAAAGGCCAAATACGAGGAGACCAGCGAAGAGGTCTTCCGGAGGATGCAGGACATCAAGGAATCGGAAGTCGACATGGTTCAAGACCTGACATCTTTCCTCGAGGCAGAGCTGAGCTACTACGACCGCTGTCGTGAGATTCTGCTCAACGTCAAGCGGGAGTGGCCGGTTAGGTGAGGACTTTACGACCAGCGTAAGACCTAGTACATTGCTGACAGATGTCACAGAGACACCAGGGCTATTCCTAGCCGCCCCGCGCGCTCCCGGTCCAACACTGCACACGGATACGCAGAGCGCTTCAATCCGGTCGAAGAGGAACCCGAGCCTGAAGTCCCTCGCATGACTATTCCCAAACTTACGTCCACGCGCAGCCGCTCCCCTGGTCCTGAGCAGTCGCCAGGTGGCTACTCTCTACGTCCGTCTCTTAGCCGCACTTCGACCTACGATAACGCCAATGGCTACCGAGACGACTCCCCTGCCCGCCGACTGTCCCGCGTCCCCACCGATTCCTCTGTCATATCTTCCGGTCGTACCAACCTCCGTCCAGTCCGCCAGGCTAGCGCCAGCCAAGCCCAACAGAATACTTTTGCTGATGACTACGAGGATGATTATGAGCGATCTAACGGCAACGGATACAGGCGCGACCGCGATCGGTCGCCGCCTAGCCCCGATACATCGTCGTCTGTGGGCAGTGGACGCGGTGGCAACATGTCGCGGGCAGCGAGCTGGACAGCGAGCGAGCAGGGACAAGGAGGCAACGGCAAGAAGGCACCTCCACCACCACCTCCATCAAGGGCGAAGAAGCCACCGCCACCTCCACCACCAATGAAGCGAAGTGCGTTGAGTGAATCTCAAGTAGCACGCTACTAGCCTGCTATCATCTTCATTTGGTCTTCTTCTCGGGCTAATAAGTCTGTGTATAGGACCCATGTCTTCCTCTGTCGGAAATACCAGTTGGTAATACCGACATTCGACGTGGTGATATGTTGTTCAGGGCTTACTTGGCGGAAAATTGGGTCTGCATTATCAACCGCAGTGCGGTCCGGTGCATGTGGCGTTACAATCGCGGGTTGATAAACTATCAGTGTCGTGGCGTTTTGGAAGCTGTGGGCAGTCTGAGTTACTAGCGTCTACCTGTTCTGTACGAGACAAGTCTAGTTGTAGCATTGATGCTAGGGCTCAATCTCTAAATACTTCTCCTTCAGGCAATTGGTGCGAATATGTGAAATCCCATGTACGCGTTGGATGCGTATTCCGGAGTGGGGCGGTACTCGGATACGAGGACGATTTTCGAAACTGTGAGAGCATATCGTGTCTATTACTCAACAAGCCAAGGCCGATTATATATAACTCGGCTGTTCGAAAATTGCGGGCCCCTTCGCAAACACCATTGTACACCCTCTATCATTGCTCGTATTTCTGCTGCTGAGGGGGAAAATTCCAATTTTCCTAGTCTAGGTTAGCATTGTTTCAACTATGAAGAGATCGAAGTCATAGTTGCTTACCCACTGCTGTAACCCTCCATTCGGGCTCGTAGTTCCAAACTCGGCGTGATGCCCAGTATCCACCGGCACAAAAATAGCACCCGTATCCTGACCCGCACCGGTGCCCATTCCACCCCATACGTCGAAATCTTCCACCGAACCACCGCCACCACCGCCATTCAAGCTACCCAATATACTATCGAAATCCACATTCAGCCCATCCAGTGTGCCCGTCGTGTTCGTCCTCTGCAGCTGACTGTGGATGTTATTTGGTGTCTGCTGCGCACTAAAACCAGGACTAGTCACTGAGCCACCGAATGAGGGTAGCGGTTGGAGTGTAGGATGTTGCTGTGGAGCAATTTGCTGTCTTTTCTTGTTAAAACCTTTCATCACGTAAAAAGCTTCTAGGTTCTCCTTTACGGTGAAGAGGAGGTCTGAACAGCGTTCTCGTACACCAACGCCGTAGCAGTGGCCGAATATATGGTCGATGATCGTAGCCATGCGCTCTTTGCGGGGTAGATCAGGCGTACGGTAGAGTTCGGTAAGGAGAAGGAGGACGGCGTGGTATTGTTGGTAGGTGGTTGAGTACCACGCCCAGGAGGAAAGGGAGGGCAGTGTGTCTAGTGTTGCGCCGATTTCGAGTGTGGTGAGTGCTGCAGTGAGGAGAACGTCGCGGAGGCGGTTCTCGGATTCTGAACGTGGTTGTAGGGATGTTTGTGGGAGGTGGCGATAGAGGAGCATGGAGTCGCAGCGGGACATCAGCAGAGTTGCTACGAGGCCCGCGTATCGTTGGATGGGTACGTTGGCGTCTAGGTATTGGAGGTATTTGCTCTGGATCTGGCGTTTCTTGGCTTCTACGCGGGCGCGGAGATCGTGGAGGGTTATGTGTTTGCGATCCATCTCGATCCTGCCACGGAATATGAGACGGTGTATCTCATTGCACTCGTAGCGTATTAACGACAATGTGACGTCTGACCAACCAGTGGTGGAGGCTGGGTGTTGCTGCCATTTTGGACTGCCGAACTCAAAGACATCGTCATCTACATTCAACGGGAGAGCGATGTCAAAGTCGTCCGCCCGAATGGAAGGGTGGGGTCCTTGCGCTTCCGCTGTCTTGAAGTCTAAGAAACAGATTTGGTACCACAAGAGTGATCGAACATGTCGTTGAAGTGGTGTTAGGCTGTTGGCCGAGCTATGGCTCATACGATGTATGCCTATGCATTGTGCTAGGCGAACCAAAGCGCCAACTACGACGGACGTCGCTCGAGATATTTGCGCTCGGCAGAGGGGTATCTGTATGCGTTAACATGCATGATTACAATCAAGACAGTTGGGTGACATACTAAGTAGATCGTCAAAGCTTGCAAAGTCCGAATATTAGACGTCTTCGCCCAGTTAGCCCGAAGCAATGCCCGCTCCGTAGCTTTCTGTAAGCGCAAGAACAGATCCTCTTTCGTGATGCCAAATTGCGACTTGGCCTGTAGTGGCGAGACAGATGCTGCGGCAGCCATGCACACCGCCAATATCAAGGCAGTACACGAGTTCTGATTGGGGCTTCCGATCTCAAGATTCATCCAGAAGCGATCAAACATGCGCTTGAATGACGGGAGATGCAACACGTGCGCAAGCGGGCTAACAGCTTCCGTGTACCGCTGTAGCAGTCCTTCAGCTTCCATCTTGGTGGGTAGCTGCGGCGCTTCAACATCATTATTTTGATGTAGAGGTAGCGAGCCACCTAGCAGCAGGTTCAGCGACGGTGCAAGCGACGGCATCTGCTCTGCAGACAGAAGAGCAGACGACTGCGTTGCTCTTTGGCCCGTGACTGATGAAGAAGGCGTGAAGCTCTCAGACAGAAGCTTGCCGAGCTACACAACGTTTCAGTCTGCGGTCATGGAAAGGCAATGCAAATGCAGGATAAAGCACGCGGATAGGGCTGAAAGTACCTCTTCGGCATATTGGGGGCGGAAAAATCCAGTGACATTTTCACAAATGATCATCCTCCCGATTCGAATCGTGAGATCAGTCGCAATCTGATCTTCATCGTCATTCTCGTCTTCGTACACGTCGTCCTGCGTCTCTTCAGGCTCTGCGGGCAATCTCTCCCAGGCGTCTGTTTCAGGCTCGACGTCTTGCTGATAGGCTTCCCACTCATAATCTCGCGGCGGCGTGCCCGGCGTTGTGGTGTCAACGGATCCCGCATTGTCGTATCCATCATGCACACTCGCACTACTCTGCGTGCGCACGGGGAGATTCTTGGTCCAGTCCGGGATGGTAACACCAGCGCCACTTTTGCTCTGCGCGCGCTCTCGCTGCTCCCTCTCTTTCTTGCGTGCAGCGCTCTCAGGGACGGTGATGAAGACGCACTCGCGTCCGAAGGCTGTGCAGTTCTGGCAAGGATGGGTTTTGGAGCATCGCGACTTCCGGGTTCGACATTCAACGCAGCTGTTGATGGGGCGTGGATTTCTCCGGCGGACCACTCGAGACTGCAAGACCTGTCCTTGTTCTGGCATGTCTCGCAATCCTCATTTTCGCGCCATAGGTGGGTGATGTTGGGAAGGTGGCTGAGGCTGGTGGTGGAGAGAGCAATCGGATGTCGGCCCGTAAGGGAACCGTGTCGCCTATAACACCTGCTGGTGATGATGCACGTGTTCAGCCTTGTCGCATCTTCTTGGCTCTGAGCAGGTTAGCAGACTTTTCGCCGCCTTCGGAGTCATGCAGGTACCGCCCAACAATTGATTATTGACTACGAGCCATAGGTCAGCGCTGCTATCCAGGGCCGGCTTGAAACGAATGATGTGGGCCTTGGTGGGATGCATCTCGACCCTTAGCGCGGGGCATGCACTTGGCTGACGACTACTATTGAGATACTTATTATATGTACATGGCGAGCCTATCAACCGTGTAATACATGAACCTGCATATGATGCCACTCGCTTCGACGCCCAACTCCAACCTCTTTGCTGTACTTGCGCAAGACTAAACCGGCTATCTACCTACTTCCCTCTTCAAGCGAGCCGCAGCTGAGGTAGCGGGAGGCTCGGGCCAGGAGTCGACGGCATCCTCTACTTCCTCTAAGAAGGAAGTGCTATTATGTACTGTGGTGCCACCGAGCACAACGCGAATACCGGGCGAACTGGCATTGACTTGCGCAACCATCTTAGCTTCCTCGTATGTCGCGCCGCCAACCATGAAGACAATGATGTCCTGCGGCTTGTCCTTTGTCGACCCGCCACCCTCTACGAAAGGGTACAGCTGCTGGCTCAAGCGGCCCTTGATCATATCTTGCAATGTAGTCTCCAAGCGAGGTGAGTGCTGTGTGTAGACATTCTCGACGCCTTTTAGGCCCTTGAGTCGATCTCGGGCGCCGCCGAAGAAAGATCCAGGCTGGAACAGGTCTGGTACCCCACCTGCCGCAGTAGTCGCTTGTAGCGAGTCATGGTAAGTTAGTAGCTTTGTGATAAGATTGATGCGATGCCGCGATAGTCCGCCCGCAACGGCGAGTAAGTCAAGGAGCATAGCTGTTGAGTTTGAAGACGCCTTTGAGTATCGTAACGCGTATATGGCAACGAGGCGGAGCTTGTTGTTCGCTGGGACTCTGGGATCCTGGATGATCTTCTGCAGCGACTTGACGTCGTTGTTGTGGTTGTCTGTACATGCTAGGCTCTGTTCAAGCTCACTGATGTCCAACAGACTCTCTTCGCCAACTCGTCTGCTCAGCTCGCCGACAAGTGTGACATGCTTGGTGACGTTGCCGGAGAGCTTGCGGAACTCGGGAAAGTCCTCGATGAAGCGCTTCATATCTGCAATTGAATCAAGCTTCTGTGATCCTTGTTGTTTCGATGCAAACTGCTCAACGTACTCCTTCGCGTTTTGCCCTAGATCACCGAAGTTGAGATACATGTTCTTCTTGAAGAATGGATCCTGGTCTTGCGATAACACAATCTCCTTGAGCTCAGGACGTATTTCCGGCACATGGCGTAAATCCACCCGTCCGTTGTGTATTCCGAGTAGCTCGTGAACCATAGCCTGGTATGTCCATTGCGTTAACAATGGGGTAACCGGATCGTCTCTTCGGTCTACGATCAAAAGGATGGGTGGGGTGTCTGTCTTGCGGAAATCGAACAGTTGCTCTTCCTGTGTCATATGGTATCGAACCTCGGTCGCCAGCTTCTTCACAAGCAAACTATTCTTCTGGTATCGTATCAAGGGTTTCTTCTTCAGCGACAGAAGCAACGCCATGACTGCCTCTGTTGACCTCTGTAGTGCATCCTGATTCCACGAGTCTGGGCTTGTGCTCCATATCCTATGATGTGGGAAACCAAGGTTGAGGGACATGAGGTCGGGGTTTATGACGAGGAAATCAGCGAAGTATTCCTGGATCGCGCGTACGACTTCGTGGTCGTCTGCTTCGGCGAGGCGTTCCAACGAGGATTTCTTGATTATGTTACTGAAATCTGTCCGCATTAGCAATCGTTTGTAGCTCTGTGTTCCTCCGAGCGCGTACAGATGTTGTATTCACCGTACTTGGGCTCTCGCAGCTCCTCGATCAAGCTCTGTATCGACTCTGGGGACGGTCGCACAAAGCATAGGCAACGGAGGTGGCGCATCTTCTCCCGCTTCGGGTTGTCGAGGCGGCTACCAAAGTATTAGCCGTGTATCGCATCATGCCTCGTGAGGGTGCGGTACTCTGTAAGGTAGACTTCATGGTTGAGGAGGGCGGATTGTGTTGTTGCTGTGGAAACTATGGGGACCTTCGAACTGTCAGCATTGTATGTAAGAGCACCTGGTAGAGGAGACAAACCCACAGTCTCGTTGTCGAGTAGGAGGATCTTCATCTTGGCCGCGGAGGTGCCCGTCGCAGCGCTGTCCCCGACCGACACCATCTTGGTGATGTAGCCGGAGACGGCCTGTATGATGTCCATGGTTGCGAGGGAATGGCTTGCAAGCTACTATGCACTTGAAGGCGTAAGTTAACAGAGTCGTCGTCTTGCTTGCTCTTCCATGTCGACGCGGTCGTTGGTTAAGCCAGGCTAAGAACGTGGCTCAAGCGCGCGAGCTCAGGAACATGACACCGCCAAGGCGAACTTCACGACTCCTCCTTGGGCTTGTAGACTTGCTTCTCAGCTCCACATCAATCATGATTCCCTGTATCCTCACCCTCACCCTCTACAACTTAACCTCAGCCAATGTCGTTAGCCTCGAGATCACTTATGGTGGACAGATACGCAGAGCCCCACCGCGGGGCGGGTGCATTGCAGGCCCAACACCATTACACTCCGTCTTCATCGACAGTGATCATATGTATGCAGATATGATGCTCAGGCATGCGCGTAGTTCAATAGTCACGAATGGATTTTTGTTGCCTATCAGGTAGTTCATCTTGCCACAACGCCTTCACATCTAGGGACGTTATCGACACGCCCTTCCTTTGCGGTGTAGCTACGACACTTATGAGAAGTGTGCATAGACTGGTCCAGCATGCAATTACTTCAAGATGCGCCCCTCAGCAGCTTCCTCGGCGTGCTGCTTAATGCGACCCAGCGCCTTTGCTTCACTATCGATGATCTCCGGCAGCAGATCGAACACACTCTTCTGCTTGGGAGTCCAACCGAACAGCTTGTTGGCTCGGATAGCCTTGCAGCGAGAGTTGGTGCCTAAGAAAGTCAGCATATGTCTCACACTCTAACATAGGATGACTCACCCCAAAGGTAGCTGCCCATTGGCCTCATCTCATCCGCCTCCTCTTTGCTCACACTGTCCACACCTTCGTGGTTGATGAGCTTGTTCTTGAACGCGACCTCAGAGATCTTGCTGCTGATGTCACCCCAACGGAACTCCCCACTCTCAGCGAAATAATAGCCTTCTTTGTTCCAGGTTGCTTTTCCACCATCTGGCGAGAGAGCTGCCGTTACGAGGGCTAGGAAGACTTCGCTCAAATCTTGGACGTGGACCTGAGTCCATATGTTGTCACCGTCGCCAACAGCAAAAGCCTTCATGCGCTTCAGTGCTGCCTTGGTCATATCGTATATTTGTACACTCTTCTGGTTGTCGGGACCACGTCCGGGGCCATAGATACACGGTGGGCAGACAATTGCAGACTGAATGTTACCTGCTGACACCTCATTCGATCCAAGGATGATTTTATCGACGTTACGGTGGAGCGCCACATCAGGCAGTGAAGTGACTTCACCAATGTTGTCCCAGTCATCGTAGACCTTCTCTCGCTTGATACCGTAGGTGTTTGTCTCAAAGTCCTCGAAAGACAACACACCAGTGCCAGAGGTGTGGATGAGATAGGTCTTTCGTCCGCTCCGGGTAAGTCCAGCAACCAATGCATTAGCAGAGGCTACGTGGTCGCAGTCGGCGCAATGAAGCACAATGTCTGCATTAGAAGCCTCTGTAGTGAGCAACTCGGTGCTGTCGAGGGTGCCATACACAAGACGGATCTTTGGGTATCGTGCTGCGACCTTGGCTCCTTTGTCGCTGTTGCGAACGAGTGCGGTAACCTCAAGGTCTGGGTAGGTGTTTGAAACTGCATAGAGGGCATCTCCTCCGATATACCCAGTGGCGCCAGTACTGGGTTTGATTAGTACTCAAATATCCGGATTTAATGCTTTCCCACATTGCTGGTGGTTCACTTGTACTTGCATGAGTACCTGCACAGACTTACATGAAGAGCTTCGGCATGTTTAGAGCGGTAATGTGATTGTATTGGGATGAAAATCGAGAGGGAAGTTAGGAGAGAAAAGAAAACAAATGGTATGATTGACGATATACGTGTAAATGACCAGGCTTCTGCCGCTTTGAAATCGTGTGGCCATACAGCTCCACAGCTAGCAGGAACGTACGTCACAGATCTGTACCAGTAGCTGCTAAGGACTTATCCGCCCAGAAGCGTCAAATCAGTAACCACAAGGCTACAGTGCTTAGCTATGACTCTTGAGTTGCGTTCAACATCAGTCATGATACTCCGGAGCCTGATCAATAGATTTGAGGCGTAATGGCCGTCATTAACAGCATGCGCAATACTATAGTCTTGATCCGCCCGTCTGGTGCTATGCCCCGCAGTGGAGCATCCGCTCCTACGAGCTCACGATCATACACATCCTAGGGCTTGCTGAGCACTTCAAGACACATCAGACAAGCTAGACATGCGCAGAAGTGCATAAACTTCGTAGACGGATGTAGTCTCCGAGGCCTCGTACAAGAGCTCCTTACCGTTGAGCCTCGGTAAAGTAGACACAACTTACGTCATCCACCTAACCCTACCAACATCGACCCTTCATCTTAGCCATCTTTCAAACGTTGTCGTTTCGACATAGTTGGTCTTCTGAAATTGCCGAGTACACGTCGCTGCTACCAAAATGCCTCTCTGTACACTCCACCTCCTCGCCCTCCACAGCACTACACCTAATCCCATATTGACCTTTCTCTCCACATTGAAGTCTACGAACATACCAACGCTCGTCATTTCACGCGTTATACGTTGGATCATTCTTCCCTCAAAGCTTTCAACCGAACACCTACTCGCTCGAAACATCCACTGGGATCTTCTGCTCATCTTACCCAGTACCGATGCTCTCCCGTCAGAACTCGAGAAACTAGTTCACCACCACTGGAGCGTAACTGCAGGTGTACCATCTCGTCTAGTTCAGGACTTTTCATCAAAGAACGACAAGCTACTGCACCCGGACCCGAGTTCTGTCCCCAAAGTCCAAGCGCAGAAGCACAGCAAAACCACCGAGTCAAGTCAAAGCCTAGAACTCAGCGATGAGCTTAACAAATGGATTGAGACCTTCGCCAGCAGTGGCGCTAAAGAAGGCAAAGGTGCAGTATCAATGTTCAACCTCCTCGCCTTCAATCCCGGGATGAAAGAAGAGTATCTAAAATACGGTGCCGCATTCGCCAAATCCATCGGCTCTAAGCACGGCGGCAATGCGAAGATCGTCGGAAACGCGACACACGTCAACGGTGCGGCTATTACCAAGTCCTCGAACAGCAGTGTCGGTGTCAATGGTGAAGTGGGTGGAGGAAAAGATGACTGGGACGAGATTGCGCTGGCGCATTATCCTAGTATCTTGCACTTTAGGGATATGTTGGCGAGTGAGGATTATCAGGAGGTCAACCATCGGCATCGCGTGCCGAGTTTGAGGGATACTTGTATTCTTATGACTAGTGAGATTGCGATTGAAGAGTTGATGAGGGAGGGTAAAGGTGGATCAAAGCTTTGAGTGAATGGCTAGAAAGCGAGTTTGCGACCGAATTTCATTTCATGTCACATGCGGTTGATGCCCAGTATCTCTCCTTGCTCGTATTGTTACTATCTGAGATTGCTAATACAGAGCTCTGCGCTAGACAGCATCGCCAAAGCGTAACTTCTTGATGTCGGTACAAATCGTCAACTATTGTACGTGAGAATTTCCCATGAACTTCACACGTCAGCCTCTAATGCCGCGCTTACATTCCAGCGATCATAGCGCCCCGATATCCTCGAATGAATCTTAAGAAATTCCAGAACTCGGAATCAACGATCACACATCCCAAAAAAGCCCGAACATGAGATCTCTAGCAAGAACGCCGCAAGGATCAAGCCAGAAGTTCTGTGAGTGTCCTCAATCGTTCATGTCAACGAACAATTCGCGGAAAGACAGACGTCCAATGCCCTCTCCCGGGTGTGATGTCTTGTCTTTCTTGATTCCGTCCTTGCGTGTACGCCATCCACGTCTTCGGCTATTGATGTCTGGCAGCACCCAATTTTTCTTGTCTTGCCCCCTAACCCATTTCTCACACAACTCCTCAGCCAGTTCGACCTTGCGCTTCCAGAGTCCGTCGTCTTCGCCTACCACCTTGAGTAAAAGAGGAGCCTTGCGCCCTGCTACTTCTGTAGAATTAGGCGCCTCGGAAACGAAGCACCGGCGATGGAGTAGACACTCTTCGGCACGGCCACTCCGCTGGCATCGAGAACAGTATGGATATGTTCTTGAACATGGCAGACCAGCGATCGTGCATTGCAGACAAGATGTGATCCAAACGGGTCTTGGCTCGTTAGAAACTTGCGTCAGAAGAGCTGGTTTACCTTTGAGACCAGGGACAGGCGTGACTTCACCTATGGACACATCTGAAGCTAAGCCACAAGAGTCGAGGCTAGCTGATGGCGCGCTCGGCAGTAGGGAAAAATTGGGTGGCACCGGTCGCTCAAGTGCGTGCTCTTTTTCCTGTACGAGCGTCCAGTCATCGCTATTAATCCTGGTCGTGTCCGAATCATCGTCTCGTATCTCACACTTTGGGGTCGGGCTACCAAACAGGTTCCGGCGGAGAGGTACATCGAAGATGCTCTGCCCGGAGAATGAGGTATAGGTTGGTGAGGTCTCGTCCAATGTTGCGTGTGAGTTTGGTTGCCGCTTCGGGGTTCTTAGTCCCAAGATTGCCCTCTCATCTTGGGCATTCTCGTTCCCCTTGCCCTCATCAGTCTCATGACCCTTGATCTCTAACTTTCCAAGCCATCCTTCGATGCGACCAGTGCACTCCGCCTCCTTTGTCAACGACCTTAGCGGAACAGGCATCCTCGAAGAGTTTGTCTTAACTGCCGCGGATTTTGAAGAGTTGCTGGTAGCTAAAGGTAGAGAGACGTGGAGGTGGTGAGGTCGAAAAGATACGGTGATATACATTCACGGTGAAGTCGACAACGCTAGTCCGGACGCGTCAAGGAACTGGGCCATGAACTCGGTATGCTATCAGAATGCGGGGTAACCAGAGCGCCTATGTACTCAAACATCAAAGGACAGCGAGAAGCCTGTGGGATTGTGGTTATGTTTGTCTAGGTGTCGTTCGTGGATGGTGCAACTCGTAAAACATTCTATGACTTCAGATCAGTCTAACGGCGATCAGTGTTCAGGAGCATGCAAGTCGAAAAAAGCGCGGACTGCTGCTCGACGCTTTTCGTAGAAGGCTTTGACATCTTCCGCGGTCTCTCGGTCGCTGTTTCTCCTACGCTTATACCTGGCACCTTGAGATCTAGCTTGGGGTACAGTCGGATCGACGACGTGATGGCTTGAACAGCTCGAGATATTAGGGGTCGTTTGTGGCTTATAGCTGCTTGCCCTGCTTGTAGGCTCTTTGATCTTTGCTGGTGGCTCTCGCTTAGCAGCCGTAGATACGGACACGGTAGGTACACGTGAACTATTACATGCCGGCACTGTCAAGTGGGACGGGACGGAACACGACTGCGTCTGCTCAGCATCATGTTGGTGCTGCGGCGTTTTGACTCGCGGTACCTTCTTCCCGCCTATCGAACTTTGGTATCCCGAGGAAGTTGTGTGGTCTTGTGAAACTTGGCCTCTGGCTGTATAAAGATGCGAGACGGTTTCTCGGAACGGTACTTCCATCTTTTCTTGCACACCTAGCCTTAAATTTTTAGAGTGGGTTAGAGCGCGAGCTTGTCTGTTCTGCGATGTGTTAGTTGTAAAGTACCTATTGCAGTTACGCGCAAACCTACAAGAATTGGCTTTCTGTTCTTCCTTCTATCTTCCCGTTTATTAGCTTCCAAGATGATCGTGCCCTGATATTTCATGATTATGTAAAAACCCTTATACTTCATCCGACGAAGGCTTAAAGCGAGAGCATCAAGCAGCTCTTGTGACGTAGCTGGAGTGGCCTCTCTGCCATATGTATAAGTCGTGGTGGTCAATACATTAGGTGCTGTGAGTTCGACAATGCAATCCGTGTTCCTGATAGCCATTAACGGCTGTAGCATGTCGGCCAACCGTGATTGGAGTGAAGTGATAAGTACTTCGACGTGTCCGAGGAGGTCACCCAGTGGGCACCCTAGACGAAACTTGTCAAGCAAAAAGAACTCCTGTTGACCATTTCGAGCAAACAAATCTTCAGCTCTGACTTTGAATGGAATCTTCCTAAAGTAGGTGTTGATAAGCTCTTTCACAAATTCGACGCCCATATACGAAGCCTGAAAGTAGTGGCGTTTCAAGAACGAGAAGCGTCTGTCGAGCAGCGTAGTTGATCTGACCCCTTGAAGGGCTTCGTAGCTGGACCATGCACTGACATGGGAATTCTCTTCGCTGTCAACCTCTGTTTGTGCAACCGTCATGCAGACATCTAAAACGATGTCATCATAGACCAAGTCACGTAACTCTCTTGGTAGTGTCTCAAACATTCGCTGGCTGATCAGCTTGCAGGCCGAAACTCCGTAAGAGCGCGCGCAGGCATCGAATTCTCTGCTGCGCATAAGTAGGGACATTTGCGCTACACTTGAGAAACCCACTCCGCGTCGTTGTCGAGCGTAAGGCGTAATTCTGTCCTCTGCTGCACCTGTTGTTCATCAACAAGCGCATCATTCCCTGGCCGGTCTACGAAGAAACAATCGAAAGCCCGTCTAGTTTCCGGTTCCCTCTCATCAAGCTTCGCGAAGGCGAGCTGTGTCTGCGTGTGTTGTGCGGCTGCTTCTTCGAGGAGTTGATAGCTGCATTCGGTTCTGGCTTCCAGCTGCTGCAATCTCGAACGCGTTTTCGGCATGATTACGCAGCATGGAACAGGAAGCTATACCGGCTGTGACTGGATTGCGAGGAGATAGAACTACACGCGGACATTCGAGGCATCGCGACACGTCTCGGCTGGTACCGCACGAGTCATGCTAGCGCGACGCGTACGATATCCCTGGTGTCAGACCAACGACTTCACTTTCTTACATGAGCCTTTGGATTTTGCATACCTTCAGTGGCTTTCGTTAAGCAGGCTAATTAATCTCAAACCCTCATATCTCAGTCAAATTGATCATAATACGCGAGCGTCAACCGCAGTGGCATGCCCAAAAGGTCTTTCCGTCTCTAGTCATCACCAGTTCACTTCTCAAGTACTTTGTGTCAAAAGGATCGCTTCTCTATATTCCACCTCAAACTATAGCTAAATACGCAATGCTCGAGTTGGTTGAGACTGAATCATGCCCTGGGTAGGCCGGTTGCCCAGGTGCTCTCGGTCAACAGTGACGTAGTTTGGGACGAGAGCAACGCCCTATAGTCAACTATGGTAACTGATCGTATCGTAAAGCTATTCATGCTGAGTGTGAACGGGTCGATTAGGTGTTATTGTCGAAGTAAAGACGATTTCTGTTGCCAAGGCCTGTCCGTTTGCCCTTCTCCTGGACAACCTCACCAACTCGAAAACTTTCTCTAAAACAGCTTCTCATCTTCAAAAACAACTTCATCAAAATTGATAGCAGCTACTTATCCAAAAACTCACTACATACCCACCCACACAAACAAAGCCGCTTCCATCACATCAAAATGGAAGCCTACCTCCCACCAAGGTACTACGAGCCGCACGACGGTCTCCTCATCATCGCCCTCGCCATGAGCTTCGTCATGTTCGTTCTAATTGCTAGCTATAAAGTGGCAGCGTACGGCATAACCGCCAAGTCAAGCCCAGGTACGTCTTATCGATTATTCCTCTTCGTGTCAAGGGACTAATATAGTATCAGAAATCGGCATGAGCAAGAAAGAGCTCCAGGATCTTGTGAGCAAGGCCGTACGCGGCGAAGTAGGGATCCTCGAGAGGCGTACGGCGGCGCGTGCGAGCCTGCTCGACGAAGCCATCGACATGGTGCACCAGCACGAAGTCTGCATAGCGGCGCTGGAAGAGAAATACGACAAGGCTATGGAGGATATGGGCGCCCTCCGTGCCTTGGTCAACATCACCACTCCCAACAACCCCCTGGCCATACCATCTGTACAGTCTCCGCCGTCCGAGTGCAGCTCATGGGCACCCAGCTACCATCCTTACAACTCAGACGACGGCAGCATCTACAGCGTTGAAGACTACGAGTCTGAGCCGCGAGTCTCATCGTTACCTGATCAAGCGCCTGAAGTCTCCAGCCATCAACTTGATTCGGCGCTGGGAGATGAGCTCGCTGAGTTGGGCGGGTGGGGCCTGGACCTAGAGGCATCCGAGGAAGACGAAGATGGTAACACCACTGACCAGGATGCAGAAAGCGAGACAGACGATGAGTACGATGAACCAGAACCGTCTGTCCCTTGCACTCGCAGCGAGCTGAAGGTTGGCAGAAAGCCAATTAGACCGCTGTCAAAGTGCAAGACGAAGGGTCCTAGCACCCTTCAAGGATTGGTGGGGAGATCTTCAGGTATGTTTTTTGTAACGGAACCCAACTCCTAAATCATGTTAATCAATTATGCCAGGCTAACAGACACACGTTCGACACTCCGGGACGACAAGATGCCAGGCGCGCTGAGCCATTGTCCCGGGTTTGCACCTTTTTCGCGACCCTCCCAGATTACTCTCCGCGCATCAAGAAGCGCCTACAGATGTCTACCCAAAGAACATCCAACCCAGTATCAGCATTGATTCGCTGGGCCAAGTCGAACAACCTCTTCCTTCTCCCCTCATCATTCTCCATCCAGGCCTCGCTGCCGACCTCTCCGACTCCCTCTTCACCAACCATAAAGCCTCTCCTCTCCCCATCAGCTCCAACAAATCTCGCACAAGGTGGCGTTCCCCTGACCACGAAATCGAGAATGGAGTTGCGCCATTGAGCAATTACAGGCCGATAATGTGAGGGCAAACGAGATTCATGCACGCCGCCAAGTAGTGTTGCGATGTCGAAAGTATGCGTTGCGAAAACGCCTCGCTCGTGGATTGGTCCTGGGAAAGGGTTTGGAAGGTCGAAGACATGGAAGTAGGTGTCTTTGATCAGGTCGCTTTCCGCGATGCTGAGTGCGGCAGCAAAGAAGCCTATGTCGCTTTCGAAAAGGCAAATACGTTGGAGCGCATCAGCATCGTCATCAACACCCTCGATGCCGTATATGTCCATCAGCTCCGCACCATGTCCCGGGGACAGAACATCCGCAGTGATGCGACGAAAGGCCTCGGCATGGTTCTTGCGGCTGGCATCATTCCTCATCATATTGTAGGAGATGCCGCCGTCGTATGTGGTGGATCCGACAATTTGAGCTTCAACAGGCTTCGCCCAGTCTCTCCAGTCTGGAGGAGCGACTCTACCTTTCCTCGCCAAGTCCATCGTCGGTCGTTCGAAGGGAAAGAACTCGCTGTTCGTACACGGCGATCCAACCCAGGCCAGATCGCGGATTTTCGATACGTCAACCCCAATCACATCTTTAGCGATAGCTTTGGCGTCCCTCTCACTACCATCATCTTCTCTGATACGAACATCCAACTTCTCAGCATATTTGAGGAAATTGTCATGATGCTCGTCATGCGTCATTGCAGGCATGGTGACTGGCGTTCCGGAGAACATGATTGCACGCTTAAACAATGGTTTACGCATTGTCTGCACCGAGATACTCTCGCCACCTGCGCTTTGCCCAACGACGGTGACATTGTCGACGTCGCCGCCAAAACCATCGATATTCTCCCGTAGCCATTCGAAGGCCATGTTCTGGTCATGGAGACCATTGTTTTCCGGTACCAGATCTCCTGCGCGATCTGAATGCCAGAAGCCTAGCGCACCGAGTCGATAGTTGATCCCCACGAACACGATGGGTGTTTCGCGCTGGATAGCATGGCGCACAAGATTCTCGGGGTTGTAGTATGGTCGATTCGCGGAACCAAGAAAGTATGCGCCACCATGGATGAAGACAAGGACTGGCAACTTCATGCCTGAACGCAACTTTCCACGTTCATCGACGCACTCCTCCGGTAAATGTATGGAAAGGTTCAAGCAATCCTCAGACTGTTCTTCGTCTTCTGGCAGACTGTCGGTCGGCAGCGGAATATTGGATGCATCAGACTTGACGCTACCCCACGGCTGGATACTGGATGCTCCTGGTCTTGTCGCATCAAACACCCCATCGTGGTACCTTTTGCTTTCGCCATCTCCAAGTTTCCTTGAGAGCTCCGCCCGTGAGAATCGTTGGGAAATCTTTCCATACGGCAAACCTAGAATCTTTACAAACAAGCCATTTGTTTCCCGGAGACATCTTATTGCACCGAGCTTCGCGTGATTGAGGACGACGTTGGTCATTTTGTTCGCTGCTTTGGGTATCCTGTGGAGGAGTTACATCCAGCACACAGTACGCACATAGCATCCAAGAGTGGTGACGTCAAGAATTGGCTTCCCAACCCCTACCGCACATGTATGACATAGCGAACCCTCCTTCTGAGACAAATTTCAACAACTCAGAACACCCTCATGCCATACCCAGTGCGAGGATGACGTGCCAGTGAAAAGTAGTCACACAAGCCTGTCGCTGCTCACCCAATGCGGTTAGCTACTCGATCTCGGTGTTGAAACTCGGAGATGCGCGCATAGCTATCATCTTCGAACCCCCGGACGACCTCAATCTAATATGGGGAAAACTCGCGAATACTACACGACCTCCGTCGAATCAACGCAGATAGTACATGTCATATACCCGTTTCTGCGCAAGCGATACCAGAAACCACTATGGCGGGACCACGCTACCGTTACCATGGCTCTTCTTCTGCTAAATCTCGGTCTGCAAACTTGAGAGATAGTTAATCTGGACCTCATTTCATGACTTGAGAACCGACCTTACTTGCGGGTACTTATCTTTCTATACCGTAAGAGGCTATACTATCTTTTGCGCCTTCTCTTTTCGGTTAGTACACAACTAGCTAGAGCCTTCACTAATCGCAAGTTAAAGCTTTAACTCATATCAAAAAGCTTGTCGTCCCACCGGCAGCCTGGTTAAGCACAATCGACGCAACTGTCTTGAATTTGGTTGAATTGGACAACAGTCCATACAGGCAATATGTTGAAGGTCCTCTTCCTCGCTTCGCTCACCTTGGGCGTGTCGGCTGTCCCCACAGCTAAGCACTACGCCGAACGCGACAACAACAACAATAGTCTTGACATCAAGCTCTCTGTTGAGAATGATCTTCTGGACGCTCCGACAGATGGTCGCATCGTGTTGATGTTCGCTCCCAATGGAACTGATCCTCTCGACGATACAGATGTCACTTCTTCTCCGAACAAGATTTTCGGAAAGAATGTACACAACTTCGGACCAAAGCAATCTGTTTCTTTCTCTGGTGGAAGTAACGACAGCACTACTACCGGTGTATATGGCTGGCCAAATGTCACACTGAGTGACATCGATCCGGGCACCTACAGTGTGCAAGCTTTTCTCACACGCTATGAGACCGTCACCCGCAGCGATGGTTCGAAAGTCTCCGTGCGATTTCCATGCGGCGATGGTGCACCCAATGTTAATGGCTATGGAAGCTTGATTACATCACCTCAAGACATTGAGATCTCTGGAGGCGGTCAAACTCTCGAATTGACTTTCAACAACATCACTGCCGTTGAGAACTTCGCCGGCAAGGAGATTGGAGGATGCAACCAGGGCAACTACGAAGACACGGACACACTCAAGCACGTCAAGATTCGCAGCAAGAAGCTGAGCAAGTTCTGGGGCCGCAACAGTTACGTTGGAGCCAACGTTGTACTCCCTGCTGGCTATGACGCAAACGACAAGAAGACACGATACCCCGTCATCTACAACCAAGGTCACTGGCCAGCCGGTCAAGGTGCTTACAACTATGGCGATGATGAGAAGTTCACGGCAGCCTGGGATGCTGGTGTCATTCCTGGTACCAACACGACTGCAGAGCGACCAGCGCCCAAGTTTATCATGGTGACGTTCCGTCATGAAGCTCCGTACTACGATGACTCGTATGCTGTCAACACGGCAAACTTGGGTCCCTATGGTGACGCCATCAATGAGGAGCTCATACCTCATCTCGACGACACTTTCAACACTATCCGCGCACCATACGCTCGTATCCAGGACGGAGGCTCGACTGGTGGTTGGGAGTCAATCGCCAACGTAATTTACCGACCAGATCTTTTCGGCGTGTGCTTCTCCTCCTACCCAGACTCTCTGGACTTCCACCGTCACCAAGACATCGAGCTGTACAGCGCTGCTAATGCATACACACGTGCAGACGGTAGCTCCGTGCCCAGTATCCGCACTCACACCAATGGCACGGAGGTGATTCTTGCCACTGCCGCGCAAGAAAACCACTGGGAACTAACCTTTGGCACATCGTCACGCTCGTTTAATCAATGGGATGTCTGGAATGCCGTCTTTGGTGTCCAAGGTTACAACAACTATCCTCTCGAGCCCTGGGACAAGGTCACTGGGGAGATCTACCCCGAGGCCGTTGAATACTGGAAGCCGTTCGATCTTAGCGACTACATCGTTACCAACTTCAACTCTTCCCGCAACCTCGGTGCCGCTCTTGCCGGACGCATCTTCGTTTACGTAGGTACTTGGGACAACTACTTCCTTAACGAAGGTGTCATGGAGTTCCAGAAGCGTACCGATGCCGTTGGAGGAGCTGGCTGGGCCAATGTCACGATCCTGCCCGAGAAGCCTCATGGCGGTAACTACCAGGCTCGCGAGATCTGGGACTACCTTGAGTTGGTCGACCGTTGGGTGCAAGACCACGCTCCCGATGGTCCTTCGCCACTTTCCCCATCTGCTACCGCGCCGTCTACGCGTGGAAATGTATGGGAAGATGTTATCAAGTACGGTGGACGAAAAGCCGCCATCAAGCGTCAAGCAGACCCCAAGATCGAGGACAAGAAGGCCAAGGTGGGTCAGGAGGTTACTGCAAGTGTTGGACGATGGGATCCAGGCGTTAAGCTTACCGCACAGTGGATCTTGAATGGCAAGCCCGGATGCGAAGCTTTCAGCGTTGAACAAGGAGCAAGCGTCAAGTATGCGCCCACTGCGAAGGGCCGTGTTCAGCTACATGTTACAGGAGAGAAGCGTAACTACGTAACAGAAACCCGCAAGAGTGAGAGGGTACTCGTAGGAAGGTAGTAGGATCCCAAGAACTATACATAGATCAATCAACGTTGAACAGATTGTTACACTCTACTGCAGTAACTATACCACACCTTGCATCTAATCGGCACCAAACAAGGGTACTTGTAGGGATACGCCAGAGTTTCCTGCATGTTCTACCCGCGATCCTCGTGTTCCTGCATGCCATGGGTGTTGTCTGGCGTCCGCCGTTTCCCCATTTAGTAACGCATCATGCGGCGCCACTTCCGCGCACGGCCTAGTTCGGAGATTTTCATCTCCACCTACCTCACCAAGGCACTGTTAATAGTTGTGTATCAGTAATCAACACGTTCGCAAACGTGGGGATCTTCTTATGTGTATTGGAGGGCGAGTAGTTCTCGGTGATACACCTGTCTATCAGAATGAATGCACCGTGAGAAAAGAGCTTGTGAAGGATGGATCTAGGAAGAACGAGCAAGACACGGTTAACAGCAAGTTAGCCGAACTTACAGCAGACCGCCCATGGAGAGTACGCCAGCGTAAGTGTCTGCTACGCTAATTCCCTACACCGTCATGTCCTTCTCCACGGCATCCGTGTCACAGTCGTGATCCGCTCCGGTGGGTCGGCTTTTCTTGCTCCTCCGAGCGAACCACCGTTGCATCTATGGCACGGACAGATGTAGAGACTGCCGGTAAAGTGCTCATCCAAGGTCAGTGGTAGTGGTATACGAGCGCATTGTCTAGATCCTAGGTCCATGCTAGGGGGTTCAATACGAGGCGGTGCAGAAGGCGGTGGGTAGACGTGACGTCCTTCAGACCGCTCTTGACGTCTCAATACGAAGTAGAGAGTTTGTATATAAGTTGCTTTCAGCATTCGCCCTTTGAAGATCATCACAACACAAACAATCTCATCTACTACCAATCAACACCACCACCACCACCAAACCTCCCAACCACCCAACCCAAACACCAAAATGCAGTTCACCACCGCTCTCTTCGCTCTCGCTGCCGCGACCGCCGCCAACGCCCAGGCTTCCGACCTTGGTGCTTGGAACGTCACCATCGAGAGCTCTAGCTTCGCCAACGGCTTCAAGTCGCGCACCGTCCTCGCTGACTTTGTTTCCGACGCCTACTCTGGCGACGACGTCATCCGCACCGTCTGCAAGTACGAGTACAACCCTGCTGCCGACCCCAAAGAGTCCTCCAGCTGCGAGCCCAACACCTTCTCCTACGAGTACGATGGCACGAGTAAGTTTATTCCCCCTTGAGGCCATGGTATTCGGATACCAGGGTATATGATTTCGCTAAGCAAGATGCTAACACACATGAAACAGCCGTCAAGGTCCAGCAGAACGTCGAGAAGCCCAACCCCATGACCGTCTTCGGCGAGGCTCCTCTTAGCCTTACTCTCCAGCCCGGTTCTGGCAAGACCTCCAAGGGTAATGCCATCTTCGATGCCACCCGCGCCATCGCGTAAACACCAGAACGTCAACATCCGCAATAGACCTGTATATAAAAAGGAGGACATGACTGTACACATTACACACGAAAACGAACTACAAGTTTTAATGTAACAACTTCAATTGAAACTGCTTTGACTACTCACGAAGAGCGCCTTACTACACTATTCTCATGATCATGTACACCATACTCTCGTAATAACCCATGACATTACGCCGTCTGCGATGAATAAAAAAGGTGAGATAGTTTGACAAACGAAAACGCCTATGCTCCATCAATGTCCTCTAGAAAAGTTCCTCATACACGAGCATCCTAGTCATGTGGGAAGGGGAAATGCCGGGCTGGGAAATGAAGCCTTGTCGGTGGCCCAGGTGATTCCACTCTAGAACGATACCCTAATAATCAGCAAAATGCCGATTGACCGAAAGAGAAGATATTGAGAGACGGTTACGCTTCGCCAAACAGTCGAGCAGTAATGTCTCCCATATAGGCCTCTTCAAGTTCGTAGTCTTCGCCGCCCATGCGGTCAATACCAACATACTCAAAAGAGGCGACAACAGCTTCGACGTCAAAACCCATTGCAACGAAGCGATCTACCAGGTCCTTGTTATAGCCCTTGTATGCGGCGAGTTTTGATTTCTCTTCGTTTTGCTTCGCCTGCTGGGCCTTCTTCTTGATGGACGCTGCTGTGGCACCTCCGCTGCCTTCAGCAATCTCCTTCTTGGGCGCACCAGCGAACGTGACTGCCCACTCGCGTGCCTTGTGTTCAAACTCAGCCGGATTACGGATGAGCATCCCCGCGACCTCTGCGTCTTGCGGATCTTTCGGTTCGGGTGTGCTGAGGAGAGATTGGAGCGAGATCAGAGCGGACTTAATGGTCAGAACTGGCGACCATTGCGAGGAGAGAGTGTCGAGACAAATGGCACCCTACTGTTGTTAGCTTCTTTTGAGCACAGTGGAAGGCTTCCCTTGTCCCTTACTGTCTGTGAGCTGACATTTGGGTGCCAGATCTTGGTCTCGAACTTCATGAGCGGCGGCCTGAAGGGGTATTCGCTCGGGATCCGGATGTCGACATGGTAGGTAGCTCCCTCGTATGGTGTGTCTGGCGGGCCGAAGAACTGGCCCCGTAGATGTGTTAGATCTTCTCCATTGCCTGCCACTTCGACGACGATCTTGGAGTGCTGGTCGTTGTGGATGTCAGCTATCTCCTTGGCAATGCGCCGGTTACGGTTGGAAGTCATTGTCGTGGACTGTGTCTGAGAGTTTGTGGGTGAAGGGGCCGATGGGGTATAAGTATTGAAAGTAGGCAGCAGAAGGGCGCAACCAAGGTGTTTCTAGGTAGAGAGGTCAGCCTCAGGCTCCGCAAAGTGATCCGGGCTCCACCAAGTCGTGGTGCGGGGAATGTGTCATACAAGTCTTGGGGGTCTGAGAAGGGAAAGTGGCTTCTTGATTCACCTCACAAGCGAGTATAGCAAGTTAGATCTACTGCAATCCTGGATGCGGTTGCAAGAAAGAGCACCTCTTGGCCCGCGTGGGGAGCTTTGGACTGGCTCACCGGCGGGGTCGAAGCTCGGAAAGTGGATTGTACTTGAGTTTCGGGAAAACTGTTGGAAGAAGAAGAAGTTGTCGTGGAACAGAGTGCTCAGTAAGAAGTGTATAGCTATCGGACCGGGCCTGACGTGTCTGTCCTTCTATGGAGGTGGAATGGTGAGGCTTCCAGCGGTTCGAGGCAGTGACGCCACAAGGCGCTAACCCCGATCCTCCGACATCCACGAGCTTCGGAATCAGCGCATCAACACCTCTTACAAACAACCACCGCCCAGCTCCCGCCATCGCCTCTACCACCACCCTCGCTGTGGTAGTCCCTCTTCTAATCACTCCATACCATCAAGCGCCTGATTCACCGCCCATCACCTGATCGCGTGTCATGGTAAGATCGCCTCCCTTCGGAAACCACGACGGCAACATGCTAATGACATACAGGGTAACCAGCAGTCGAGCGCTGGAGGCGGCGGACCTCCAGGAGATGACAAGAACAAGAAGGATAAGGTATGTGTTGTCCACAACACACGGAATGATGGCTCTCGGGAGTCCGCTATCTGTTGCCTCACCGCACATCACAGACACTAACAACGGCCTTTGCAGAAGGAGAAGCCAAAGTACGAGCCACCGCCACAACCCACAACCCGCATCGGCAGGAAGAAGAAGAAGGCTGCTGGACCCAGTGCCGCCGCGAAGCTCCCCACCGTCTACCCGACCGCACGATGCAAGCTACGATACCTCCGAATGCAGCGCATCCACGATCATCTCCTGTTAGAGGAGGAGTACGTCGAGAACCAGGAACGCCTGCGCAAGGCAAAGGCGGTGAAGGAAGGAAACGCGCCCGCTGCAGCCAACGCAGGAGACGCCGAGGACCGAAACGCCGATGAGCGCTCGCGGGTCGATGACATGCGAGGCAGCCCCATGGGCGTGGGCAACCTAGAGGAACTCATCGACGACGACCACGCCATCGTTTCCAGCGCCACCGGCCCCGAATACTACGTCTCCATCATGTCCTTCGTCGACAAGGATCTGCTAGAGCCCGGAGCGAGCATCCTACTGCATCATAAGTCGGTCTCAGTAGTCGGTGTGCTCACAGACGATGCCGATCCGCTAGTATCTGTCATGAAGCTGGACAAGGCACCGACAGAGTCGTACGCGGATATTGGTGGTCTGGAGCAGCAGATTCAAGAAGTACGAGAGGCAGTCGAGCTGCCCTTGTTACATCCGGAGCTGTACGAGGAGATGGGTATCAAGCCGCCGAAGGGTGTCATTCTCTACGGTGCACCAGGTACCGGAAAGACACTTCTGGCAAAGGCCGTCGCCAACCAGACCAGCGCAACTTTCCTACGTATCGTGGGTAGTGAGCTGATCCAGAAGTACCTCGGAGACGGACCCAGGCTAGTGCGACAACTCTTCCAGACCGCTGCTGAGAACGCGCCTTCCATTGTCTTCATCGACGAAATCGACGCTATCGGTACCAAGCGTTACGAGTCAACATCTGGTGGTGAGCGTGAAATTCAGCGAACCATGTTGGAGCTTCTCAACCAGCTGGACGGTTTTGACGACCGTGGAGATGTCAAGGTCATCATGGCCACCAACAAGATCGAGACGCTCGACCCTGCCCTTATCCGTCCTGGTCGTATTGACCGAAAGATTCTCTTCGAGAACCCCGACCGTAAGTTCCACTCTACGCTGCGAGCAATGCATATGCTGACTATCATGCAGAAACCACCAAGAAGAAGATCTTTACTCTCCACACCTCCAAGATGTCTCTCAATGAAGATGTCGATCTCGACGAGTTCATCAACCAGAAGGACGACCTTTCCGGTGCCGACATCAAGGCCATCTGTTCCGAGGCTGGTCTCATGGCGCTCCGTGAGCGTCGTATGCGGGTCAACATGGAGGACTTCCGTACCGCAAGGGAGCGTGTTCTTAAGACGAAGACTGAGGGTGAGCCAGAGGGCTTGTACTTGTAATCGTAAGAAGCATTGGGGGACTAGTATCATCTTTAGCACCCAAGAGCTATATGCAAGTGTATCAGTAGAGGTTGCACATAGGAACGACCTGGTTATGACGGCCTTAAGACTCAATCAGCCAATGTCTTCTCTTCTTTGGTGATGTATTCGTGTCCCTGTCGATATTGAGTTTCCTCTCATCAGAGCCGTCGCGGACTGGCAACTACAACAACCCGAGAGATAGAGCTAGTCAATGCACTTACACTGTCGTCAGTTCATCGCTGTTGTATCAAAACTTTTGGAAAAATCCAGTGAGTAGTACCTTCCTTTCCAATGCTTGACCTCAGTCGTGGCTGCCATCCCAGTCTGCGAGCGGCCGTGCACCCCTCGTGTGTCGTCCGAACTACCTCAAGGGGAAGTCACCTCGTTTCCATACCTTTCTTAATCTTTCTCCTTGTGTCGCGCTCTTCTCTTTGGCTTCTGCGACTCGTCGACTTAGGTAGCGCAAGAGATGTCGTTCAGTCTTACAAGTCTGCTTTCCTTCTCGTCACACAGTCCTAGTCAAGCCATGGTGTTTCGGTACTGAGCAGGAGCGTCTTGACAGTGGCGACACACCATGTAGGCAAAATGCAGCACGAATCTAATGTACAAACAGTGCAGACGTTCGCGGCAGTATTGCCTTTACCTTAGTTATGGGTCCAGCAGTGCAGTTCGCGAAGGTGATAGAAGCTGACACTAGCTCGCCTTCCTAGGGGTATAAATACACGACTTTCCACACGAACTCGACTTCTTGTACCCCCACCCTCTACCGAACTTGAACGTATTCTGATTTGACTACCCTACACCAACTCCGCCTGCAGGGCGACTGCGCTCAGTGCCTACAGGGGACTGCTCCTGCTCCTGACATACACATCACCACCGCTACATTTCTAATCATGGAGATCGAGGCCCCCACCTTCATCTCGCTCAACAAGTCGCAGAAGCGCGCGCTCATTCTCCGCGACCAGCTTCGCTTTGTCGATCCGCAACATCTGAATGAGTTCCTCGAGGGCATCGGTAATGACGAGCCACCTACTTACACCAAGGTAAACGGCGTCATCAAGCCTGAATTGGTGTTGGTCACACTCAAAGAAGAAGCTACACGTTTCGATCTCGGGAACGTCATACTACCAGAAGAAAAGAACTCTATATACCGTGTCTACCTAGTGGTGGAGAATGGTCAGATCCAAATGCAGGCTGAAGACCCATTGGCACAGGATGAAGACGTTCTCGACTCTCAACCCATTCATGGCTTCATTGCTCGGACTATGGTTCCTATGTTCAAAGAGAAGTTCCAGGTCATCTTTGCAAGGATGAACAAGATCAACGAAGCGAGGCGGGCCGCTTACAACATGCCGAATCAGGCGCCATTTCTATTCCACGAAGGAGAGGTATGTTCATCGATACATCGTTGACGTCGCGAGATCTATTGTAAAGCCTTAGATACACGTGATTTGATTCGACCAAGTACTTTCTGCTGACTTTGTACAGACACTTGCAAGGCTCGATCCAGCAAAAGCTGAGGAGGACCGCACTGTTACTCACGGTGAGTACGACAGGCATGATGATGATACAGCACTGACGAATAATAGCGAGGAAGTCACGCAAGAGGGGACTACATAAAGATGTGATTCAACATGTCTCAAACAAGCGCAAGCGCACTGGTCTGGATACGATTCCTGAGGATGCAAAGCGCAAGACGTTTGACACAATCCCGAGCCACGTCAAAGTAGACCTATTCGATTCCCTTGTAAAGGCGGCATTCCCGAATTTCGACAACTTGATGATCGCGGCTTGGAACGTGGTCACAATCTACACGGCTTGCGGTAGTGATTTCCCAGAACTCCATAGAGCCATTGTCGACCTCAAAGGAGTCCTACAGGATTTCGACGAGTCTTTTGGTCAACGCGTTGATCGTGCCACACCTAAATACAGGCATGACTTTGGCGGACCTTCGCGGGACGGTGCGAACAGAGACAGCAACCAAGACCGTAACGGAACCCACGATCAGGACCGTGGTCAGGACGACAGATTTGATGACGCTGGTCATCATGGCAGTCTCTTTGGGACTCCTGTACCCACCCTAGAACAGAACGGAGCAAATAACGCTGATCAGTTTGACGATACCAGTACTAACGAACCGGCCCAGTTGCAAGACAGCATCGATAAACACACTGACGACACGAGAAAGTCTAAGATGCCACTATCACGCCTCTTGAAGCCGTTCCAGTCTCACGAGGATCCAAACGGAGACGATGATGATGGCGACCACACACCTGCCGTGGATCCCCATTTGGCTCACACACTCGAAGAGCACAGCACTGTTCACCAACCTCGTTCTCGTCACACGGCAGAAATCCATATCGGCGGCAGCGTTCCCACTTCAGCAAACTCGTCACACAGTCAGCAGCACGCTCAACCTCCTTGCGAAAATGTGAAGAAAATCCGAGAGCAGGAAGTCGATGATGCCGACACTGAAGATCGTGCTCTCATCACACTACAAACCACACCACAACTCCATGATCATCCAACTCCAACTTCCACTTCCACTTCCACGCCTAAGCCCAGGAACAAGAGGCAGCGCTACAGTTCTGAGTACAGTGTCGCCCAACTCGAGAAGAAGTACAAGGAACGCAAGGCCCACATTCTCGGTACCTTTGAAAACAACATGAACAAGGTCCCCGAAAAGCACCGAGAAGCCCTCCAGTCGATGGAAGCTCTGATTGATGAGCGCAAGAAAGATGAAGCTGAAAAGAAAGCTGACAAGAACAACGGTGCCCCCAAAGAGTCTGGACGTCCTGGTACCAGCAACAGTGGCATGTTCGGTAATTATTCAGGCAACCCTTCCAGCAATTATCTAGGCAACTCTGTCCTGGGAGCCAAGAAACCGACAGGCGTCGCGCCTGTGGCTCCTATGTTTCCAAACGGCTCCAGGAAAGACCCGAGGAATGGTGTTGCAGTAGGTAGGAGGGGCAGCACTCCACCTTACGGACGCCGTCACTAAACACTGAATAACTGAACAGGTGCGCCTCGAAAGGAGAGGATTGCTTTCAAGTATCTGACGAAGTATGTTGATCGCATGGCTAATTGACACGTGAAGTCTCCGGGCGGATTTGAAGGCGAAATCTGGGGCGTGTATGATGGTGCGGGCGTTTGACAGCATCGATTTGGACCAAAATGTATGGAACTGGCGAGGCACTGGGTAGGCGTCGGTTTCTACCCACGACGGGTTAATGCGTGGGAGTATGCGAAGGTCTTTGAAATGCGAGGTATTGGTTAGGCGTCGGTTTATTAACATGACGGGGTAATCGGTAATGAGTGGCGGTATGTCATTGTCTTTGAGTTGGAATTTCGTGCAGCCAAGTTGGCAAGAATGTAAAATGTGATTTTGTATACCCCTCTGAAACTCCTCGTGCTACTCGCCTGAAGAGCACATTGGTATCTTTAGGAACGCCCAGAACGCCTTCCAATGCCGCCTAATGAGAATAAACGCCATATTTATATGCAAACCCCCCCACCAAGACATCCCCACGGCACTACTCCGCCTTCTTAGGCAGCTCAGGGCCCCAAAAAGCATCAGACTCCTTTTGGTACCCCTCTCTCGCCAACTTTCTCCTCTTGGCCTTGCTCTCCTCCAAAGCATCACCCTGCACCGCATCCCTCTTCTGCGCCTGATTCAGCTTAACCAAATCAGCCTTGTCCGGATCCCGACAATTCTTGAGTTTCTGCATGAGTGTCTTGATCTCTGCTTTATGTTTCGCCTCTCTTGCTTCCCGCTCAGCAGTTGGTAGTGTGTTGTTGACGTAAAGACGGTGGCTCGATATAAGGGATGCGCAGTTACGCAGTGTGCTTAGGAGCTTATCGTACACAGGATTGGACGTAGGTACTTTGAGCGAGAGGTAAAATAGCGTGAGTGGTTCATCGGCGAGGAGATGGGCGGATAACCAGATCTGAGAGGGCGTGTACAGGAAATAGGCGTCTGTCAGCACGGCGATGGTACGCAGCGTATTAGTCGCAACACCATACGCGTTGTGTATCCTCTCCTCGACCTTCTTCTCTGGCATCTTCATTGCCTGTCCCCCTACTTTCGCCGGCAGACCACAAATCTTAGCCTGTACTTCCTTTGGTCCCAGCCCCTGCGCGGGACCCTGGTATTTCCCATGCGCCATCTCCAGCATTTCCATGTGCCCAGCTTTTATAGCTCGAAAGGGGTGGCGGACGTCGAGGTTGTAGCGGAGACTTTGCACGATGATGTATTCGGGGGCGAGGACGTCTTCAGCGGTTACGTTGCGGCCGGCGCCTTCGGCGTACTGCGAGACGTGGATGGGGAAAAGTTCGACTTTTGTGGCGAGGAACATTATTGTGCGGAGGATGTTGTTGACGTGGTAGGTCATGGGGGAGTTGTAGAGGTAGAAGCGACGGAGGAATTGGATGCATGTCGCCTGGTCATGTTTGTTAGTGACTGTGTCTATTGTCTTTGTGGAGAAACGTGAATAGACGTACGACGACGTTTAGCGGGAAGCTGTAATGGTTTCCCAATGCGATTGCGCGTTCGCAGAATTCGTTTATTATCTTCAGTTCTTCCTCTGCGGTGAGGCAGTTTATTTCTGTTACGGTTTGCATGCGCGCATCTGGTGTGTTGGTTCCGCTGGTTCCACTCCCATTCTCCTTGTCTATACCAGATGCCACGGCATCATTGTCCACAGCATCGTTGCCACGCTGCGCCCTTAGACGCGCAACATTCGCCTTGACGCGCTCGGTGGCTTGGACGTTGATCTTCAGTCGTTGCGCAGCTAGCTGTGATGCGGTAAAGGACCAATTTCTGAACTGCGTCGAGTTTCGATATAGATCGTCTTCGGTGAGCTGCATGGTCGGGGCGATTGGTCGGAGATGGGCGCGAAGACAGACGCTGGGGTTGATAGAGTGGCACTAGGATTTAGGTGATGACAAGGTACGTGATGTTGCGCCTGCATGGCAATTGCAGCCGAGGGCCGCGCCTTCGATCCGCTCTGCCTTTCGGTCTGTATCGCACACTTCATCCTCTTCTGCCTGATAACACCAACAAATCTTTCATCTATCTGAGCTTTGTCCAAGGTCTGAATATCTCAGATAATGGCCTTGACCGATCTTGGCGGTGCCTGCCCATCGCCTAGGCAGAAAGGCGTGGCAGGTACCACGACCGTGGTCCTGTCAAGTCACCAGAGCTTGGAAGCAAGTACGTGAAACATGCAGCTTGTCATGCGCTGCACCAATTACCCTGGTTCGTCAGGATGCTTTCTAGAATACCCTCAATTGTGCTCAAAACGTAGCCCGGTTGAGCTCAATAGTACACGTAGAGTATGCTACAAGAGGCCGTCTCTTCCACGCTCTTGACCCCGTCTAATTCCTTCTTCTGTCCGTCGCCACCACATACTCCGCTTCATCTCCGCTACCATGCTGTTCGACCCATGCTAAGGCCACCCGTGCAAATAATCCTTCCGATTTCCCATACCATGTATAGTCCGAGATAAGGACCTTGGAGCCTGCGTCAACGTCTACCGATGGGCGCGATTCAGTTCAACTCCACTTTCGTTCTTCTGTATTCCATCGCCTGCCGTTTAGACCGGACGAGTGAGGCATTTCATTCATAGTCGGCTTCAAGCACACTCTCGAGCACCGGGATGGCGACATCCGACACGCAGCTTCCTCATCCTGGAAGTTTGCCTGAAAGGCCCTTGTGCCGCGACGTACAGCATCGATCCGGTTAAAGTCTACCATCGGCTTACACCATCCAGTTCACCACTTGCCACCTTCTCTAGAATCAATAGTCGGGTTCAAAGCTCCCACGGTTATTTGGTTGTGGCGCAAATGTGGTCCAGTAGATCTTGGCAACCAACGCAGCTTCCTCTTTAGGCTACAATATCTACCAATCTCTGTCTCCGCTCGAGGAAATCCTATCCTAGGTCGCGCTGTATCCGCTGTGGCCCCCGCCATGGCCTCGACCTGCACGCCCTGCAGTATAATGAGGTACACCAGCCGTAGTTCCATGCTTCCATGCTCGAATCCAAGGCGGAATGCTTGCCAAGCATCACACTATCCTTGGCCTACATGAACGGCTGCCTGCAAAATTAACGTCCAAGACTTCACCAAGGTTCGCCCAAGACGTTACTGCATAACATGACCGCTGTCATTGCTTCTATACGGTCTTGGTTGCTTATACTAACTTTTCGGAGTACCTGCGATAGGAAGGTCTACTCATGATAGTCATCTGCGGCGTTTTGCACGCGACAGCATCATGGCAGCTAGGTACCTCCAAGAGGGTGGTGCAGAGAGGGGAAGATATATAAAATGCTGCAACCTGCTCCCAGGTTCTCGGATCATCATCAACTGCCAATCGTCAATCTGCAGTCTTGTTCGCAACGATGAAGTGGGCTACTATCACCACGGCTCTGTTGCCTTTGGTCGCCGCTCATGGCTTTACCCACCAGCAATATGCCTCTGGAGAGGTCATGGACCTCATGATGTCCGGCAAGGAGGCTTCATGGGCTAAGCAACGTGCTGCTGGCAACTACGACAGCAAGAGGTGGAACGGTTAGTAACGTCCCAGTATGAACTGTATGTGAAATATACTGACTTCTTGTTCCAAACTTTAGGCTTCTCCAGCAAGCGCACCAAGAAGAACAAGATTGAGTGCAAGGACGGCCGCGTTGAGGCTGTCAAGGGAGATGCCGACCAGACCTACAAGTGCAAGAATATCGACTTGTACGACTTCAAGACGCATGAGGAGCTCGGCGATGCCATTGGTGATGGAAGTGGCTCGTGGGGTTGGTCGCACAAGGGCCGTGACTTCGTAAGTAATCCTTGCTACACCGAACCTTATCATGAATAATCTATGAACTGAGACTAATTCCTACTAGATTGCCATCGGTCAGACTTACGGTGCTTCTTTCTCCGAAGTTACCAAGAACGGCCAGCTGGAGTACCTTGGACGTCTTCCTGCCAACAACGACTCCGTCATCTGGCGTGAGATCAAGGTTGTTCGTGACAGCCTCATTGTCGGTTCCGAAGGTGTCGGTCACCATGTCCAGGTCTTCGACCTGAAGAAACTGCTTAAGCTCTCTCCCAAGAAGCCCTACACTTTCGATATCAAGAAGGATACTGCTCTTGTCGACATCAATCAGGGTATCAAGGGCCGTACCCACACTGTCGTCGCCAACAACGAGAAGAACTACGCCGTCGCCTGCGGTGCTGGCGGTCGCGCCGGTCGTAACGACACCTGCGCTGGTGGACCCATGTTCATTAACATGGACGACCCCACTAAGCCTTATGTTGAGGGTTGCAACGGCCAGGATGGCTACACTCATGACGCTCAATGCATTGTCTACCGAGGACCTGACAAGAAGTACTACGGCCGTGACATCTGCTACGGCTACAACGAGGACACTTTGACCATCTACGACGTCACCAACAAGAAGGGTTTCGGTAACGCTGGTGCCATCATCTCTCGCACACCCTACGTCGGAGCCTCCTACACCCATCAAGGCTGGGTTCTCGATCCCTTCTGGCAAACCCACATCGTCATGGACGATGAGCTTGACGAGGGCCAAATCGACCCCAACCGCACTGCTGTTGACAGTCCCGCCAAGGACGGCTTCGCCGTGACGTACATCTGGGACATCCAGAGCCTCGAGAAGCCCGTTGTCACCGGCTACTACAAGACCACCACCCGTTCCGTCGATCACAACCAATACGTCTACGACGGTCTTGACTACCAATCCAACTACCAAGCCGGTCTCCGTATCCTCGACGTTTCCAGCATCCCCAAGTTCCCCGACGGTTCCAAGGTCAAGGAGATTGCCTACTTTGACGTTTACCCTCCGGACGATGTCAAGCCCGGCGGTGGTGACGCTCTCTGGGACGCTGGTACCTGGTCTGCCTACACCTTCGAGTCTGGATTCGTTGTCATCAACACCATTGACCGTGGTGTCTTTGTTGTCAAGCAGGCTGATGTCAAGGGCAGGAGGAGGGGTCGTGGACAGTACTGGAACAAGTACTAGAGCGAAATGAGTGATGATAGAAACCATGCGCGGCAACAGCGTATAATGGTAATGAAAAATAATGAAAGATTCAAACAAGTCCTCGGACGTTCCCAATAACTGAGTGGTCCCGGCCTTTTGTGAAAACGTGGATGTCCTTAGGGAAGGTTTTGAGACTAACACTACTGCGCAGGTTGAATACAGGATTCGAGCTTGGCACTCTGGAAAGCATATGGAACTCTATGCTATCTTCACCACTCTTCCTCTTTGTATACCAACTATCTCACACACGATCCCCAAAAAAAGAAGAACGAAATGTTGTATGGCATATTCTGCTTTTCTTCTTCAAAAACGGCGGAGATAGTATGGTGTCGGACTCAGAGGGTGTGTTGGAGCATACGAAAAGCACACAAAGACGCAATGAATGGGAAACATGACGTTGTCGACATCTGAAGCTGCCGTTCAACCAAGGTTCAAAACATCAAAAGTATGGATCGATGTTCGCGTGGACTTTCGGAGTGGAGACAGTCAAAACGCAAACGCTCACCTCTGATGGACTAGGCGCCGAAGGCTGATATAAAACCTTCTGCCATGGTCCCATTTTCTTCTTTCCTCATAACACTTGTGCGTACAAGTATACCAAAGACAAGATGGCTAGTTCGTATGTCTTCCCGGGTCTCGAAAAATCAACTCTACTTCTGTTTGCGTTGCAGAAACCAAACATCACTCCAAATATGCTGTTGCGCGCTTCTCAAAAGATTGTACCGACCAACCTATGAGCTACGCTTCCCGCTAGTAGTGTCTAGTTATAAAAGCATCGTACGTCTCGTATACAAGTCTTCCCACAAGATACTCTTACGACGCGAAAGTATCAAAAGACTGAAGGTTTATGGTATGTCTGCTGTCCATGAAAAAGTACGAGACATAGACATGTCTTCCCCTCTTTTTGGGTCAAAAACCTCCATACCTTCCTCCCATGGAAGACTACCTGAAATGCTTGATACCGCACGCGATGTGGGTGTGCGCTGTTGCGATAGTCTCAGATACCATGCGAGATTCACCGAATTGTCTACCTAATGAAAAGAATGCAAGACGTTGGTATGTGCGGGAAGAGACTTGCAGAGAAAATTCAGTTAAACAAAACGCCATGAGTCACCGCGGATTTTCTCACGCTACATAGGTGTTCTCAGTACTAGGATTTGAGTCAGCTCAATCTGGATATAACCCTTCTCGTCTCTCACGATGAGTTTCTTCTTCTCATCGCAGACTTGAGCGCTCGATTCTCTTCAAAACAACAGTGATCCAGGATCGAACTTGATAGGGTCGTACGTTATGGGCCAAGAAAGGATTCGTGTGGCCTGATAGTTGCTTCACGGCTATCAACGTTCCCCCAGCGGGTTGGGCCTTCATGTCTAGCATTGAAGCGTCTTGAAAAGCACGTTCGAAAGATTCCAAAGACTAAGACTTGGTGACCATATCTCAGACGAGAGAGAAGATTGGAAGCTTCAATAAGTGCTACTAATTGAGTACCCAAAGTTCATCGAATGCACGGCTGTGCGTTTTGAAAGATGATATCATTTGTAATTATGGGTTCAACCAGCTTCACGTACGCTAACAGAAGATTACAAGAAGCTTTATTCCTCTCGTTCTGTTCCTGAGTATGCAAAACATTCTTTCTTTTTCACACGACCAAAAACAGATGGTGTCCAATCCATGGATGTGGCTTCGCCGCCTGCCCTCCAAAACAAAATTGCTAGATTGGATACGATTGCGGGAACCCCCTGCAGCGTCTCGTGTTAACGTCATCTCCAAGAATCGTGCATACCTATCCTTGCTATACCGTCAAGCATGATACCCAAGTCTTACTCAGAAGAACCACACCCCTTCCGTCGTACCACCTTCCTTCCCAACCTTCAACTCATCCAAGCACTTCTTCAGCCGCACCCCCATCGCTTTTCCATACGCCTCTTGATCATTAATGTCTGGCATCTCCGCTGTCTTGGTGGTATCGGCTCGCACCCATACCATATTCTCCTCCCCACAAGAACCTTTGATCTCTGTGAACATCTCGTCGTTAAAGCCACCCCCAAGAGCTATAGCAGCGGGTCGCTCGCCGTAGTTCTGGGATCCAATGTTGGAGGAGCTGTTAGGTGGGCTTTTGGAGGAGAGGAGAAGCGGTATGGACGAAGTTGCTTCTTCGACAGAGAGGTTGATGTGGATTACTGAGGGAAGATGGGATTAGTCACATATTCCCACAAATATGCTAGTTCCACCGTAATGCCTAAGCATACCATCGTATTCTGGCTTAATGCCCTCACGAGCAGCTTTTCCGATATTCGGGTGTCTGCCACAGATGACGATGGGGATAGGCGACATTGCGGACGTGTAGAACTTGGGATGCAATAGTAGAAATGGCGACCCTTGTGCAGTGTTGGTAAAGGCGGATCGAGGTATGAAACGAGAGAAAAGTCTCACTACCATTAAGGCGAACAGTTCGGTAATATAAGCAAACAGTGTCTACAGGTACGATGTGCTTCGTGGTGTGATGCTGCTGAGTTATTGTGTCTAAGTCCGACGCTAGTACTGTATGGACGTTGGAACTCAGCTCTATGCGGGGAAGACGTTGCACGAACCATCGTCTTCTGACCATATCTCACCAACGTACGCATCGGTACGTAATGTGATTGATGTCATGCTCACCAAACAGGCAGGGTGAATTGGTAGCACACAGAGGAATCGACGTTTCAGACACCAACTACTGTATGAATACTGCGGCAGGCTCTCATCTAGGTCATCGCTGGTAGGCCACCTTCCTTTATAAAGACACGACGGTAAGAAAGGGCTGTTATGGAATTAATACTGCTACTTAGTAGTACATAGCAACCTTAGAACACTAAAGAGGGGAGAATAGTTTCAGCCAAACTGTGCCTGTAATGCAAAACTGAACGTCGCATTTCTAGTTCTATATAGTTACATAGAAGCAAACTCTAATACTCTCACCACAAGCTGGATGGATCAGACAGCTAAAGAATCGAGGACAAAAGGCAAAAAAGACAAAAAGGCGCAAAAGAATATGCTCGTCAGGGCCGAACCGGAGTCGAACCGGTGGCTTCGGGAAGGCGGTTTTGGTGAACTGCAGTCCTACACTCTACCACTGAGTTACCGGCCCTTGAAGGTGTTTCGATGAATAAAAGACGAATTTTGAATGTTATATTTAACGAAACAACGTAATTGCGAGTGCTTACACAAGTGGCGCGGGGAGACGTTGTGGACGAGGGGCAGTGGGGCGAGCGCTTGGGGGCGGCAATGGGTTGCGGAGCTCCTTCCCTCCAAATTCCGTCCTACCCAGCCAGCAGCTTGGACACAACTCGACAATCCTACAGTATTTGATGTATCTCTGGGTATCACATTCCGCGTCGCATCGCCATGTCACTACAAATTATTTAAAACTCTAACTCCTCGACTTCCATCCCACACTCCTCACACCTCTTCTTTGTCATGCCTGTTTCAGGGTCTAGTACGCTCCTTCCCCACTCATGCTCATGTCTATCGTACCTGCCCTTGATCTTCTGTCCAAATTGTGCATCACCGCCATCGCCTGCTAACCGCGCCCGTTTATATGCTTCCACTCTCGTCCTCTTCTTCAAGTCCTCGAGTTTATTCTTGAACTTCTTTTGTTTCCTCTCTTTGCTCACAACCTGCCTCTTTGCATACTCCTCGTCCAACGCCTCTGCTGAGCCCCATTTCTGTGGACTGAAAGCGTAGGCTTCGACTTGGAGGCGCAAGAACAGTTGCATAGGGTGGAAGAATTGTTTGTGCGGGTTTGGTCGTTCGAGATGGGGCAGGAGTTCTTCGTCTTTGAGTTCAGGATCGGTGAGAAGGTAGTCGTCTCGCGCTTCGGTTTTCGTAAGGAGGGAATATTTGTCTGGTAGTTTCTCCTTGCAGCTATTGCATATGCCGATGCCGAATATGTCCTGCCACTTCCAGTCGATTTCCAGACTTGTGCATTCTCGACATTTGCCCTTTACGTCGCGCTTGCCATCGCCGTATTTGCCTTTGAATGTTCCACTTTCGATCTCAGCATTCTCAGCAGCTTCAAGCAATGCAGCTTCCTCGTCCTCTTCTTCTTTGCCATTGACTGTGTCCAGGATGGAGATACCCGGTTCATATGGTCCGGCTCTGTTGGCACGAAGCTTCCGTCTTATACGCTCCCTTTCCCATTCTGCCATTGATACGCCCTCTGGCTTTTGCTCTTCCTTCTGTTGCCCTTTCCACATAGCCTTGTTATGCGGATCGTCTACAGTGCTCAGGAAACCGCCCTTCGTGTCCGTCATTTTACTGAAGTCATATTCGATGAAGTCCGATCTCGCGTATTTCTTCGCCGGCTGGATGTAATCGTTTGAGGGTGGCTGTATGAAGCCATTTTGGTCGCGCTTCTGAGGAGATGCTGCCGCAGCATTACGAAGGGTTGCAGGAGTTTGCGCGGCTGTGATAGAGGAGTATGCGCGCTTCGTGCCTGCGACCGGCGCTGGTGAAGGTTTTAATGTTTGTGTCTGTTGTGCTGCCGCTTTCGCCCTTAGACGAGCCTCTTCCATGCGCCTGATCTGCTCGGGCGTAGGAGGATTAGGCGGAAGCTTGCCCGCTGAGCGAGTCGCTCGTGGTGGCGTTGCCGGTCGTTCGGACATGGTGAGATGATGAGAAGATGGGAATGAGGTTCTGGTACGTTCACTCGTACTTGAGCGCGTAGATGAAGAAGTTCTTGATTACACGGCTACCGGGGCGCGCAGGTGGCGGATGTCATCGGGGTTAGTTAGGGTGAAATGCGGCACCGAGACCCTTGTTCCTGAACAATGATGTACGCCAAGAAGCCTCACGATCTCTATCCTCCGATTCGCATCTCAAATCACTATCCACATACTGATCAACCGAGAAGTTTGCAAAAATCCATACTTCTTCTATGATGACATATCTGTATCATCTGGAAAAGGGCGGTTTGCCGTGCAGCGCCCTTACCAATCCACTATGACTCTTATGTGTGGCTGTGACCGGAACAATCCACAGCGTCTGCCATGACGAACCGTGGCTCACTTCACAGGGCAAGCCCAATCCAGGAAATCGCCTAGGTTAAGAATCGGTTGTTCCACATGATTTTGTTGCAATCACCTTCATGATTCTCCCTTCGTCCCAAAATATGCCAGACGCGAGCACACGTGCGCACGTGGCGAGCCCTACGGCGGCCTCGCTAATCCCTGCCGCCGATCTCCATGAAAATGTCCAGCCCTCGCCAGAAGACAGCGACTACAGCAGCGACGAGCCCACCACAGCAGCCGCCAGACGAAGAAAGCGCAAACAGCTCCGCAAGGAAGAACGCAAACAAGAGAAACAGAGACACGATTCCGCCCTTCCAACGCCCACAGATTCAGATACCGAGAACCCGACGAACCAACCCCGCAAACCTCCTAACAAGCCCCCAAAGCAGAACCGCAAGCCTGCTACCGAACTCGACGATTCGTCCATAACCATACCTGCCACAATTTCAATGGCGAAACCCGCCGCCCAAACTGCTTACCCCCTCCTCATAGCCTCCATTGGCAACCCAGGCGCAACATATGCCAACACACTACATTCTGCCGGCCACATCGTTACCTCCTCCCTCTCAGAAGCGAAGCGCTACAGCCCCTTCCAAAAGGGCCTATCAGGCCTAGTATCACGACCTCCGGCTACATACATGGCATTCGGCTTGACCGGGTATCGAAGAGAAGCAACGGACAAAAGCACAGAAGATGACTGGACATTCTGGCAATCCACTTCATTAATGAACGTTAGCGGCAGTGGAGTTTTGAGGGCGTACAACGAGTGGCTACGCGGTCTACGGCAGGCTGCTGGAAATGCGACGTTACAAGGGCGACTAGTAGTCGTCCACGATGAACTCGAGTCTGCGCTGGGCAAAGTCACAATCCGTGACGGTGCAGCGAGCGCAAAAGGTCACAATGGTATCAAAAGCTGTCAACAAAGTCTTGGAGGGACGAAGTGGTGGAGAGTAGGCGTTGGGATAGGCAGACCGGAGAGTAGAGATCCGAATATAGTGAGCAAGTACGTCCTGGGTAAGATGACGTCGTATCAACGGGCACAGTTGGAGAAGACGACCATACCGGTTTACAAGGCGCTGGAGGACATCGCAGCGGGGAAGAAGTAAGAGACTTGCATAGGGCGACGGAGCATTTTTGATGGCGTTTGAGATGATACCCCAGTTTACACGGTAGAGCGCTTTGCATGAGATGCATGAAGCAATGTATGAATACTGAACTGATTTCTGTAAACGAGGAAACATGTCAAGGTATCTTGCAATAACCCAAAAACCAATGTCCGTGATAATCCTGTACTCCGGCATGAAATGCAACAACAGACTCGAGTATGCAAAGCTCTGATTAACGATCAAGAACCAACAATCGTAGGGCCAGCCTTCCTCAACTTCTTCCTCTCTTCAAGCCGTCTTCTCGCTTGCTCTTTGCGGTCGACAGGGAGCATTTGGCTGCGATCATGCTTTACCTCTGCAGAACCTTCTGCATGGTGTACTGTCATTTTCGAGAGATCGAACTTGGCGTCGGTACGACCAGGGTAGGAGGACACGTCAACCTTGGATTCCTCTGGCTTTTGCTTGTCGACTCTCTTCGACGAAACGGAGACCGCCTCAAGCTCCGAGACATGTGTAGCTTTCTCGGTTGCACGTTCTCTACGTCGCATGGGTTCGGCTTTCTTGTCGCTCTTCTCAGGCATGGTAGCCTTCTCGTTTAGCTTAGTTGTCTCCGTTGACCTGGTGTGCGATACAGATTTCGAAACCCGATGTTGCTTTGGTGGTGGATTCCACTCAGGTCGTGAGTATGGCTGACCAGTAGAGACGGGTAAAGCCATCTTGTCCATCTGCACTATCGAACTGTTGTTGATCTCCATCCAGGGATCAAGGCCTGGCGACGGCATCGGCAGCGGACTGGATGGTGCAATCGCGGCGGGCGACTTTGGCGCATTGTTCTCGTCTGTTGGGTCGGGTCTGCGGATCTTCAGCGGCGATCTCTGCGGTTGTTCTTGCTGAGGCTGTGCAAGCGCCTTTTCTAGAGTAATCTCAAAGGCGCGTGCTGGTGCGTGAGGTGATTTGCCTAGAATGATAGAGGCTTCACCCTCTGCTGTTCCTAGTCTGGATGGAAGCACTGGCCGATTCAATGTGTCAGGGATAGTACCACGGCGGTGGCGGCGGAGTTTAGGTGACGAGTTCTCTTTGGTAGACGAAGCCATACTATTGTTTAGAGCGAATGAAACCTCGGGATCCATATCTAGGCCACGCGTGGGCGACCGGGGGTGATCTCTGCTCGCATCCTCGTATATCTCAAACGGAGCTTTATTTTGTTGAAGTTCAGAGGAAGGTATTGAGCCTGACGCTTCCAGAACTGTGATTCGGGCCTTCAGTGCTGCGATTTCGATACTCGACGACATGCTCTCGGCCATCGCTTGACGTAACCGTTCTTGGAGGTCCTTGTTCTGCTGCTCCAGATCCCGCTCCCGTTGTCTATATCTCTTGCGTTCTTGCTCGAGCTGGGTAGATAATTCGGTGGCTTCGCCATCCTTTTTCATGGCGAACTTTTTGGCAAGCTGTTGCTTAGCAATAACCTTCTTCATCTCCTTCTCGCTTTTCTCTGCGTAGCTCTCGTATTGCTCCTTCCAGTATTTGCCAGACTCAGAACGCGGGGCACCCAAATCTATTGTGATGTCGCTATCGTCCCTCGCCTTGGGTTTCTGCCCCGATTTCGGTTGTGTGGTTGTTCGCGCGTCAAGCAGGGCTTCGGTGAGGCGGGTACGCGGTCGCTTGTCACTTTCGGGGTCAAGCTTCAGGTGCGTACCAGGTGTCCAAGGACTCGGAAACTTCCCAGGGCAGTCGCTGGGTATACCGCTCTTGCCGATGTTGTCGCGCTTGCCTTCATTATCTACCACGTGCGACCCAAATGACACCTGCTTCCTTCCCTTGCTTGCGGTGCCCGGTGTCATGAGTATGCCGCCTGGCTGTTTTGATGGCGAGATGGGTGGGCGGCTCCCTTTCGGCGCGGGGAGCTCGAACCTTGCGTTTGCTGCATCTATCCTCGCCTTCCTCTCACTCTTCTTCGAGGCATCTTGTGCTTCTTCAGGTGCAGGTGTTCCGAATATGGCATGCTTGAAAGCTTTGACGGCAAATTGATGAGCGGGCGTCTCGGGAGGTTCGATGAAGGTTGATTCGTAGTTGTTTTCTGTCATTGTCAGCGTGTGGCAGTGGGCGCGTAACTCATTGCAACGTACCAGGCTGAAGATCCTCGATCACATTCGTGATGCGCGGGCCCGTTATCCATGAAAACATGGCGAAGTGTGTGTTATCGTTGTAAAGTGGGAGTGGTGGTTCGGGAGGGTCGGTGATAGTGATGGCGATCTCGAATGCGCTGTGTGGATATATCCGTGTGTTTGTTTGGCGGATTGTTTACTCGCAGAAAACGACGACCTAGAGTGGACCGGACGCCTTCGTGCACTTCGTATAGTCGCAAATGAGTCGCAAACGCTTTCGAAGTAGCACGCGACAAGCTGCTAGGGCATTGCCAGAGTAAAGGAATGTGCGATGCTGTTTGTTGTACGTGCTGGCAGATCTCGAGACATGAGGAAGTCGCGTCCGGTGGCTCAGCTTGCGTCTGCAGGGATGGCGCGGAAAGGACCCATGGATGGCGGGGCTTCGCCAACATATCGCCCCCACCGACCGCTACTTGACGTGCGCTGGCCACGAAGTCTCTACGTATCGTCATTCTCAACACCTTTCACTGCAATTTTTACAAATCAAAATGTCTGCAGTGTGAAGGGCAGCAGCTACGGCTGCTAGTCTCTCCGTCAATACCCTATATGACGGCCTATTCAATCATCCACCAGTAGCCCACTATGGCACCGCTAAGAACACCAAAGAATAAGAAACAAACGCATAATGCATCTACGCCAACAGGCACGCCGACAGGCGACGATGAGATGGGCCCAACAAGTCCGTCCGGAGAATTGCGACCTCCGATGGTCTCGCAAACCTCCGAAACCTACGAGAAGGCACAAGAAGATGAACGCGAAGTCTTGAAGGCTGTGTTCATGGACGACTACGAAGAATCAGAGGCCAAAGGCGCATGGAGCGTAAGTCACAGAGTTTCGACATGACCACGATATATCGGCTTTGACCTACGATGACTCAGTCTCAGTTCAGGACAGGCGCTAACTTGAGTGTAGAAAACAACCGATCGCGTATTGCGTCTGAAGCTGTCGTCCTTCTCCAATGAGAAGATTTCCATCACACTTTGTGCTAAACTCACGGCTACTTACCCCAAAACGCTACCTGAACTTACCATAGAAGACGGCGGCAGTCTAAGGAAAAGTACTTGGGATAGGCTCTATGGCCTGCTTAAGAGCCGACCTCGCGAACTAGTAGGCGAGGTGATGATCTACGATATCGCGACGGCTATCCAAGAAATACTCGAGGACGAAATTGCAGTTCGCGAGACGGACGGCACTTATGAGAACCTGGATGCTGAGCGAGCAGTACAAGAAGCAGCTGCAGTCGAGCAATTAAAACAGCAAGAGGAAGAGTTACAGAAGAGGCGAGACGAAGAGAAGGCCGAGGAAGAGCGCCTTTTGCAGCAGATGGTAGGGGATGAAATGCGGCGAAAAGACTTGATGGCAAAGCGCAAGAAGCACCGTGTATCCGCCATCACTCCGCCTTCGTACTTTCCCAGCGGCGAGAATGTCAACTACATTTCTTTCGACAGAACCATCATCATTCAGCACGAAGACACCACAATCCAGTGCAACGGAGTTGAGAACCCACTTCCTTTCCGTTCTGGCCCTCTGACAGAGCAATTACTGGTCAAACCGGCGGGGAGTTCGGCAGCGCTCACGCTAGTACTCAAGCGGGCTCGAGTAGGAGGTGGAAATGCTGCCGCTGGCCCTGAGTTGAAGAAGGCCATCATGGGATTCGAAGACGAGATGGAGGAGATTAAACGGTTACGACAAGGCTCCATCTTGGCCGTACTGGACTTCAAAGTTGAGCATCTCCCCGACTCCGGATGGGAGATCAGTGTCCTCATGGAACACGCTGATAAAGGGTCCCTAGGCGAGCGACTTGCCGATGATGGACCATTGCCGGTCGCGCGGGTTCGTTCCTGGACCATTGAGCTCTTGGAAGCACTAGACTTCTACCATCGCAATGGAATAGTTCACAAGCGTGTTCATCCTCACAACATCTTATTCAAAAGATCTTCTGGTGGTAGTATCACAGTGCTTCTGGCCGATGCTAGCTTCCAAGGCTCTCTATACCACCTGCAAAGCTTATGTCAAGACGTACAACCGACGAAGCCCCTGCGATCGTTCTACTGGATAGCACCTGAGCTCTCGCAGGATACCCATCATACTCGCAAGACTGATGTATGGGATTTAGGAGTCACCTTCCTTCAGATGCTGTTCGGGTTCGATGCACCTGGAAAATACAACTCGCCTAAAGAGTTATCCGATATCCTTGGCTGCTCGGAACCGTTACAAGAGGTCTTGCGTAAGTTCTTCAAGCCTGATCCTAAGAAGCGACCGTCCGCCTTCGACCTCATTCCGTGCGAATTTTTGCGCGACGAGGTAGATATATACGAGCGACCCTCCACGCCTGTGCGATCCAGGAATTCATCGACTTCGTTGGGTCGTTATAGGCTACGACGAGAGTCTTCGTCCGGTGTTGTTCCATCGTATTCAAGATACGCCAATGATTGGGTCGAACAAGGTCGCCTAGGCAAGGGTGGGTACGGTGAAGTCGTGAAAGCCCGTAACAAAGTCGATGGTCGGCTTTACGCCATCAAAAAGATCAAGCAGAAGTCCGCGGCAGCACTAAGTGAAGTCCTTTCAGAAGTCATGCTGCTATCACGGCTCAATCATAGCTGTGTGGTACGTTACTACACTGCGTGGCCAGAAGCTGAAGCGGACGACTACGACTCGGCAACATCGGATGGAGATGAGTCTGACTGGGAATCGGACGTCTCTCCAGGTACAACCACAACTGACGGTGGCGGCCATGGAAAGAGCGGTGGTGGGCTAGATTTTATTAGCTCCAGTGGATATCCTAAAATCGAGTTCGGGTCCGATGATGAGTCGGAAGACGATGTTGGTGCAGTGATCTTTGGGTCCGATTCTGGTAAGTGACATGTGCTACAAACTTTTACATTTATCGCAAACTAATTTGAATTAGAAGATGAAGCTAGTCTGGGATCCCTCTCGCCGGCAGTGAAGAAACGCGCCATGTCTGACTTAATGCCTGCAAGGCCGTCGAGGTCAATTCTGTATATTCAGATGGAGTTTTGCGAGAAGCAGACACTTCGGGATTTGATTCGCACAGGTTTATACGACGATCCAGATGAATACTGGAGATTGTTCCGGCAAATCCTCGAAGGACTCGCTCACATCCATGGTCATGGTATCATACACCGTGATCTCAAACCCGACAACGTCTTCATTGATATGGCCAAGGTCCCTAAGATTGGTGATTTCGGCCTAGCTACTAGTGGACAATATCAGAGACCCGATACGAAGTCCTCCAACGGTGCAGAGGATGGTGGCGACATGACAAGAAGTGTAGGCACTGCTCTTTACGTTGCTCCCGAGCTGAGTTCTAGCGTTACTGGCGACTACAACAACAAGGTGGATATGTACTCTATGGGCATCATCTTTTTTGAGATGTGTTTTCCTTTGAGGACTGCCATGGAGCGGGACAAGGTCATTCGAACGTTGCGTGAGCGAAAACATGATCTTCCGCAAGAATTTGAAACACCCGAAAAGTCGTTGCAAGGTGGCATCATCAAGTCTCTTATCAGCCATCGCCCTTCGGAAAGGCCAGGATGCACTGAGCTCTTGAGAAGCGGCAAGGTACCTGCTCAGATGGAGGACGAGGCCGTTAAGGAAGCTCTCAAAGCTCTTTCAGATCGCAACTCGCCACATTACGCGAAGATGATGGCTGCCCTGTTTTCACAAAAGCCTGATACGCAAGCGAAAGACCATGCTTGGGACCTCAGTGCGACTACCCAGACGATAAAAGCCAACGAAGTGCTTCTACAGAATCTTGTCAGGGACAGATTAGCCATGGTATTCCGGAGCCATGGTGCTGTTGAAATACAACGTCAGGTATTACTACCCTGGTCTGATCATTATGCCGACAGCAACGTCGTAAAGCTTTTCGACCCTTCTGGAACCCTGGTCCAGCTACCCTACGATTTGACTCTGCCTTATGCACGTAGCATCGGTCGAGGCGGAGTCTTCTTGGAGAAGACATTCACGATCGGTCACGTCTACCGTGATAACTACACCGGAAGCGCTCCACGTAGTAACGGCGAGGCGGACTTTGATATATTGTCTTATGATACGCTCGATCTCACACTGAAGGAGGCAGAGGTTCTCAAGGTTGTTGATGAGATCATCGATGAGTTTCCTTCGTTCCGGTCAACGCAGATGTGCTTCCACCTTAATCACGCCGATTTGTTGGACATGATCATGGACTTCTGCAGAATCAGCGTCCCAAAGCGAGCAGCGGCCAAGGCGGCTCTTAGTAAGCTGAACATCGGGAAGAACAATTGGCAGTTAATTCGCAACGAACTACGATCTTCCGATATTGGCATCCCATCGACTTCACTAGACGACCTTGCACGTTTCGATTGGCGTGACACACCAGAGAAGGCTTTTGCAAAGCTGAGGCGACTATTTGAAGGCACGAAGTACCTCGAACGAACTCACGTCATCTTTGCACACCTCAGTTCTGTTATCAATTATATGAAGCTGTGGAATGTAAAGCGCAAAGTTTACGTCAGCGTGCTGAGCAGCTTCAACGAGAAGTTCTACTCTGGTGGCATTCTCTTCCAATGTCTTTTCGACACAAAACAGAAAGAGGTGCTTGCTGCAGGCGGACGGTACGACAAGCTGATCGAGGAATACCGTCCAAAGGCCTCCAGTCACGCACACCCAGCAGCTACGAACCATGCTGTCGGAGTGAACCTAGGATGGGACATGCTTGTCAATTCTATGAGTCGCTACATCAAGAAACCGGAGAAGTCAACCTTCCTGCGAAAGCACGCTGAAGAAGACACGCCATCCATCTCATGGATGCCACGACGCTGTGATTGTCTCGTCGCTAGTTTCGACCCTAACGTTCTCCGCTCCACCGGTATCAAGATGGTTGCAGACCTGATTGCTCATGGCTACACCGCTGAACTCGCCGCCGATGCGCACTCCATTGAAGATATTCTACGTCGCTACCGCGATGACAGACATAGCTGGGTCATCGTGATCAAACACGGCGTCGCGCCCGACAAACCCGAACTGAAGGTTAAATCCATCGCGAAGAAAGAAGACACAGACCTGCGCAGCACCGACCTCTTGAACTACCTTCGCAACGAACTCCGGGATCGCGAAGAACGCGAAGGAAGCGCAGCCCGCTTGATCAAAGCCGCAGCACCAACTCCAGGCAACACCTCCAACGCGTCAAAGGCCAACGTCGACGTTCTAATAGCTCAACACCGATCTAAGAAGAGCAATAAATGGTCCATTGTCGAAGCCGCACAATCGCGATCCACGGATCTTCTTTCGGCTTTTCAGTCTGCACCCATCGCCGCCATTGAATCGAAGGAAGAGGTTATGAATCTACTCAAAGAAACGCGCCTCAGCGATCCGGACTCATGGCGTTACTTCATACAGAAGATGCCGCTTGCTGAGAGGAAGTATCTACAAGAGCTACATGACCTACTACTGGGCTACAGAGCTAGGTGGGTTGAGAGCAAAAGCGAAGGCGGAGCCAATGGTGAAGGAGCTGTAGGAAAGGCGTTCGTATATAATTTTCGGACTGGAGGGTGTTTACTTTATGACTTGGAGAGCTGATGGACATAGAACAACTACCAAGCGAGAAAGCATGGACATTGAAAATCAAGAACGGCAAACAATTATTGCTTGATTAGTGCTAGTGCTGTTGTGCTGTCACATGAATCTCGAATGAAGCATTAGACCAGTGTAGACACCGATAATTATGTTGTAGTAACAAGGCAGACTCACGGCTCCGCTCATATCTCAGCGCTAGGCCCAAGACATCATGCACACTAGACAACTTACGTGTCGCACCACTAATTTTTACACGTCGCGGAGCGAGTTGACTGCCTCTGCAATCTTGCGACCCAAATTAGAATTTGATTGGTACACGGATTACGGCAGCATATGCACAATGCATGCGATAAGCAGGCTTTTGGGCAAGACGCGCCTGAAGGATTTAGTTGCCACACCATCGATACCTCGGCACGGTAGGATTATCCAATCAGGTGAGAATTTATTCAGTCACAGTGATATACTGACATGCATGGTGTTCTAGGTAGGCATAGAGTGCAGACCGGACTCCGAACGAGGACCAATCAAGTGGGGCACTCCATATGATGATCGAGGATGATCCGTTTATTGGATATAATACAGCACAAGACTATCGTCCAGGGCCAACGCTGCGAGGCTTTCTCTGGCACGCCACGGTCTGGGAGATATCATTTCTTGCCGGTACCAAACATGGTCTTTCCTGTCAAGACTCGCGTAGACCTGCCCGCGTGCTTGAGGAAGTTTTCCGTCATCTCGGTCAATTCTAAGTCTGTCTCTGGAGCGCCGAGCAAAGATACTGCCACGGGAAGATACTCTTTCTGCCCAGAGACATGCGAATGGAATGGTATTTGGCCGGCTGCGGAGATCAGTAATCGCTATCTTCAGTGAATGGTGTGCTTACCCGGTACTACGATCTCCGGTGCACCCAATATAGAACTCAAATACAAGACACCAACTCCCTTCGGAGCTTCGATAGGTGGCACGGTTGGCACATCTCTGTAGCGCGGTTCGAGCTCCTCGATGGGCAACACCACTATGGTCTTCGTGTTCTCTGTTCGGAGTATATGTCTGATAAACCAATTTTTATACACATCATAGCGCTCGAATGCGCGGTCCCTCTGCGACTCGTCAATTAGCCTTCCCATACTCCTGCTGCCGTCAGTGTGGTACGGGGTTGGAGCAATTTGCAGTACATACCACACCGATTTTAGAGGCATAGTAAGGAATGGCTCTCGCTTATACTCCCTCCTGTAGTCTTCTCGAAACCCATCAAAACAGTGATATAGCTCGTAGAAGAAGCCGTGTACCTGAGTCTGAAGCGTGTGTTAGCTCTTGGTTTAGAGCCAACTATTTGCACTCACATTCTCCATGTATTTCGAAATGTCTCTCTCTTCGGTGGGTGGAGCTTGCCTCCATGTTTCTGCGATGGAGAGTATCTCTGGCTCGACTTTAAGGTACGCTGCCAAGTCGCCGACAAACTCGTCGAAGACACGCGCCTGATCATGGTTGCCTACCGGCAGATAGTCTACTGGATACACGATTCTCCAGGGGCGGTTGGATCTATCCTGGCTCTTGATGGAGGCCCCGTACCAGGATTGAACGAAACTGTTGAAAGTGTGGATATCACGACCAAAGAGGGACGGTGAGTCAAATTGAGGGCAGGTCAAGACTATGCCTCCGCAAGGCAACTTGCCTCTGGAAGGTCTCAGAGCTAAACATCCATTCCAAAGAGCGGGTCGTCTTCCACTTCCAGTTGCTGGTCATCCATTAGTAGAGATTATCAAGGCAACTTGGAAGTGGTTGACTTACTGTCAGTACCCAATGTAAAGTCAAGCCATTCATAAGACGCAATGGCTGCTCCACTACCGCTGCTACTTCCCGCTGGGGATTGGTACCCATCACCCCGTGGGTTGAAAGGTGCGGGATACTCAATACACTCCGTAGGCTCTTCTTTCCATGCGAAAGAGCTCAGATGAGTCTTTCCAACCACTATTGCGCCTAGTGATGTTAAGATTTGGACACACTCAGCAGTCTCGGTCTGCGGTGGATAAAGGTCATGATATGCTCGGTTACAGACTGATGTCCTGAGCCCATTGAGATGAAATATGTCTTTGATGGCTATACGAACGCCGTCGAGTGGTCGCTCTTTGCATTTGACAAAATAAAGTCGCGAGGGAACAGCTACTCCTAGTAATGTGAAAGCGTTCCCTGCGAGGCCATTGCTCTCGTATCTTCTGAAGAAACTGATGAGCAAGACTCTGAAGTATATGTTTACTATCACTCACTCTGCATCGTTCTCACTGGGCCAAGTCGAGACCAGAAAAGCTTTCGCGTCGTCGTCATATACTCGCCAAACTTGTTGCATCCGCTTATGCAAGACGACATACGGTCCTGGTGAAGGACTATTATTTGTTGAATTCGTAGGAATGAATTCCATCCATGAGTTTCCCCACTCCTGGAGTTGCGCCTCTGCATCTTGTTGTAGGTCGACGTCTTCTCTGCGTGCACCCGAAAACTGTATGCAATGCAGAAATTCCAGCCTAAAGACATCGCAGTTATTGATGTATCGTCGTATGCGTGACCTGAGGTATTCTGCATCAATGATGTCACCGGGGGAGATCTTGATAACAGTTACCAGTGCTTTGGTGAACCAATTGGCCGGCTGGATATCGATTCACGTCTGTCGTCAATAACGCTACGATGTGGTCGTGGGAGAGGGAGGCTCACGTGATTGGTGGGCCTAGTGACGAAACGACCGTTGCCGATGCTAAATTCCCGACCCGACTTCCAGCTAGCAACCTCGCGATCTGGCCATGGGACATCTGCTTCAGATTCCGCTGCCATTCGAGCAGTGCGAGTGAAGATCGTCGTTCGCACGTAGCACGCAGCCGCTGCTATGAACCAAAATATGTCAAACGGGATATGGCTGACCTCGACTACCCCGCTTTAGACGCGCGCGTCCATAACACCTATCTGCCTTACTTTGTATGTGGCACCGGAATGGTCTTGGATGCCGCCAGGATGCCACCAGGATGCAAGGTAGGCGGCACAGTAATGCATCTGCATCCATGCGGTAACGATGGGCACCCGTACATAGATTAAGTTCTTGGCGAACTCAGCCTAGGTGGGGTACGCATACTCCGCAAAATACATAGCCAGCACGTCTGAGTTGAGAAAAACTACGCCCTATGTTCGAGCACTACTTGTTCTACTCGTTACGCTAAACGTCCGATCGTAAAGCATCAGAGGATGGGAGAGTGCTTCCTGCGTCATTTGCCCGCGCATGGGGGCATTTCACTGCACAAATTCGAGCCTAACGCTCAGTAAGGTTATCAGACTCCTAGATTCATCTGCTTATACATATCCAGCATCCTAGTAGTCCCTGGAGTAGACGATGAGCGGGTCGAGGAATGGAGTAAAGCTCACAATGTACCGCTCGTCTACGACCTTACTAGGAAGGACACCCAGGCCTCGAACATCCAGGTTTCGGTACTTGAACACCAACTGACATCGATAACATTCAAGCAATGGGGTCAGTTGGATCTCCAGGCACAGCGATTGCTCGCTAAAGTAGAAAACTTCCTTGATACGTGGGATGTCAGTGTTGTGTCTCCAAGTAAAGTGTCTTATTTGCTGAATGATTCCCTAGTCAGAGCGGCGACCTCTTCTGTTCCTGTGTCACAGTCTAGGCGGACTCATCTTGAAGCGAGTTAGTTTTCTCATCGGTCGTTGCTGATCACGATGCTGATATAACATAAGCTACTTGTACATGCGCGCCGACGAGATGAAGGCACCAAACTCTTGTTCGACTCTCTCGCTGGCATAGTCTTTCTGGGAAGTCCTCATCTCCGGGATAGCAACAAGTCAGAATGGAACAAAGTGCCGGCCATTCTTGAGCTTCGTATGCTATCATTACCTGAAGACCTTGCAGATATATCCAAGCTACAACGACTAGCTCAATGGTCGCGAGATTTCGAACACCTGAACTTACCCGTCCCCGTTTTGTCTACGAGAGAAGGAAAGAAAAGTAAGAAAAAGAAGAAGAAGAGATGGTGGAATATGGCGTCCGCAGGCGAGAGTATAGACATTATGGTATGTAAGAAGATTCGATGCGAGATTTCATGTCTAATATGTACACTAGGGCACAAACTCTTCTCTAGCATGCACTAGCCTAACGAACGAGGATGTTGTGCTTGTCGATACTGACCATAACGGGTTATGCACACTCACCGAAAGCAGCAAGTTCAGAACTACTCTCATTAAGTTTTGTCAAGATTCTCTCCACCTGACTCGAGACAAATTGAGTTTGTCTAGCCCCATATGTAAGCACTTTCGTATACGTACCCCTACTCACCAAGCTTACAACCAAAGTACAACGCCCTGAGCTAGAAGGTGCCGCGAGAGCAGATACATACAAAGTGCTCAGCGGCGAACCTGTCGATATAGGAACATTGCAAACACAATTGTCAGTTGGAGTTCGCCAATTCATTACTGCAAAGAATGCTAACGTCGCCACGAAGGCAAAACCACACTCAAGCTGCATTCGATCCTGTATATGGCCACTTACAGCGACCTAGGGATAAGGGGCTCATTCAATTCAAGCTGAAGCTTCCTTGTTATCTACTCGACGATTCCGTGGCTGTGAGGGACTTCTTTGGTAGAGAGGATGTACTTGGAGAGATTGATGAACATCTACTTGTCAAAGAGGGGCAAGACGTGATGTCAGAGTTGAAAACAGTGGCACTCTCTGGCATGGGAGGCATAGGTATGCGCACAAATGGATCCGCCATTATAGCAACTGATATCTGCAGGGAAAACCTCAATCGCGTATCATTTCGTCAAGAGTCGACGGGACAAGTTTGATGCCATCTTTTGGTTGAATGCTGATACCGCTGGGAAGCTAGCCAGCAGTTTCGGCGAAATGGCACTCGAGTTAGGTCTACAGAAACCAGAAGAGGATAGGGACTGGGTGATGAGTAAGAATCTGGTACTTCAGTGGCTCGAGAATCCTGTCAAGACGTACGGGTGTCAAGCCACGACAACACCACCCAAAGCCCGGTGGCTACTGGTGCTCGACAATGTTGATGACTTCGAAGTCATGGAAGGGTTCTGGCCTCCGAGAGGGACAGGATCTATACTCATGACAAGCAGAGCACCGCATGTTGGAAAACTGACCTCTTACTCTGATGCGGATCATGAAACATCCACCCACAGGATCGCTCTGGAACCATTCTCCGAAGAAGAGGCCCAGAGATTTCTACACAAGCTAACAAATCAGGAACGGACACGCGACAGTGAGCAAGCAGCGCGGAAACTTGCTCGCCGTATTCAAGGCTATCCCCTGTTTCTTACACAGTTTGCCGGCATGATGAGCGACGGACCATCCAGCTTCAATGATCTGCTCAAGATTTACAACGAGGAGCTCCATCACCACAAGCTACATGGAGAAAGGCAGGAGATACGCAACAGCAAATATCCACACACGACCGCTACAGTATGGATGCTTGAGAAGCTTGATTCAGCTGCCCGTATGGTTATGAATGTCTTATCATTTCTCGACCCCGATTCCATTCAGGAAGACATCTTGACGGAAGGTGCGGCAACTGTCAAGGCTAGAGATTATCCAAAGACCTGGACAGATTATTGTGCAGCCCGCCAAGCACTCTGGAGGCGGTCACTAGTCAGAACTGCAGAGAAACGAAGCAGGAACGAAATGAATGAGGTTTTGGTGACTGATGACACCTCTGAGAAGGACACCGGGTCTGCGATAGGATCTGGCGAAGAAGCTGTCGAACAGATCAAATCCCACTTGAGCGTACATCGTGTCGTTCAAGATGCATCGCGTTCTCAAATGACTAAGGAACATCAACGCGAGGCATTTGACACGGCTGTTAGTTTGCTGCTCACCCGATGGAATCGGAAGGAAAGACTTTGGCACTACGACAGGAAAGACTGGCCAAGAGCCGAGCATCTGTATCCGCATGTTGTTCAAATACGACATCACTATGAGAAGCTAGGATCAGAAAGCCAGAAAGCCGTCGCTAGTGTAGAATTTGTGAGGCTACTCGACTGCGCCGCATGGTAAGATGCTTCCTCTGGTGTAAATTGTTACCAAATGAGACAGTATCTAACTGAGACAGGTTCAACCACGAACGAGGAAGGTCTCAAGAAGCAAAGGAACTTCTGACTACTGCGTTCACCATGTGCAAGGAGCATTTAGATTGCAACCAGGGCCTTATGTTCGAAATTCATACTAGCCTTGGTTGTGTGGCCACCGAGGTCAACGATCCAGAAACATGTTACGAACACTACAAAAGTCTTCTAGAGATGACCGAAGAAAAGTACCCAGATCCTCAGAGCGAAGCGGACTATGATGCTTTGATGGTGGCCAATAACGAGATGGGTATTGCCGAGATGATGATAGGCCGGACCCCCAAAGCCAGGAAACTTTTTGAAACTGCGCTCGACCAAGGGTCTCGTTTCCGCGATTCTTCGGAAACAGCTAAGTCGATCTATCTTCTCGCATCTGCCAACCTTGGGTTAGCTCAATGGACCGACGGGCAATACGAAGAGGCTTCCAACACGCTGCTGCAAGCATGGAACTATCACGAGGAGCTGACTCAAGCTGGGGAAGACACAGGCTTTGCGTAAGTGGGGCCTGTCTATCTGATAAACTATGCTAATTCAAGCAGGCCTGGTAGGATTGCTCATGCTCTTGGCAACGTCAGGGATAGTCAGAATGGGGAGGATGCAGGCAAGGACGAAAAAAAGGCGCTTGAATGGTATAAAAGAGCATACGAACATTACGAGAAAACGATCGGCAAGTACCATCATAGATCAGCGGACGTCTGTCACAAGCTTGCGGCAAAGTACATTGAGCTTGGAGACTTCAATAAGGCACGGTAGGTGATTGAAGCCATTGAAAAAACCACACATGTTAACCGCGAAAAAGCGATCGTATCGATCACGCCCTAAAGGTCTTCAAAACTCGAGACTACTACAAACCCGAACACGCCCGGACCAAGAATCTGGAGAGTATCCTAGCACGACGCGAGGGCAAGCTTGAAGAGGCTGACAAGATCCACGAGGAGGCCAAGAAGCTGTATTGGAAGCATATGGACGATGCGAAGAAAGGGAGACTCAAGAGCAAGTCTCCGACGGAAGCAGACTTCGATAATAGCGTAGCATTCTGGTCTCGCTAGGTTACATATATGTCGGTCATACCTATAATGGCGCAATGTTCGCCTCGTGCTCTAATTTGTCCGTATCGTTGCTTTCAAGACCGCATCTTCCCGGAATCGCTGTTCAACATCCGCCTGAGAAAGACCAGCGATATTAACACGACTGGAACACTGACCGCAGCCCAGATCCAAAGACTCAGTTTGCCCTGTCCAAAGGTCGAGAAGTTCATACCAAAGAAGGTACATACGAACGAAAGTGGCACGTATAGCAGGGTTACAATTGTCGTCAGACGCGTTAACTTCTCCAACCCCTCTGACTGCAAATTCGACCTTTTCGCTTCCAATAAAGAGGCATTGTGTGCAACCATATCCATAGCTCTCTCACAGCGCTGAATCAACTGTACGGCTTGAGCATGGAGGTGCTGAAAATCGTGTAAGAGGCTCATTCGTGCTTTTGTGATATCGGCATAAATATGATCATCGAATGCGGCGCCAGGGAACCATACTGGATCGTCAGCCGTTTTGAGGAACGCGACCATACTGCTAATGCGACCAGCATGTGCGTCGAGAATGGTACGATCGTATTGTATGTTGGTGCGTTCAGGAAGAGCATCTGGCGTTGAGGTCCTACTTTGGAGGCCCTCTCTCACGATACTCTCAATGCGCGTGTCGAGAATCTTCCTCATCATGTTCAGGAATTGATTCTCAGCTGCTGCAGCAAATGAGTACACCTCCGTGACAGCATAGAAAGGATCTAGCCTCATCACCTGGGGATTTAGAGTGGTGCCGTACGCCTTGTGGAGACTATTGAAAACCTGAGTCGCGTTGAACTGCATGTCGGAAGAAACAACAGAAGAGGATGCTGGTTTGCCAATCTTTTTAGGTCGATTAAAAACAGTCGGACAAAGTTTGGGATCAATGTGAGGCCTTCGGGACGCTTCCTTGAACAGGAAAGAAAGATCAGGATCTTTGTCTTCGCCGCCAGCGTCAGTCCATATAAGTACTTTACGTTATCAGCGCCCGACATATGCAATGGTTGGGAAAGCAGTACCCGTCCACGCACTCTTCTCTCGTAGTAAGCATATGGAAACCTCTTGCAATAAAGTGAAATGCTCCCGGTTGTGCAAATACACATTCCTAATGATGGCCTGTCCAACAGGGTGATTTAGGGCGTTGTTTAGAACTTGCTTTCTGAGACCTTCCACGAGCAGCGATCTGGTCCTGGACATATCTCCCAACGAATCCCCTAGATCTCCAAGATAACCAATGGTTGGTATAGTGAGTTTGAGGACGTGGCCAGAGCTAGAAGGTAGGGATGGCTCGGCATATACATCAACATGTACCGACGGTCTGATCGAACTTAAATGTTGCTGGAAAAAGTGCATGTCGACTTTGTACTTGTCTCCAATGAAATTGAGCCAACCAGGGGAGGGGCAGCCACTGAGGAAGAGCAACTCCGGGTTCTCATAGTCTCTTGCAGCTCTTCCGAGTGTGTCAAAGCTCTTTGACTTGGTGTCCGAAGAGAGCTGTAGATCACCGGTTACCAGACATGGGTACGACCAGTAAAAGGGTTTGTCGTTCGTGTAAGGTGCAGGAAGCCATTGCGATGAATATTCCGACAGGTACTCCAGGAACCCTTTTAGATGTGGTGCACTGAATAAGGGATCACGACAAGCATCGGCGAGGTATCTTCTGCAATGCGATACATACGGATGTTCTGAAGACACGTAAGTAAAGAGCCGTTTACACGTTGAGTAGTAGGTACTTAACATATGTAGCTGTAGCCTTCAAGCCTGACATACTAGCGATAATGTCTGATAAAATTTGAAGAGCAGGCTGGTTTGTTCAGCACGAACATGTCAGAGAAAGGTATTATATCGTGGCAGCGAGCGAGGAACCCAGTAAAGTATCGGAATAACTCTTGGTATAATGCGAGAATACATACCTCGTAGTCCTACTCGCCGAGCCTCGCATGCAGGCAAGGCAGGCGCGTCCGATCCTAGTGGCGGCGCAAAGCGTAGCGGCAGGCGCACGCGCGACAATCACGGATTGGGCGCTTACAATGAGGCGGCTACCACGCCCATACGGCTGCTGCCTGCCGACTGCATGCTGCGCGTGGTCCGAAATGCCTCCACTCCCTTAATCACAAAAGTGTCCTTCAACTGGGTTGTGGCTATAAGATGCGATATGCCCGGAAAGCGTTCATGTGGTGTGCTAGTATGCTGTCGCTAAGCTCCTAGGGATGAGGGCGCATCCGCAAAACGCGCCAAATACCCATGTGATTTTGGGAAACTTCATGGACACGACACTCATGGACAAGGCTGACCCCAAAGTTTGGGTCGCTATAGCCCTTCCAATGGATGCATCACATCAGGCTGTGTCGCTAATATATGGATATTCTTGAGGAGGCTTGAGGCGCGTCACGTCGTTCATTATGCACTACAACCATAGCAAAAGTGCCATCCAAGGAGTGGCGTTCTTATGATGAGAGCGAAGTCTAGGGATGGTGCATGGGGTGGGCAAAGGCTTAGGCGTAGAAAATCGGGGGCGGATACGTCGTAGCAGTTCGTATTTTCGGTGTTTACATTGCGATACTTTTGCGTCGCGTCAGAAACAGTTCCCCTCTGTGCTAAGAGCATGTATAAACGTACTGTTGGCACCAACCGCTGCATGCTATGCCATGGCAATGATGCTGGCAATCGGGCGCGCTGGTTGTAGTTATGGGAAATGATGGCGTTTTAGATTGTTGAGCCATGAACGAAAACGGCTACATGATATCGAATATGCGCTGGCGGACAGGCCTATTGACCCTGCACACTACCAGGCTGAAGTATTCTCTTCGTTACAGGGCGCGAATCAAACCTGATAGTGTTGAGTTGCTAACATGATAATAGAAAACGCGTGCGCCATATGGGTTGATGAGCTGCAGGAGCTGGTTGGGTCTAGCCCCAATGCGGTCTAGACCTAGCACTCATCCCACAGGTGACGCATCAAACAGTCTATCCCGTCTTCTCTACGGCGCTAGCACTATCGGCATGGTCACCATCGTCGCTCGTGTTTCTCCGGCTGTAGCCCGTCGCATCTCAAACAGCAAACTTCGACCTCGCTCTCAGCCTCGCACCGTATACCCAGATTAGATACATTCCAATCTACCTCTAGTTAGCGCACATTCGCGGACTTCCTTGTTCACAGCAGACTTACGATACCCATCACACTCAACCCACCCAAAAGACTGACACCCTTTCCTACACCCAACTTGAGGTACATTGGGCGGGAGAAGAGCACGGATCCGAAAGCGAAGGCAGAACGACAAAAGTCATTACCTGCGAAGAGGGATGCGGCATATTGTGGGTAGGACATTGGGACGTATGCTGACAAACCGTTAGTGAAGTGAAAGGTTAGGTACTAGAAGGAGCATTAATATTGACTTACAAAAGACAGCTTGGAAAATGATGAAAACAGTAGTCGAGTATATAGTGATACCAATAGCGGAAGCGATCCAGTGCACAGAATGACGAGCCGTCCAACCTACATCAATATCAGTAAAGGCTAAAACGATCTGCTCAGCCAAACACCGACAGCACTTACCAAAAAGGAACAATCCTATCGGCACCCCAAAACTCGCGAAGATCGCTGGCACAAGTCTATGTTCCTGCGGTCTCAACCCCCTCTTCAAGATATCCGGGATGAGGTAGAACCTTAGGTACGAAAAGTATATCGTAATAGAGATGAGACACCCCACAATGATTGACAAAAATACTATCGCCATCTCGCCAACACTGAACCCATATATCTCCAAGTACACCAAAGGAAATACCTCGAAGAAGGAGTAGTAGATCCCATAGGTTAACGCAGAGTACACGTTGATGAAAAGGAGAGCGGGGTCCTTGACACAGATCTCCAACGGTTTTATGATGGCATCGAAGAGTGTGGCAGAGAACTTGGTACCTTTGCGGTCGATTTCAGTTTGCGTGCGGATGTTCGCGTTGCCAGTCAATGCGCGAAGGCGTGCAGAGCGATGCAGCAGAATGGTAGTAGGCTGCGTTTCTGGCAGGAAGAAGAAAAATAGGAGGAACACTGGAGCGGCCATCCATAAGAGCTCCCATTGAGACCTGTAAGTGCATCATCAGCATGGAACGCATAAAGCAGGTAGTGTGGACACATGGGTGGAGCAGTCATACCATCGCCAATTCTCAGCATAAACAGAAAAGCCAGATAAAAGAGGTCCGAGGGCGGGTCCTGCAAAGGCGGCTGCTGTCCAAAACGCCAGGCCATATGGCAAGTGAAGGAGAGAATACAGATCCTGCATACTGGCACCCCCGTTCGCTAGACAAGGGCTTCCGAAGAAACCTAGCAAAAAACGAAGGACGAGAAGACCGCCGAGGTTGTCTACTAGTGCAGCCGGTAGAGTGAGGATAGTGAAGAGGGCAAAAGTAGTGATGTAAGGTATGTTTCTACCGAGTTGTGGTACTATGATGAGACGTCATTAAGAGTCGTCTTTGCGATAGCGACTGGAGAGAGGCAGAATCAAGGAGAGGTAGGATGTGATGGATATGCCACTTACCTTCGCTCAAAGGCGCAAACAGCAGTGGACCAATGCCATATCCTGAATCATATCGTCAGCCAGGATCTGAACATAAACGGATCGACGACCTACCCAAAACATACAACGCCAACCCCAAGCTCGCCTTGAAAGCGCCCACCCCAAACCTCTCCATAACTAACAATGTACTACTAACATAAATCGAACTTCCCGCATACACGATAAACGTATACAAGCAGATCAAGAAAGCCGACCATGCCTTCTTTCCTCGAGACCAATTCTGAGGATTGGCAGAGTCGGTAGTGGTGTACCATTCCGCTAGTATGAGACCATCTGCTGTTTTTGTGGGGGCGATAGCTTGAGAAGCTGATCGTGTACCATGGAGTGCGAGTGTGGCTTCTAGACGTTCGGCTTCGAGGCGCTCTACGCTGAAGGGGAGGGTGTGGGAAGGAAGGGTTGTTGCTGGAAGACCGATTTCAGCGTCTGCGTCGTGGGTTGTTGAGGTCGAATTGTGGGTTTGAGGTTTCTCTAATTCGGCTGTTCGAGAGGGGAGCTTTTCGAGGTCGGCTGGGAGGGAAGAGGTGACGTCGTCGTCTGGGCTAGGCTGCCTGATGGCGGTTGCGGAATTGTTGGCGTGCGATTGGTTTAGTGAGGTCGAGGTTCCGGTGCTCTTCTCGGTGTAGGCAGCTGGGATTTGGAAACCGGGTAACTCTTCAGGGTATTTGAAGATGCGGTTGCGTGTTGCGTAACGAACAAGTTGACCGAATGGCGCATCGCGAACTATTTCCTTCAAGGTCTCCATAATTCCCTGGTACGTGTGTATGAATTTCAACCAGAAAAGGATGGTAAGAAGGCTCCACAAATTTCTCGGCACCACAATCCTATTATATACCCAGGTTCCTCCCGTCCAGCCTGATCGTCAAAGGGGTCCGGAAAGGGTGGTCCTCCCTTACTCTCAGCAAATGCACGTAAAGCATCACCCCAACAATTTCCTTCCAACGACAACTCTACATTCATCAGTCAGCAAATGCCATTAGTTATCAGCGAGCAAGTGCTAGAATCTTAGAGAAATTTGGATAAGGAAAGTGTGAGAAATGTCGGAAAAGGTATGTAAGACCCGAAAGAGGCTTACTCTTAGCCAAGTGATTGGTACTTTTGGGAAAGCCACAAAACCTACGAAGCACTTCGCGCTTTTTGTTGGCCGATTGAAACCTGGTCTTGAAATGTGGTGGGATGGCTGGCCAGACCGGATGCGTTCAGCTTCGCCCTTCGTTTAGTGATCGGTAGTCGCTTACGTATTGTGCATTTGATCAGTCTTTCGCATCCGCCAAGATCCGATACCACAACTTCTGTGGCTGACAATTAATTTGCTGACGAGCACTGCTTACTGAGACTTCACATGTCCGCGCTAGGGTAAGTAAATCACGTCTTACAGATCTGTAGTACGTCGACGTGTCAATTATGCGTCCCAAAGGAAGCCGATTAGACATAACTATGAATACACTAAGGGCAGGCAACCACCCATAAGCTCTGGCATACGCCGAGATAATGAAACAAAAAGGAAATATGCTTGCGCGCTCATGCAAAGCGCGTCTCCATCGCTTACTTTTCTCTTCCAAAAACCCCTCTAAATTTCATCATTCTCTCTCAACCCCCTGTTCCTCCTCTGAGCCTTATGTACAAGGAAGATGAGTGAGCGATCGTACAATCTAAGCAGGGAGCTCTATTCGACGGCTGCTGTAGGCTTCGCTTCGTACGCTGTCTTCGCCGTACTAGTCAAGGTTTCTAGCTCTCCACTTGTTTCGCACATGGACCGGAAGGAACCGCCTTCTTTTCGCACGAGATCGTATGGGTGGCCATATTCGATGACCTCACCCTTGTCAAGAACAAGGACCTTATCGTAGTCGATGATCGTTTGAAGACGATGAGCAATTGTGATGGTGGTGTTTTTGATCTGACGGATAGTTTCCTGAATCTTCGCGTCGGTGGCGTAATCGATAGAAGCCGTGGCTTCATCCATCAGCAGCACCTTGGGTGCCTTGAGCAGTGCTCGCGCAAGACAGAGAAGTTGTCTTTGACCTTGCGACAGGTTGGAACCGGACTCTGATACTGGCGAGTTGAGGTTCTTGAATGGATTCTTGTTGTCGGCCTCCATCGCAGCTTGCGCCGCAGCATCGTCCTGGCCCGCGGGACGCCCATCAGGCATCACCAAGATGGTGTCTTCTTGCGTCTCACCACGCTCCCAGTCGCGGTTTGCCAGAATGGATCCAGGGTTGGTGGTAGCGGCTGAGTAGCTGGCATTGACATCCGCAGTCACGGCCCCTGTCGTAGGGATAGGGATTTGGACAGCGCGAGGTGGGGAGGCTGCTCCGGTAGGTGTTACAGTGCCGGACGCCGGACGTGATAGCGTTGAAATGAGGTTGACTTCGCGTAGCGCGGTGTAGATTTCTTCATCAGTAAAGATGGAGAAGGGGTCGAGGTTGCTTCGGATAGTGCCTGTGAATAATGTCGGATCTGTTTAATGTTAGCATTTGCCGAATCTTGATAGAACCTAGATACGCTTACCTTGCGGTACCATGACGACGTTCTCCCGCAAATCGTGCAGGCCGATCGTACCAACATCGATGTCGTCAATCAAGATCTTGCCCTTCTCGGCCTCCAACGCTCGGAACAAGGCAAGAGCCATTGAACTTTTCCCGGCACCTGTCCTGCCTACCACACCGACCTTCTCTCCTGGGAGGATCTTGAAGGTCAAGTCCTTCAGAACAAGGTCGAAGTCGGTTCTGTATCGTGTGCTGTAGTTGATGAACTCTACAGATCCTTTGCTTGGCCAGTTAGAGGGTGGACGGTTGGCTGAGATGACGGAGGGAGCCTCCTGGTCAACATCGAGGTACTCCTTGACACGCTCGACTGAGTTCATGTTCTGCTCATTGGCCGAGTAGAGACGAACAAACCACAAGACGTTCTCAGTAAAGGTAACAGCATAGGTGAGTGCGAGACCAGCGGCACCTGCATCAATACGTCCAACGCTAAGCACAACAAAAGCGCCAGAGAAGAAGGCGACCATAGCACCGACGACGTCCACTCGGAAGGCGAGCCATCTGTTAGCTGCCCAGAGATAGATGAAAGGTCGATGTTGGGTGTTGATCTTGTTCAAGTTTTCGCGGATGAAGCGGCGCTCGTCACCGTAGGCTCTGATAGTCGTCATACCAGATAGTGTTTCGCCAAACTGCTGATACAACGGGCTTCGGTGTACTGACTCCAATCGCTTCAGGTCGCGGGATGAGTTGATGTAGAAGCGACCGATGAGGAAGTAGAGTATGGAAATAAAGAACGCTGCGATCAGGAAAGCAGGTGTAATGATCGAGATAAGAATGACAATGGTGATGATGGAAGCGAAGCAATGGACGACACCGATAGCGACTGGAGCCACCTCTTGATCGACAGACTCAATATCCTTTGAGAATCTGTTCATGAGCTGACCAAGTGGGGTCTGATCGAAGAAGCGGAACTTGGCATGCGTAACCTTCTGGATGAGTCGTTCGTGTATGCGTTTAGATGCGGCAAGAGAACCCCCGAAAAGGAAACCTTCTCGTAAGAAAGTGATGAACATGAAGATGAGTCCAAGAACGGCATAGACGCCCAGGAAGTACGTAGAGTTGACGTCTGGGTTCGGGGCTCTGAAGGTGGTTTGCATGGTGTTGTAGGCATACGTCTGCTGCTCCGGTTGCGCTGCAAAGAAGGGAATGTTCCAGCTACAGGTGCCGCTGTTCATACATGTGCCCATACCGCTCAATGTTGGGGCATGTGTTACCGGAGTCTGATGATGGGTACTCATGACAGCATAACCTTTTTCTGCGTATGCGTTCGCCCATGTCCGGATCCAGAGATTGGTAGACACTGAGGAGATTTGTGCAGCTACAAAAGCAATGGTAGCACCAAGCCAGTAGTACCATGGGCCCATAGCCCGTAGATACATAGTGATAATGTTGAGCTTGACGCCGCCCTCGGCCTTCTTCTCATCCTGGCTGTTGCTGGCTGGCTTCTTCTTAGCGTCCGGCTTGCCGTTCACGGTGACATTAGCGGATCCGTTGGCGTGATTGGCATCGCCGTTTGCCTCTTCGCCTGAATCTGAAGGCTCTTGAGAAGGAGGCTTGGACGCTCCTCGCGAGGCAGGACGTGATTTGGTGAGATCTTCTGTGAGCTTTCCGGAGTTGATGACCTCGTCTGCTGTACCTTGTGCAACCACCCGGCCATTCTCGAGTGCAACGGCAAACTCTGCATGTGGCAGGCAGAGACTGACGTTGTGTGTGACCAGGATACAGGTTCGGTTGGCCATGAGCGGTCCGTGAAGTGCGTAGTGGAAGATCCATTTAGCGGTATGGGCATCGACAGCGCTTAGGACATCATCGAGAAGAACATGACGAGCTTTACTGTATAGCGCACGAGCCAGTGAGATACGTTGTTTCTGGCCTCCGGATAGCGTTACACCCTTTTCTCCTACGATCGTCTCGTCACCGCCATCGAGAATCTCGAGATCTCGCTTTAGGGAGCATGCCTCGATGACTTCTTGATAGCGCTTCTGGTCAAAGTGGCTTGCAAATACGATGTTGTCCTTGACTGTACCGTTCACAAGCCAAGCTTGCTGAGCGCAGTAAGCAATGCTGTCCGTGAGACCTGTGTCAGGGTCGGGAGTCATATCTTCTCGGCTGAGTCCACCTGGCAAGTAGACGCTACCCTTGAGCTTCGTCATCTCACCAAGCAGTCCCATGAGCAATGAGGTCTTTCCAGAACCAGTGGGCCCAACAACAACATTGAGCTTGCCGACGCGGAAGGTCAAGTTAAGATCCATGAGCTTGAAAGCATCTGCAGAAGCTTGGTCCGCCATGTCGGTTCCGCCCCAGCTGAATGTACCATTCTTGAATCCAATAATGGCTTGACCATCTTCATCCTTCTTCTGGGTGATAAGCTGCGCGTATTTGTCGGTCTCGGGCTCCGATAGGTACTCCTCAATACGATCTACTGACACTTTGGATTCTTGAACGTGTGCAACCATGTCTGCGAGCTGGTCCAGCGGGATCCTCAAGATTTGGAAAAGCGACAGGGCAGTGAATGCGACAGACGGAATGAGCGCCTTATGTTCGACGTTCGTGTACACTAGGAAAGACAAGAACGTGATTAATACTGGCGAGCCCGACCATATCGTAGCTGCTACCGCCCATAGGATGTATCGTCGTCGTAGATGCTTGAGCTCAACGTACCGTTTCTCGTTGACTAGTCCGATGAATCGCTGTTCCCAAGCAAAGAACTTGATAATCCGGATATTGGTAAGGACCTCATTAGTAGTATGGATACGAGCATCGGTGGCGGCAAGAATAAGCTTCTGGATCTTGGAGAACTGTCGCGCAACATACATGTTGATGGGAAGCAGGAATATCATCATACCAATACCAGCAATCGAGCTGTAACCCAGGATACGATAGAGTAAGAAGACAGCCACAACAACTTGGACTGGAGTGTTCGCCCAGAGAAAGTGGAGGTAGGCGCAGATTTCGCTGACCTTGAAAGCGTCGACGGCCATGAGATTGATGATAGCACCGGTTGTAACCTGAGCGTCGGATACCGGTTTTGATGCATCTTCCTCTTTGGAGGCTCCAGTTGCCTTCTTCTTGTTCTTGCCGAAAGTGAACATGCGCTTCAGTCCCTTGGGCTCCTCATCTTGCTCCTGCTTCTTCTTTTCCTCGCCCAATGCCTTCTCAGTAGTAGCAGCTGCTCGACGCTTGAGTGCTTTGGCATAAATCTCTCCAATGATGACGGCGCGTAGACGAATACAAATCTTTCGACCGAGCCATAGCGCTTGACCATCAGCAAGTGCGGACAGACTGCCAGAGACGAAAAGCAAGATGACGTAGAACCATGCGGCGTTGGCGGGTGTTAAGTCGGGTTTCTCAACGTATTCCAGAATAACCTTCAGAAGCAGCGTCGGCGCGAAAGTAAGGAAGCCGGAAATAGCGGCCCAGCCAGCTTGGATGAGTAAACCACGCTTGAAATGCTTCAGGAGGTGGTAGGCCAAGCCTGAGGTTTTCTTGACCTGACGGTAGTTCGCGATGACTGCTGCGGCCTTGTCCTTGGAGGGCAAGTTCCAGACGTCGGTAAGCTCGTATGTCTTCTTGTATCCTGTCCAAACAATTGAATCTACCCAGCTGAAGGTAGCAAGCGAGAAAACACTGGCGATAGGTTCCCGAGCAGGCGCGATATCGCCCTCGTACTCGAGTTCTACTGCCTTGTTGCCTTTTCTAGAGCATAGAGAGATGAGAAACAATAGAGAGACGAGGATGAAATCGCCAATCATGAGCTTCTGGTGTAGAGGCGATCGCGGGTGGATGACGGCCGACCGGAATAAGAGGACGCTGAAGACCCATTGGAAGCCGTAAATGAAAGCAGTGTGGTACCACAAATGGGGAAACGAGAACCTGCTGGTGCTAGAGAGAAGCAGGCGCAGCGACGCCAGTGTGGCGATGTAGGCCCAGACAGCGACATTTGCAATGGCTGCAAGCTTTCCGTGCCTACCCCATACATTCGTCAGCAGCACAGCGACATGAAGTCCAAGCTGTGCGAGCACCGCCAGCTCTTCAAGTACAACGACCGTGAGTTCTCCGCGAGGTTTGTCTACGGCCATGGTGGATACGGTGTTGACTGCATGAAGTGCAAGGTCTTCATTCCGTTCCAATTCATCTTCAGCATCGTTGTAGGCTTCATCGCCATCGTAGCGGGGACTTCGGAAGGACCACACATTGCCGGGGTCTTCGAGGGCGCTGTAGGCGTGGTAGTATTTGGACGCGGTGGCGGCGAAGTAGAGTTGGACCAGGAGGTAAACGACGGATACTCCGCATACTATGAGCGGGAATAATGTTTGAAGGTAGCTGTGACGTGTTAGCTTTCAAGGTCGTTCGTGGTGGCGCGTCGCCTATCGGATGGCTGCAGTTGTATCTGAGACATCGCGTAGCATGGCGCATGGCAAGAAGAAGCACCTACTCTTGCTCGAAACACCGCGAAAAGTCGTCTCTGCCCCAGACCGGGCCTCTACAGTGGGCGAACATGCTGTCTGCCGCAGTTGTACGAGACCTGTTGTGACCGGTGGTGGTGTTCAATCCCTCCAGCACTCGCACTAGTTATTAACGGCTGTTGAGGCGCATTGGGACCTGAAGAGGGGCCGGGGAGTGTATTCGCGCCTTCTTCTTGATTGCGCCGAAGTAAACAAACGTCGACAGGGATTTGCAGGCAGGTGCGTCCAGGGTATGGTGGTTTGCGAAGAAAGATGCTGCTTCTTCGGTTTGCGCTTCTAGTTGCTGCAAGAGCCTTTCCAGATCCGCACTGACGTTCACGCGCGTGCGCGAATCGACGGATGATGTAATTAGATATTTGAGCCGATGTGCAACCGAGGCAGGTTGGATCTGATAAGATGGACGTTGATCAGATAACGGCCGGTAATGACGGGTGCAACGAACCACACTTCTAGCAGTCGCAAACTACTCTATCGAAACGTCACTGTGGCTGCTGCGTGGAATGAAGGGTAGTCTTGAAGAGAGAGCTAGATCGTCACGACATATAGTCTGACAGGGTTCGCCTCCGCTTGACTCAAGGTGACATGGTTGTGCACGAAGACGCATCCGCTGCGCATGTGTCACAGAGCAAGCCATGCATTCATTTCACGCCTTTTTGCGCACTGCAACCCTGCAGCTTCACACTACACAGTCACAACAGTGTGTTGACCGCCTCATTCAAGTTTGCAACAGTCATAATACCTTAATGTATCATAATGTATCATAGTGAGTCCACGTCCTGAAGGGCGAAAGGGCTAGTCAAAGGGCGCAGACTGGACTAGCTGTGAATCTCCCGCTATCCATGTTGAGACATCGTTTATGTCGCCAGTGCAACTAGCTCTTGTGCACGCTGCTAACTGCGTCTGACTTCGCGCAACGTCTGGTCTGATGCTTCTCTTTACTACCAGGTAAGCCATGGTCACTCGTGCCTGCTGCTGAGGCCCCATGCCAAGGGGTCTCGCGTCCGCCCTAGAATTCGATAAGCATCACCGAACTCTATCGGTGTGTCGTCTGCGGCATGGAAGAATCGTATTTGACCTTCCTATAACGACGACAGCTCAATCGCGGCTTCCGGACTCAGGAAAGTCCGGGGTACGAAGTACTATCATGGCTGCAACCAGCTCCGCGGGTCATGGGTAGTGGAACCAGGTGTTAGCTTCCCCACAGCTTACCAATCCACATCTGCCGTGCATGCGACCTGTAACGCTGCTTACATTGCCAATAGGCCCTTTGTTAGGCGCATCCTACAAGTCGGTGAGGCCCTCGCACACACGTCGCCCTAAGATATCTGCTGGCGCCATCTGAGGATCTACCGGTTCCCCAGGCACGCCCAACGTCTTGGCCAGAGAACACAGCGTTGAACGACGTGCTGCTCTCGAGTCCTGCGACATGTGAAGGCGGTTTGATGCCGTTTTGTTCACTACGATCATACTGGAGACGTCTTCGACGCATCCATATACGTGGCGCAATTTCATAGTGGCGCCACCGCTACAAGCTTTTGCTCTTGATCGCCCAGCAGGAGTACTTACACCTAATTCGCACACGGTGAGAAGACTTCGTGACAAATTTTCGTTCTCCAAATTAGCATGCCAGCACGCATCGCAGAACGCGACGTAGTCCGATGATGGTATTGGCATCTACATGGAATAGTCCCTGCATAAAGAGATGGCAATCTTAGGAAATTTGATCTATCGCATGAGAATCAATATAGTGGTATCAGTCTCACACCGACAGCAGCGAATGGGTGCTTCGCGCCTATCCATCTTCCTAGTGCTTCCTTCGACACACGAATCTAGAGCTGCAGAGAGTGAGTTCAATCCTTTAGTACCCTACAGCCTTATGTCGACAAGCCGTAGGAATGCCGTCAAGACCGTCTGCCGCATACACATAGCACACTACGCGCCCCTTACATTCACCTCACCTATGCGAAGCATTATCATGCTCCTTCACAACCGCTGCGCCGCGCATGCAATACCATCATTGTCTCTGAGTCCCTCTCCTTAGCCATATTGACACTGGAGCAGCCACCTGAACGCTTCATTTGCCTTTGAGCGTCTTCATACTTCAATACATAGACCAATCAAGTCCTTCAGTCAGTCTGTTCTTTTAAGCCATGTCTCGAATCGCCGGAGATGGTAAATGTGTGTCCTTACAGACCATCTGACATTGCCAAGTAAACGTCAGCGGACGCCACATGCTACGCCGCAGGCATTTCCCCGCCTGTCGGGAACCATCTGACTCCATCGAGCATGGTAAACTGGAGGACGCTTACTAGTAAGACGTGCAAACACATGTAGGATTCTCGATGCCGAGTCGTTGTTCGGCTTCACGCCTCTATGTAAGGGTGTTGGATTGCATGCTTTCGAGGCTCTGGGGCACTAGCATTAGGCTGTTCTATTGGACTCAGAACTTGTATGCTTTGGCACGGGAAGGAAGGCTAGATGCAATGCCACGGGCGTTAGGATGAATCCCAAGAGGCGTGGCTATGCATCTGCACCTTCACAGCAAACCCGAGACTTCTTACTTTGGAATGCTGTCGTACCATCAAGGATTGTATATAAGCCCTGAGTAATCCTCGGTAATATAGGTGTCTAGGAAAGAAGCTGCTGCACTCCCCAACAATGCATTCTTCAATCCCCTCAGCAGGTCTCCTAGCCTCTCTTTTCATCCCATCTGCCTTCTCAATCCCCTCCAAATATCAACACTCATCCTTCCACCCCAACAACATCATCACCCGCGATGTAGCAATCATAGGCGGCGGTTCCTCCGGCACTCATGCCGCCATAAGCCTCAAAGACACTGGCAAAAGCCTTATCGTCGTTGAAATCAAGGGTCGCCTGGGAGGCCACACAGAAACCTACACCGACCCAGCAACCGGTGTAGCCCAAGACTACGGCGTCCTAATTTACCACAACGAAAGCACCGTCCTCGACTACTTCGCCCGCTTCGACATACCCCTAGCCATCCCAGAATTCGCCACAAACCGTGCAAACTACGACCTCAGCACCGGTCTCGAAGTCAACATTAGCGCCCCTTCCCCCGAAGCACTAGGCGCTGGACTTGAGAGATACGCCGCCTTCCTAGCCCAGTATCCAGAGCTGAATAGCGGCATGTTCCTACCGGACCCCATCCCAGAAGACCTAACCATGCCGTTTGGGGACTTCGTCATCAAATACGGTATCGAAGCTACCGTACAGACCATGTTCAGTACGAACCAAGGTATCGGCGATATTCTCAGCGCACCCGTAGTCGAGAATGCGCGTGTCAATGCATTAGGTCTAGTAGCGCAACTCGCTGCCAACAGTCTCGTCTCCACAGCTCGACGCAACAACAGCGAGCTGTACGGGAAAGCGCAAGCTGAGCTCCTCGACGCTGACAGCTTGTTGCTGTCTTCCGAGGTCGTACATTCGGTACGGAAAGAGAGTGGCGTTGAACTCGTTGTGGAGACACCCGACGGCGTGAAATTGATTTGCGCAAAGAAACTCCTCATTACCATTCCTCCAAAATTGGATATCCTCGCTCCCTTCGATCTACAAAAGCAAGAACGCGACGTCTTCGGTAAACTGATCAATGCTGGGTACTACGCCGCTCTGGTCAAGAGTACGGGGCTACCGGAAGATTTGTTCATATACAACTACGCGCCAGACACGCCTTACAATTTGCCTCCAATTCCAGGTATCTATCTTATGCAACCAACCGCTATCCCTGGTGTCAAAGCAATCTACTACCGTTCTAAAGTGTCAAACTCTACGTATCCTCTCTCTGATGACTTTGTCAAAGGGGAAATCGTTGCTGGTATCAAGAGACTGCAGAGCGCAAACCCTGACAAATTCAAAGTTACGGAACCGGAGTTTGTCGTCTACACGTCACATGTGCCATTCTACGTGCAAGCTGCATCCGAGGATATACAGGCTGGGCTGTATGAAAAAATGAATGCGTTACAGGGTTTGAGGAGCACGTATTGGAGTGGAGCGGCGTTTAGGACGCAGGATAGCAGTGCGTTGTGGCAATTCAACAAGGAAGTAGTGCTGCCGATGTTGGTAGAGGGGTTCTGAATGAGAAAATTAGGACGGGTTGACAGCATATGAAACATCCATTTCTTCTCTTGGTATATACAATGCTTGATATAGGAAACGGATAGTCTACTGTCGGGCCTTGGCGACGGGTGTCCATGGAGAGTACTTGGGCTTCACGCTGTCCGTTGTTAGCACACCATCTCTCTAGATTAAATTCTCCAAAGCGTACGTGTTGTAAGGCTTGTATCCTGAACGGCTCCATGTGAGGGTCGGCCTGTGCTCCTTTGGCTCCCAGACGCGGATCTCGCGCTGTAGAAGCTTGTCTGTGGCTGGTGACTTGTCGACCATGTATGACATCCAGGCGTGCCATCCGGGTTCGATCTGAGAACTGTCACAACGTCAGCTTTGCTGCGCTCCCTCAAGGCGTAATGTAACGTACGGATCGAACTCCTTGTCCTTGTAGTCAACCCAGCGGGTTCGGACTATAACAGTCAGATATATGCCTTCGTTCCTGGGATTCCAGAGCCTTACGGGGAAGCTCCTCCTCCAAGTTCTCAAAGAACTTGTTGCCGTACTTGTCCTGGCCGATCAAGGTTCCAGCTTTGGTGTCACCTATACCGCATTAGCCCCTCCGATCTTTAGGCTCATTGTTCGTATCCGAGCGTACCGATGTTCTACACGTGCGGGCAACTCGATCAGTCTATCTGCGTTTCAGTGTGAGGGCGCGGGGATGCAAGCGTACCGCCATTTGGTGGGCATATTCCTGCGGTTGTGTTAGCATTGCGCCGTCAATTACTACAATGGTTTAGACCGACCTTAAGACCGACTCGGCGCAGGTTGCGCAGCGTTCTCATGAGTGTCGACATGGCGGCGTTTGGGTAATTCAGCGTTCGTGATGCTCGTCGGATGTTGCTGCTTCGCGATTGACGATGCCAAGCACCGCTCATACGCCTTGCCGCAAACACACTAGCTTAGAAGTTATCCTTGTCGCCCAACCCCAAAGTGCATCGAAACTTCAGGAGTCGAAGCACATGCCAGCATCCAGCGTCATATCAAAAGTCCAACATGATAATGCGAAGCTTATTACGTGCCCAAGCCCCGAAGATTGCGGGGAGGAGAAGTTTCCGCATACCGACTCGGACATTCAGAACAACGAGGAGATATTCGACTTCGAATGCTGAGATGGCGTCGCCCGTGCCTCAAAGTCAGGCGTCTATGCTTGCGACGATAACAACGGATCTGGATAAGATTGCGCCGCGATTTGAGATCCAGCCAGAGCAGATCGAGATTATTCAGACGCCTGCTGAGTTCTATCAAACATTGAAGGTAGGTCAGCCTTCATTGCTGTATCCCTTCCCCTGCTCTTAACACATGAATTATTCTCTTGTTCTATCGCATCGCTTCATTCTCACAAATGATTCATTACATTCCTCGTCTCTATGCTTTGAAAGAGCGCCATCATATTGTTCGTCCTGATGCATCAAATATCCCACGATTTGCTTTCAAACATATGTTCTATTCCCAATATACTCTACCCGAAGAGGCGGTATAAACGAACCAACCTCAATGGAGGCCTAAATATCGAGAGATACCGTGAGAAAGCTCACCACAGTGATACGTACGTCACACTAACGTGCTCCAGGAAAAAATCTCTAAAGCTGAACACCGCATCTATCTATCAACCCTCTACATCGGCAAAACCGAACACGAACTAATATCCACAATCCGGGACGCTCTCCAACGCAACCCTGGCCTCAAGGTCTCTTTCCTGACCGACGCTCTCCGCGGAACCAGAGAAACGCCAAACCCTTCAACCGCATCTCTCATGACACCTCTTATCTCAGAATTCGGACCAGACCGTGTAGAAGTGCGCATGTACCACACGCCTAATCTAACCGGTCTTCGAAAGAAGTACATCCCTAAACGCATCAACGAAGGCTGGGGTCTGCAGCATATGAAGTTATATGGTGTAGATGACGAGATAATCATGTCTGGGGCCAATCTGAGTGAAGATTACTTTACGAATCGACAGGACCGGTATCATCTATTTCGATCAAAGGAGTTGACGGACTACTTCAAAAGAATACATGATGGCGTGGCAAAGTTGAGTTTCGACATCCAGCCTAGTACTCAAGAAGGAAGTGGAGGCTACACCATGTCCTGGCCAACAAACAATGCCGCACCCTCACCCTTGGACTCACCCTCAAACTACAAATCTGCCGCAGAGAAACATCTCGCCCACCTCCTCGTCCCATTAAACTCCCCTGCTGCCCTCCCCTCGTCAACCACATCCTCATCAAAAACGACAATTTACCCCATCCTCTCCCTCGTTCCTCTCCTTCCATCCTCGACCGAACTCCCCGCCTTGACGAAAATCTTAACACGCCTCACAACGCCTCCCCTCCAGAATTCTTCCTGGACCTTCACCGCCGGCTACTTCAACATGACGCCCTCGTTTCGACGGCTCCTCCTTTCCACCCGCCCCTCCTCTGGCACCGTGCTAACCGCGCACCCTCACGCCAATGGTTTCTACGGGTCAAAAGGCGTAAGCGGTATGTTACCAGATGCGTACACGCACCTCGCCAAGTCGTTCCTCCGAAAAGTAAAACATGAAGGTCTAGCCGAGAGTATTGTCTTGAAAGAGTGGAAGAAAGGTATGGTGGGACAGGAGGGCGGGTGGACTTATCATGCCAAGGGGTTGTGGGTTACTTTCCCTTCTTCTTCCTCTTCTCCTTCTTCCGAGGCGGACAAGGAAGATCCTAGCTTGACGGTTATTGGGAGTAGCAACTATACGAAACGCTCTTATGAACTGGACCTAGAAGCTAATGTTGTTATTGCGACGTCGGATCCTGGGTTGAGGAGGAGGTTGGGTGAGGAGGTTAAGTGGTTGGGAGAACATGCCAAGAAGGTAGATGAAAAGGAGTTTGAGAAGCCGGAGAGGAAGGTGGGGATGAATGTCAGGATGGCTATGTGGGCTGTTAGGGTGTTGGGTGGTGCGTTGTAACGGAAGAGCGGGTTGAATGTGTGCGTGGATAGGCTGCGAAGGACCTTGGTGTAGCGTATGTATCAACAACTGTCAAGAACTTACTATGTGATCTGCATATGTTACGGTTGGAAGACGTTTTATTCGTCTGATATTAAACTGTTTATTTGATCCTACATTAAGAGAAGCTACGTAAAAGGTGTGTCGGGTATATATGCAGAAGAAGCGAAAACGAAAACGAAAACAAATCGAATGTTTAGCTTGCGCTGTCAAATTCCTTCCATTTTGTACCGTTACTCCAACATATCAAACTGGCAAGATTGCTTCTGACATGTAATCCTCTCGTGGAGAACTATAGCTTATTCAGTTGTAGACCAGCAATTGCGCGTAGCTCGCCAGACTACCAGTCCCCGATCGCCGACAACGCGACTAATGGTATTCCAGACGCCGTCGTCGGCAAAGTCCATGTCATCAAGGTTCAGATGCTTTCGATAGCTCCAAACTTCCTGTAATGAGACTTCTGTTGATGTATTTGGGCTCTGATACGGTATTAGAGCATGTGCTGATCGTGGTGCTACTACGTAAACAGCGCCACGATCAACCTTTGGTGGTTTCCGCGTCCGACAGGGTGGTAGTGCTTCTTTGACTTTCTCAATCATCTCTTCCGCTGGACAGCCCATCAGATCTACGGTCTGTAGTTCCTCGTTCTTGCCGTTTAGTAGCCAGGTTGGAGGACTGTAAGTCTTCCACCAGAACGCATGAGAGACTGTCTCGTTCGTTTTGGCAATGTTCATTTGAACCGGTACAATGCCACCTTGGTGGTACACGCCCATTAAGATACCGAAAGCGACGTTAAAGACAACCCAGGTGATGATCCAGCTTTTCCCAATGCGCGGAGTAGGTATACGTATCGAGGATAGTATCAGTGGTACGGCGGGTAGTAGAAATCGAGCTTCTTGGTGTGGAAAGATGCTCAGAAGGGCAACGCCAGAAATGGCTGAGACTAGAATCATGGAAATATGCGCCCTGCGCAAGAAGAACAAAAATGGCGTCGCCGGTCCGAGCAGTTGAGGGAGATTAACCAGGAAATGCTGATATCGTGGATGTATGCCATGCTGGGCAAGGTTCGCAGAATCGGAGTTGTAGCGGAAATTATTGAAGGGTGTGACGACGGCGCTGTTCAAGACTTTTGAGAAGGTAAACTCGCCAGGGGTATAAAACGCCGTGTCTACGCAGATAGCAAGGAAAGCCGTGAAGAGAGCGAATGTAGCAAGGAAGACCAAAGAGAATGGCCTACTGATGTCAGTGAAAGTCTAGAAGACGACAACAAACTTGACTTACTTGCGCTGGAAGTGAGGGAGCAAAGTCGTCGCAGGAAGAAGCAAGAATGCTGGAAAGGTGATGCGATTAAAGATGCCCACGACGACCATGAAGCCGAGGATGGATGAGGCCAGGATGCCGGAGCGCTTCTGCACCTTGCGTTAGCCGCATATCCTAGATCGGCAAGCGGACCGAAGCAGACGTACCTTGTCGTCCGTTATCCTCTGTATCAACACTAGACTCCAGAGCACCAGCAGCGTCTCGAGGCTGTTGGAGAAGGTATGTGTCTGGAATGTCCAGGTTACATAGGAAGATGCGACGAGCATGACAGCAACGCGACGAGCACGCGGCGAAGCGACCAGCTCGTGGATGGCCCAGTCCTCCATGACGACACTCAGCGACAGCATGAGTACACGTAGTGTCCAGTAGACGACCGACGGCGAGACGTCATATCCGAAGCCCTCCCATAGCCAGCGCAAGATGTACATGGGCCAGCCGTATGCGAGCCATAGCGGGAATGTGCTGCGAATGGGGTTCTCGGAGGTGAATTCCCAGGTTTCGTGGACGGGATATGAGAAGACGCGCCCTACAGACAAGTCAGTCACGGTGTTGGCAAGATAGCCAGATAGTGTCGCGACATACCGGCAATGACCTCAGGGCCCTGGAAGTTCTCGTCTGGGTGCAAGTAGCTCGGCGACAGGGCAAAGTAGGTGCGCACGAGGATTAGGAAGAAGTAGACTCTCCGCCACATGATGGTGAAAGTTGGGGTACGCCGTTTGGGTGTTTGGCGGGGTGGCGCAGGCGCATATCTGTATTTGTTGTTGTGTGATTGTTTGCACAAAGTGAGGCCAGCGAATGTTTTAGTGCTGGCCGACGTCAAACAACAGTTGCACGCGGATAGGGGGGCCGGTTATCAATAGTGAATGGTGGGTAGAGTTTCGCGACTCGTGCACGGCGATGATCTGCGAACTACATTTTGGAGGAAAAGCATGGTTGATATATCGGCCGTTTATCATGCGGCCTGATCAGATGCGATGTGGCAGCAACCGATGATATCTCGGACTCGCCCATGCTGGGCGTGTCTAGGCTGCCGCTGCGGATCCGGATCCGTCATGCGGGCTGAAAGGTCACGTGGCAGAACACCAATGGGTGCGGTTCCTGGGTACTTGTCCAAGGATACGTGTAACTGCATCTCGAATATCTACAAGCATATCTGTCATTACCATACTGATGTGAGCAATGTCACCATGTCCCAGGTACTCTGTCAAGTCATGATGCAACTGTCTTCACTGGCATACTGGCATACTGGCATACTGGCATTGACTGCAACGCAAGCCTAAGTTCCCTGCATAGTTAGTAGACAGATGTCACAGCACAGCCAACGTATATCGAAATTAATGACAGACATCCCGTACAAAACATACTAGCTCAAGGCATCATCTTTAGTGACTCGAATTCCGTTTTACTTTCTGGTAACTTCTGCCGGCCCAAGTGCGGCATGGAGTCATCCTACATGCCATTCGCGCGCGGGGGTCCCCCATAGTGTTGTTCCTGTTGCGCAAACATGGTCCAATCTGCTGGTCCACAAACGACAGCGCAAATTCACAATACGTTTCATGCTTCACCTGGTAGCAATGCGCCTATGTCTAAGGAATCTGCATAGAACTGCAAACAAACCGCGGCTCAGGCGTGACAAAAAGGTCTCTTTGTCGATTGCAGCCTTGCGCCTTCCCAATCGGTTGTGCTCGGCGGCCTGAGCTTAGCCTCATTGTTGGTGCAGCGGAGCTGCTCGCCCGTGGTTGCCTTTCCTCATTCACCAGCGCGCAAACGTGAAAGCACAACGCCTGCGCATATATAATCGCTCACTTCCCGAGCCTCCAGATTCCTTCTCCACTACACACCTTCTATCTTCAATCGAAACTGCCGGTCTAGCCCATCCGCTCGACTCCATCAACAGCTTACCCCACTTCTACAACCACCCTCAATACCACATACACTAGCTACCGCAATGGCTACTACTACTGCCGACGGAGTCAAGCTCATCAGCATCACCACCTCGGATGGTGTCGAGATGAAGGTCGAGCGCCCTGTCGCTGAGCGCTCTATTCTCATCAAGAACCTGCTTGAGGACCTCGGTGGTGAATCCGAGGAATCTATTCCGATCCCTAACGTGTGTACTCACCTTCTCAGACCCCTTCCGAGAACAGTCACTAACAGGTCGCAGGTCAACGAGGCAGTCATGAAGAAGGTCGTCGAATGGTGCGGCCACCACAAGAACGACCCTCCCGCCACCCAGGATGACGACTCCGACTCGCGCAAGAAGTCTACCGACATCGACGAGTGGGACCAGAAGTTCATGCAGGTCGACCAGGAGATGCTCTTCGAGATCATCCTTGCTGCCAACTACCTGGACATCAAGGCTCTTCTTGACGTCGGATGCAAGACTGTCGCAAACATGATCAAGGGCAAGTCTCCCGACGAGATCCGCAAGACCTTCAACATCCAGAACGACTTCACTCCTGAGGAGGAGGAGCAGATCCGCCGTGAGAACGAGTGGGCTGAGGACCGTTAAAAGCGTGCGCCTTCTTCTGCTTGACCTATCTCTGTATGTCTATATCGCATAGGTTCACGGACCGCGGATAAACACGGGCCGGTGCATATGTTGAAGGATTCTGTCTCCGGCGCAGCGGAGTTCATGGGTGTGATATTTTTCCAAGCGCATGATGCTGGAACTGCCCTGGGTGTAGAACCAATGGGCGCTAGCAGGTTACGAACATCACGGTGGCTTACTGTACGTTGCAAATGATACGTCCGTTTGCACCCTATTGCAGGTAACGCAATCAAAACATGAAATACGTTACTTCGTTCCTAGCTATCACAACTCCGCACATTCTACCTCGGCTCCACAAATGACGTGATTTTCGACCTTGCGAAACTTGGTGCCGCATTTCAGCAATGTTAGGCACTTGCTGCTCCACAGCGATTGGTTGTGACACAACTGTATCTGAAGCAAATGGCATGTTGAACTGATCGTCATTTCGCGTTGAGCTTCTTCTTCTATACATTTTCATAACCCACGCTGAGCTATATGTCCTAAACGCCAAATAGAAATCACATATCCATCGTACTTTTGGATGTATCTCTACCACCCCCTCTTAGCAAGCTTCTCCTCCTCACCCATAGTACCACAGTTGATACCAACCATAGCCTCACCCAGATCCATGCTAACCTCCATCAGCACCTTGGGGTCCTTGTAATGCGTAACAGCCTGCACAATAGCCTTGGCCCTCTTGGCCGCATCTCCAGACTTGAAGATGCCGCTGCCAACAAACACACCATCACAACCCAACTGCATCATCAACGCGGCATCAGCAGGCGTCGCAACACCACCAGCCGCAAAGTTGACAACAGGCAGACGGCCCAACTTGGCTGTCTCCTTGAGCAGCGCATAGTCGACCTGGAGCTCCTTGGCGTAGACACGGAGTTCCTCCTCTGACATGCTCTTTGCGCGGGCAATCTCGCTGTTTACGGTACGCATGTGGCGGACGGCTTCGATGACGTCGCCGGTTCCGGCCTCGCCTTTTGTGCGGATCATGGCTGCGCCTTCTGAAATGCGGCGGAGGGCTTCACCGAGACCTCGGCAGCCGCAGACGAAGGGGATGCGGAAGGGGTGCTTGGCGACGTGGTGGATAGCGTCGGCGGGGGTGAGGACTTCGGACTCGTCGATGTAGTCTACGCCTAGGGCTTCGAGGATCTGTGAAGATTTGGAATTAGCAAGTGTCGAAAGAGAGAGAGGGGGTTCGCAAATCGGTCAAGACGTACCTGGCATTCGACGAAATGGCCAATTCGCGCCTTGGCCATGACGGGGATTGTGACTGTGTCCATGATCTCCTTGATCATCTTGGGGTCGCTCATACGTGCTACGCCACCCTGGGATCGAATGTCTGCGGGGACGCGCTCGAGGGCCATGACGGCTGAAGCACCGGCTTCTTCTGCTATCCGTGCCTGTGAGAGGACATTGGTTAGCAATTGACCTTACTACTCGAATTGCTACATGTTAGCATTAGAGAGACCTACTTGCTCAGCGTTAACAACGTCCATGATGACTCCGCCCTTCAACATGCGTGCCAGACCGGCCTTGACGGCAAAGTTGTTCTCGCCATCCTGTGCGCTGTGGCCGTTCGTGGTGGGGAGTTCAGTTGCCATTGTGATGTGTAGTGTGCTGTGAGTGAAATTCCTCCAATAGTGATTGGTGACGGGAGGAAGTGAGGTCAAGTCAATTAGTAGTGTAGTAGAGTAGAGTGTTGTCACAGACGATGAGGTATTAAAGTCTAAGTGAGAGAAAATGAGGTAAGATCGTGAGTCAAAGTCAAACGCGATGTATTACCTGTACATGTACCCGCGGCATCGCAATATTTTTTTGCCTCTGTAAGGTCCCTCCATCCCGCCTTCGCAGCTCGGAGGTTGCCCCGCCATGTTCCGCGGCGGCGCGACAACATCTAGACCCCGCTGCGCGCCCTTTGACACATGCGATGCCTATACGCCAATCAGCCATCGGGAAAGTGTGAACCAGGGCCGTGAATTGCCGTCGCTTAGTCAGACGATTTGTATGGTTTCATTTGGGTCTGCAGTGGCCGTTGCTGAGATAGGTACAAGTTGAGCCGTCATCTGATGTTATTTCGGGCCGAGTGGGGCAATGGATCATCCTGGACCCTGAGAGAACCCTGCGAGACGCTGGAAACGCCAGGTTCCATGCATGTTGCTGTATACACTACTAACGCTGTAAGTATGCCAATGCCGTGCCAATACCGAAGACTGCCTTGATGCTGGCACCCTAATCCTCTAGTATGGCGCTGTCTCGCGCTTCAACCACTCCAATGTCAAAGAGTCATTTTCGAAGAACTTGCTCGTCTTGTCGTAGACCTCCTTGTGGTATTCGTTGATGAATCTCTTCTCGTCTTCTGTAAGCAGGCTCATATCGACAAGGTTTCTGCAGTGTGGAGTCATTGTTACGTGCTCGAAACCCAGATATGGCTTGTCACCGAACTTGTGCTTCGTCTCGACTTCTTGGACCATGACCATGTTCTCGATGCGGATACCGAATTTGCCGTCCTCATAGTATCCAGGCTCGTCAGAAACCACATTCCCTACGGTCAACGAGACTTCGGAGTACTGGACCCTGGTGCCGATGCCGATCGGGCCTTCGTGTACGTTAAGGAAGGATCCTACACCATGTCCGGTGCCGTGACGATAGTCAAGGCCCTCCGCCCATAGGAACTGACGAGCCAACGCATCCAACGCGAAGCCGGTTGTACCTTTGGGGAACTTGACGCGTTCAAGAGCCATGTTGCCCTTGAGCACAAGCGTGTATGCTTTACGTTCCATCTCAGTAGGCTCTGTGAAGTGCAGGGTCCGGGTGGTGTCGGTGGTGCCGTCCCGGTATTGCGCTCCAGAGTCGCATAGGTATATAGCTTTGGGGTCGATGACGGCGCACTCGCCCTTCTCCGGCTTGTAGTGGATAACAGCTGCGTTCGGACCGGTCGAGGAAATCGTATCAAAAGAAAGACCCATGAACATGTCATGCTTCTTGCGAATCTCCTCCAGCTTATCGGCACCGTCAACTTCATCGAGCGTGGCTTTCTTATTGAGAAGTTGGTCCTCCAGCCAAGCGAAGTACTCGCTCAATGCAGCACCATCACGAATGTGACATTGCCGCATGCCTTCTAGTTCGACTTCGTTCTTGACCGCCTTCGCATCTCCAACCGGGCTGCGTGTTTCTTCGACCTTTTCGTCACCACCAAGAGCCTTGTTGAGAGCCCACGATGCTCGGTTTGAAGTCAGGAACTTCTTCTGTGCGTCCGCCTTGCCGCTCGCTTCGAACAACTCCTTGCTCAGTGCTGTAACATCTCCAAAGATATCCTCGTATGGTCGGATCGTGACCTTGTCGCCCAGGTGCTTCTTGACATCTTCGGGTAGCTTGCTTTCGTCGACATAAAGAGTGGCTGCGGTGGACGTGACAACGGCGTAGGAGAAGAATACGGGATTGTATGGAATGCTGCGTGTTGTCAGTGGTGTAGTCTCATGTGGGGGCATAGTCCATACTCGCTGCCGCGGAGGTTGAAGAGCCAGGCGACTTCGTCAAGCATAGATACGACGAAGCCCAGGCTCTTCTTCTTCTCTAGCTCCTTGCGCAGATCCTCGATTTTGTCCTCGAAGCTCTTGCCGGAGTACTTCTCAGGCTGAACAATGACCTTCTCGCTCGGTCGAGCTGGCCTCTGCGCTCCCCATACCAAATCTACTAGGTTCTCGTCGATAGCTTTGTACTCGCCGCCCCTCTTCTTAATCTTCTCAGCGAGTTTGCGGGCATCCGCTGCAGTAACCACGCTGGGGTCTACACCGACAACCTTGCCTCCTTCAGCCTGGTCTGCGGTCCACTCCTGGATGGTCGGTACATCCTGTATGCCTTGCTTCAGCAGCTCCCAATTGCTATCGAGCTGCTTCTCGGCCTGGTTGAAATAGCGTCCGTCGGTGGAGAGGGCGGCTTTCTCGTGCGTGATGACAGCATATCCAGCAGAGCCGGTAAAGCCACTGATGTATGCTAGGTGGTGTCAACGGGTGCGATGCGATAGGTAGCGGGGGCCTGACCTCGTCGTGCGTCACATGGGGCAATGTACTCGCTCTGGTGGCTGTCCTCGGAAGGAACCACTAGCACGTGTCAGCTGCATGTCTTCACATGTCTTGTCGTGAGCACACCTACTATAGATGTCGACATTGCGCTCCTTCATGAGCTTGCGGAGGTCCGCAAGTCGCTGGGTCGTGTCTACTTTGGCCATGTCGATAGCACGCAGGGCAGCTGAGGCGTGAAAGGGTCTGACAGGGAATGAAGGCGTCTTTTTGGCTACATATGCTGCAGCTGTCGCGTGGGAGCGCCCTAGAAAACGCGGGAGGAGCATAGAGTATGGGACTGTTTCGCGCCTACGATCGGTACATGCATGACACCCCGCCTACACACCTCCAGCGCCGCATCCATTCCCGCACTAAGCGCAATCGCCCAGGGCTCCAATCAAGCCTTGCCAAGCGCAAGAACTCTCACTCTCAGGCACCAAGGGGAGGCGCATGTGTATTTATTCCAGCATCAAGTGCCCTACGTCTAACAGTCAATAACATGGGCTCACGTCGTCGTGGTTTGCTATCCAATTTGCCCCACCATACGCGACGGTAGAGGCAACTTCGCGCAGCCTCAACCCCAGCCCTGGTCCTGCACCTTCACATTTCTACGCCGCCTAGAGCAGCCTTTTCTCTCAACTTCAGGACAACAGCGAGTCATGTCAACTGCATAGAAGACATAGCGTCCTTGTATCAGGCATCACCAGGCACGTTCGCAGTCGATTCTGTGCACCCTTTTTTCGCACCTGCACATCCCTAGTCGCACCTTCCCACTTTCGGTAATGCTCGACCTGGTCTCTGGGTACCCTGACATCAAACATCATAGCTAACAACGCCTCGTAGTACAGTACTCTCGACCCGTCTCAACATGGCGAGCAACGGTGCGTTTCCTCTGCCCTATGAGGAGATTGAGCGCCTGGTAAAGTCCATATACGAACCTGGTCAAGCAAAGAAGATCGCCGAGACCGAGGCCACACTTCGTGTCCTCCAGCGGTCGCCCCAAGGTTGGGAAATTGCAGATGCTCTCTTGAAGAGCGACAACGAGCAGGTCCGCTTCTTCGGCGCCCTTACCCTCACCGTCAAGCTCAACGCCGATTCGGCTGAACTGAGCGAAGAGGAATCTGAGCAACTGCTTTCGACGCTCGTTCACCATCTCGTCTCACGGCCTAGCTCGTCCATAGCCACCCGGAAGGTCAGCTCGACCTTGGCCCAGTACTTCACTAAGCCTATCTCTGTGTGGACCCATTGCATCAGGAGCTTGGCTGCATCATTCGCTGCCCAGCGCCCAGTTCTAGATGAGGCGTTGAATGAACATCCTTCGACATGGGATCTTCTACCGCAGTTCTCCGACGAGCAGCTTCTGGTCATGCTTGACTTTGTTATGAGTTTAGCTGACGAAGCCAAGAAGCCATCCAACCTTCCAGACCGGAAATCAGCGGAGCGCATGGTAGCAAACGTAGAGAGTGTTGAGATTCTCCTCCACGTGGCATTCGGTCGTGGCATCAAATGGCTATCAGTATCCATCGACGACTCCAACTACGCACAATCAGTGCAACAAGGAGAGAAGATCTGCATAGCCGCTTTGAAGTGCTTCACAGGATGGATCTTCTATGCTCAATCTGAGTTCAAGGATGACACTGAGAAGCTTCAACATCTTCGTTCGGTAAACGAACTCGCCCTGACATGTTTGGAATATCATGTCGAAGATGCAATGGAACTGGTAGCCGAGATCCTCGAAAACTATCCCACCTTTTTCGAGGCAAAACATCAGGAGATGCTGTGGTCGGCAATCTCAGGCCCATGGGGTCTAGAAATCCTCAAGAATTCTGACGCCGAGACCATTTCCCTCGCCCGGATCATTGTCGCCTACGGACAGATTCTGCTTGATACTAAAGTCATTTACAATCAACCAGAAAGTACACATCATCAGCAGGTCATGTCCTTCTTGCATGATCTCCTCAAGTACCCTGAGCCAGTAGGCGCCGAAGATGAAGTTGCACCGGTGGTACTTGACTTCTGGAGCAACTATGTCAGCGCCATCGCTGAGGAGACTTTCATGTATACTGCAGGAGAGCAGCCTCCGGCCTGGATGGACACTGCAAAAGCCAACGTGCTCCAAGCAGTCTCTGAGCTTGTGCAGAAGATCATCTATCCACCCACTGACGTCACCGAATCATGGGATTCTGACGCGAAGAAGACGTTCAAAGTTTTCCGTATCGATGTCCGAGATATCATCATGGAGGCATACGAGCCTTTACGTGACGTGCTGACCGATCAGTTCGTCGACTTTGCTCTACGTGGACTAAGTGCAGGAAACTGGTTCGAGCTTGAGACTGGGCTCTTCGGTCTGATTGCCATCGCCGACGCTCTAACTCGAGGTTCTGACAATCGTCTGACCAGACTATTCGAGCAACCACTTTTCTCAACCATATCCAGCGCTCCTGGTGTTCCCGCGATTACCCGAAGGACCGTTGTCGAGCTTGTCGCAGCTCTAAACCATTTCTTCCTCCGTAACCCTCAATTCCTCCCTCAAGTTCTTCCTTTTCTGCTCACAGCTCTTGCTCAACCAGCTATCGCTCACGGAGCTGCAAAGTCATTTGCCTCACTTTGCTCTGAGTGCCGAAAGTCATTGACTGGCGAGCTACCATCGTTTTTCCAGATGTACGAGCAATTCATTACCTATCCGACTGCTGAGGAATTCACCAAGAGTATGGTCCTGAAAGGTATCGCCGCCATAGTACAAGCCCAGAACACAGAAGAGAAGCAATTTGAAGGCGTACGGCAGCTCTTTGAGTACATTACACGCGATGCTATGCAATCAGTCAACATCACTAAAGAAGGAGGAGATGTGGAGGTGGGCCAAGTACTAGCTTTGACCACTTTGAAGTGTCTTGCGAGCGTCGGAAAGGCAATGCAAGCCTCGGACGAAGAAGTGGTGGACTTGGAATCTGACAAGGAGCCTTCAGTATTCTGGCAGCAGGGACCTGGCAAAGAGATCCAGAATCAGGTCATCAACCTCATAAACTATATGACTTCGGTATTTCCGGGTAACGACGAGATGATCGAAGCGGCGTGTTGTGTACTCCGCACGGGGTTCAAGGAGACTGTCTCCGGTCCCTTTGTACTACCACATTCTGCTGCTATTGACTTCATCACTAAGACCACAGTGCAGACGCCAAGACTGCCATTCGTCTTGGAGACAGCATGCTGCTGGATCTCGTCACACAAGCATCATAAACCGGAAGGCTTCCAAGTCCAGGCCCAGCGATTACTCCAACACGATCTAAGAATCATGCGGGCACTAGAGCATCCACGCAACGATCCGGAAATTGCTGTTGGCTGTATAGAACTCGTCCAGAATTTTATCAACACTGATCCACGAATCATGACGCAAGAGTCACCAGAGAATCTATCAGGCATGTTCGGCTTCACGATTGAGTCTATTAAGTCGCCTGAGGTGCTACCGAAACGCGCAGCTGCCAAGCTGTGGAAGGACATCTTCGAATTGGCAGGAAATACGCATAACCCTCATCAAGCCACGACGCAGGAGATAGTAGCTCACTTCGGACCGGCAGTGACGCTTGCTCTCATCGCTAACGTGTGCGGCGAGGTGGACTTCACGAGTCTAGAACATATTATTGCACCTCTTCGTGCTCTAATAAGAGCCGACAAGAACTCAAGGGCGTACATTACAAACTCTCTAGCAGAGCAGCCACTTTTGCAGCGCCTTCAACAAGACCAAGGCGTTCAAGATATGGTGCGCAAGCTCATCGAGAGTATGGCTAGGTGAGACTTACTTGTACTTGCGGATTGTGAATTTTGGTGCTGACATACATACAGAAACGCAAGAAATGGAACGGCTTTTAAGGAAACCGTCAAAGCTTTCTGGCAGACTTGCAAGCAACTGCAAATGCAACTACAGCCCCAAGCAATGAATCCAGCACATCGCTTCGTTCAAGGCTTCCCCCAGCCGAATTCGTACTGAGCAAAGACACCAAACCTAGCATTCTAAAACTCAGCAAACGCAGCCATCGCGAAAGTCAGACCGAAGGACAACTTGAAGGCCACGTTGTCGCGCACTAGTGACCGGACATTCATCGATTTTACCCGGCGCTCCAGGAACGAATATGGTATGACATGGATACCTCGCGACTCGATGAACTGTCATGCGTCAATTTCATTCTCTCCGAAGTTCAAAGCATGGTAAACGGTAGCGTGTCTTGCATATACCACATAGATATCCCAGTCCTGTATCCTAGATTCCAATCGAACTTTAGAAATGAAACAATGAACGTACTTGTAGAGCAAATATTCCCAACCCGATCAGCACAGCTAGTGGTTTGCTGAATACACTGATTCCCAGGCCTCCAATTACACCCAGAATGCTTCCCATGCTGATTTGACGAACTGCTTTCGGGTTCATGGCGCCTGATTGAGTGATAACTGGCGTTCTCGCTTCCGTCGTATAGTTGCTTGTAAGATCGTTTGTGATCTTGGTGATGGGATCCGGGCCATCACATCGTATGCGCTGTGCATTCCGGAACGAATATGCCAACAAAGGTGTCGACAAGATGAGTGGCGTGCTGAGCATCAAGCCCCTACGAAGGCCGGGAAGGACGAATGACATATTGGATGCTGGAGACGACGACCTAGGAGAGTGTGAAAGGTGATTTTGTTGGAGGTATGCGGAAAGTTGCTTTTCGAAAGTTCGGTCGGATTTCGGGAAGCGGCTGGCAGAGCTGATAGAACGGATCGGCAGGTAGATGTGTGGAGCCGGGATACAGACAGGCAGGCTCGTTCTCGTTAAGCCAGTGAGTCCCAATGGCGCTGGATACATGAATGGTTGCTTCGGAGCAGATGCTGACATTTGGGAAGCTCCGAGGTAGTGATGTCATTGGCTCCATGGCGTTCTCCACTAGATTCTCTTGGGACTAGAGCTTGGACCCTGAGTTCCCAGAGCCGCAATCGTAACGTCGCGTCTAGCGACACCATGTTGGACGCGTGAACTTTCCCTTCTGGCATTGGAACTGCTCGTCATGCTATAGCCGCGCTTTGAAATCTTAATCAACTAATCGGCAGGTACATAGGTCATGATGACGCTTCGAACGGCTCTTCTCACGGTTGCGAACCTCCTCATCCCCGTCGCGATACTGGTTTTTGCGACTGGCTTCTTCCCGTATAAACCTTTCATGCCCGGACTAGCGGAGTATGAAGAGCTTGCATGGTCTGAGAAGACGGGTGAGGATTGGCAGAAGCCGCCAGAGGCGCCCTTTGACAAGCTAATCTTCATGGTTGTCGATGCGCTGAGGAGCGACTTCGTATACGGAGAAGAAAGCGGCATGACTTTCGTGCAGAGGTATGGCCCATTTCCGAAGTCGCGTGCAGACAGCATCATAACTGACAACTGTGTAGCCTTATACGAGATGGCACCGCGCTTCCGTTCACAGCTCACGCTACTTCTCCCACGATCACCATGCCCCGCGTAAAAGCCATAACCACAGGCTCTATACCCTCCTTCGTAGACGTAATTCTTAACTTCGCCGAATCAGACACCACGTCTACTCTCGCGACGCAAGATACATGGCTCGCGCAAATCAAAGCAAAGGACTATGACAATGGGAAAGGGAAGCTGGTCATGTACGGCGACGACACCTGGCTGAAGCTCTTCCCGAACGTGTTTGAGCGCGCCGATGGGACAAGCAGCTTCTTTGTTTCGGTCAGTCATAAGCGTCCCGCTGTATATAGGAGCAATAGATTGTTGATTCTCAAGTGCAGGACTTCACAGAGGTTGACAACAATGTGACGAGACATGTTCCTAATGAGTTGCTAAATAGTGACTGGAATGCTATGATTATGCATTATTTGGGTTTGGATCATATTGGGCACAAGGCTGGTCCCAAGAGGTACAATCTCCTGGGTTCTGAACTTGCTGCAGAATACTAATTGGTATCTAGCCCGAACATGGTGCCGAAGCAAATCGAAATGGATGACATTGTCCGCGACATCTACACGGCCATCGAGAACGAAGATCACCTCTCAAACACCCTTTTCGTACTCTGCGGCGATCACGGCATGAACGATGGTGGTAATCACGGTGGCTCATCGCCAGGCGAAACGTCTCCGGCACTTGTCTTTATGAGTCCGAAGCTCACCAAGGTCACTGAGTCTGCTGATAGACGGAGTCCGATCAAACCGAAGAATGAAGGAGAGTTTAAATACTACCGCTTGGTTGAGCAGAGCGACATTGCTCCGACACTGGCGGGTATGCTTGGGTTCCCTGTTCCACAGAATAATCTGGGTGTCTTTTTGAAAGAATTCCTGGGGTTCTGGGATAAGCCGTCGGACCGCATGCAACTTCTCTATCGCAATGCTAAGCAGATGAAGAAGATTGTCGAGGCCAAGTATACCAGTCTGCGATTTGACGAGCAAGTTTTGACAAAAGATGAGATGGGATTTGCATGCTTCAAGTCTGGGGAAGGCCGCTCGCATCTGTCAGATGGTCAATTGCTAGCATGTCTCTGGCAAGCGGCGATGAGTGCGTTCAGCGACGGTTTCCAAGATCATATTTACCAGTTCATGCACGAAGCCCAGGACACGATGTCTAGCACAGCTTCGAACTACAATGTCGCTCGCCTTTTCTTGGGAGCCGGTTTAGCTTTCCTCATCTGCACCTTGAGCTACTTCACGCTTCCGGCTTTCCGACCTGCCACGCCAGCCGGCATTTACTATGGCTTCGCCTTCGTGTTGTACGCCGTACTCATGTTTGCCTCTTCATATGTTGAGGAAGAGCACAATTTCTGGTATTGGGCTACGTCTGGTTGGTTCCTTTGCCTTTTCTTCAACAACATGCGAAAGGAATGGTACAACAATTGGATCTTCCACCCTGCCATCATGGCACTAGCCATACACAGAGTAGTAAGACGATGGAATCAAACCGGGCAGAAGTACGCCGGTGCCGATGATATCGTCAACAGCGGGATCTTCCACGGTAATGCCTCGGTCATCCTCTGGATTTTGATCGGCGCTACATACATGGACGTTACGATCCGATTAGCCAGGCATGTTGCGCGTTCTATTGCGACATTCGATACAGAACAGAAACATCACAGTGTGGAGATCGAGTCTACGGATCAGAATCGCATGTTTGGAACGATTGCTGTACTGCCGCTCTGCGGCACTGCGGTGATCTTCAAGCTTGCGTTCACAGTCAAAGATGCACCAGAGCTGACCTACGGCCTTACCGCAAGCTTGGTGGAGAATGTCGAGACGTTGGAACTTGTCGGTCTTGCGCGTATGGTGTTTGGAGGGTTACTTCTGAGTGGAACTTGGATTGCCTTCGCTGAGTGGACAAGATCGCAGCGGAGGAAGAGACGTGGGAAGCAGGGTAACGGCGGTATGTTGACTCCTATCACATGAAGTTTATAAAGTTACTAACAGCATCACAGAATTCGCAGTCGCATTCTTCGACCTAATGACACTCTTCCTCTTTACACAAACAAAAGCACAAAACATCCCCCTCTACTTCCTCTTCCGACTACAGTACTTCTTCCTAAGTAAGCTACCTCCATCCCCTATATCAGACCATTCCCAAGCTAACGCCACGCCCTCCACAGCTCTTCTCGACCTCACTCCCACAGCCGTAACCCTAACAACCCTCCTCCTAACCCAAACCTCCTTCTTCGCCCTCGGCAACAGCAACTCAATTTCCTCCATCGACCTCTCAAACTCCTACAACGGCGTCTCTGGCTACAACGTCCTTGCCGTCGGTCTCCTAGTCTTCCTGTCAAACTGGGCTGGCCCTGTATACTGGTCTCTAGCTGGTATCCTCCTCCTAGGTTCTCACGGTCGCACTGAGCGCTACATTGATACAAGCGAACTTCATGTCGCGGACTGGATAGCTAGGGAAAGGGAGTGGTTGAATGAGCTTGCGAGGAAGGAGGAGAAGGGGAGAGAGACTAGGAAGGAGAAGAAGGAATGGGTGGGACATGTTGCTTTGTTGACATTCTGGACGGGGGGTATGCTAGGCGCTGTTATGCTGGCTTGTACGGTGTTGAGGCAGCATCTTTTCATTTGGACCGTATTTAGCCCCAAGTTTTTATTTGCCATGGCTTGGGGGCTTGCGTGGCATGGTGGGGTTACACTGGGGATTGGAGGGTTGGTTTGGTGGTTGGGTAGTTGGTAGGATTGGGTTTTGGAGATGGGTTTCATATGACCGATCTAACTATCTAGTGATGGTGGGTACTGCTGTATCCGTCCGGGTCCACTTTCACATCCTCCTCTGGAATCTGCTCACTCATTGTCGTCTTCCCACACATCTTCGTCGTTGTCCGCACCTCCCTCCTCATTCTGGTCTTCTCCACCATCACCCTCTTCCCTTTCTTCATCCCTCGCGCTCCTTGCCTCTGACCTCTCGTTCCTGAGGTCCACTCTCGACCTAGAGACCACTCTGCGTGCTGCTTCAGTCCTAGCCTCCCGCCTCATCGCCTGTCTGACCGCCCTAGACTGGTGCACATAGTCCTATCTTATACCGTCCTCAGGTAGTCCACGGACATCGTATTTCGCAGGGTTAAGAGGGAGTTTCTCTCTGCAGTATCCGCACTTTGCATAAGGTACACCAGATTTTGGAGGTTGGGGGACGTATACCGGTTCTGTTGATCTGGATAAAGGTTAGATGATTAGATGACCCCGAAGGATACGCTTACTCGTCCGACGGTCCAGGAGCACCAATCTGCGGAATGTCGCCATCACGCGTCAGGATTGTTGGCGTGGTAGTTGCTGGATTTTCCGATGCAGTTGTCTCGGTCCCCCTCTCATTCAGTCGACCGCAATACTCACACCTCCACCTATCCTGCACTTTACTCGCTTCTGCAACTGTTATCTTCCGCTCGCTCGCTTTCTCTTTCATATACGCGTCTTCGCGCCACGTATCTGCCACAGGGTTGCGAACGATGCCTTTCCCGCGCTTTTGCGTCGGTGAGTCTGGGTCGTGGTAGTCTGGCAAGGAGGATTTGGGAGAGCGGTTCCGGTCGTGATCGGGCTCGTGCTCGATTTGGTTGGGTAAGGTGGAGCTGTGTGGTGGCGGTGGGGAAGTTGGCTGACGTGGTTGGGCGGATGCAAGCTGGACCAGAGACATAGCTGCGATGCCTGATGACAGTGATGAGGTGCGTCGGTGCGTCGGTGCGTGTTGCCGCTATTTGAGATGCGTTAGTTGAAGTGTAATAACTTGAATGTGTGAGGTCGCAGAGACCCTGTAGAGTCTGTTGTTAAGTGTTAGATACGTACGCAGTCCTCTCTACTTCCTCCACGCTGCTCTTCGGGAACTGTTGCTCATCTTGCTCAACCGAACTAGGTGAGTCTACCCAGTCGTCGGAATTGGCATCGCTCATGGTGAAATACTAATCGAAGCGGACGATAGTCTTGTATAACGATAATTGTGCCACAGCGAGCACGATGGTGAGAGAACAGAAGGGTACACACCAAGAAGCCATGTTTGTATGGACTTCTCGCGTGGTGTGCTTGCCGAGGTTCAGTATAGAGAAGGCGCATTGCAAAAGAGGTTGTTTTTCTTGAGCTGCACCCTTGTGCTAGAAAAGGTACCCTAGAGGTATACAGTTATAATATTCTGCAAGTATTGCAACAAGAAGTACTGTGTATACCTTCAGGACATAGCTTGAGCATTAGGTATAACTTAGAAAAAGGAGCTCCTTCGTACGGCTTATCCAGGCCGGTCAGCGCGGAGAAACAAATACAAGCAACGACATTGTGTTTCGGTCTAGAAAGAGGCTCCTGTGCTCCGATCTGTTGCGTTCTATCGGACATTATTATGCAAGACGGCGTCTAATATGCGCTATATCAGAGCCACGTAGGCACTAGTATCGGTTCAGTTATCCCCGCATGAGTGGCATCGTTTTCCTCGCTGATGAGTCGCACTATACTCACGACCATATCTCATACTTGTGTGATTTAGTATTCTTTCCCAGACTTTTAAGACATGTATACCAATAGCGGCTATAGATATACGGAGTAAGAAAACTTCCGGGGAGTGGGTGAGTGTGAGCATGGACGGATATAGCGATACGATTATGTATAGAATCCAAGACTTGCGCCATGACGCTAAAGACAGGTATCATATGATTTCTCTTCAGTGAGTACAGTAACGTTGATTCGGACCTAGCCAACAAGTGATCAGCAGATAGCGCACTGAAGACGTCAGAATAAAGACTCGTCTAGTAGCGTAATTTTTCAGAACTAATGAGGATCAAAACGTAGCTCGATTGACTGCCATTGGTTGTGTGACATCGTACGAATAGTCCACTGATGACATATTTTTATAAGCTATGATCCACAATAGTGGTACAGGCACGGCTTGTGAAGAAAGCATTGTAGGATAAGAATGGATAAGAATGGATGTAGGAGAAACTCTGGTATTTACGTGGACGGCGATCATAATGCCAATTTTCATATCCAATCATCCCAGATAGCTACATGTACATCGATATCAAGATCGGAAGGGTATTGAATGCCTGAAGACCGAACGTTATGAAATCGCAATGAGCAAATATTGCTCAATCCCATCCAAGCCCAGATATGGCCATCTTTGTTTCGCTTTGCGAACCGATCGTAACTCCTCGATCCCACCGATCAGGACGTCCAGAACGATGAGCAACTTGAAGAGTGCGAGAAGAGCCATGAGCAGATGCCTCATCTGCGTTCCTGCCGCCGCCGTCTCCTCCGATCAAGTTCAGCAGACCGCCGAAAACAGCAGCTGGAGGAGGGAGTGGTGGCACTGGTGGTAATTGAGAAACGGGCGCAGGAGCAGCCGTAGGATTGTCGCGACGTGCGGTTGCTCGGGCGATCAAGTTGTCTGTCATCCAGGTGCCAGGTTCGATAGCAACGTGAACCCGTGCATGAGGACAGTCATCAAAGTGCTGATAGCCCCCGGTATATCCGGCGAGGCATACCCAGCAGAAATCGTGGCGGCATTTCCTACCTAGAACGGTACATTAGCATAAACTCTTAAGGCTTACTTAGATCTGAGATTTGTTGAGACTTACACGTCATATGATCGCATCCGCCATGCTTCTGGATGTTCATCTTGCAGTTCGGACATGGCTTGGCTCCCATGTTCTTGACAGCCTGCTCACACAACTCGTCTTCTGCCTTTTTCGCCTGGTCACAGCTGCCTCTTCCGTGCGACTTCCACGACCGATTACACTTCAAGCAGATTTCGTACTCACAGTAAGGGCATGCGATCAGCTGCTTGCCACTTTCAGTGTTCTTGCAGTCTTCGGCCGAGAAGTACAACCCGCATTTCGCGGAAAGACAGGCGACGTACGATTCTCCCATAGAGAGAGCGTATTTTGTGACGGCTTTGTCGTAGCTGTAGTGAGTTAGTAGATATACTAACTGTATCTTGAGTGGATGACTTACTCTTTAAAGGCAGCTTTACCGACCATAGCCTTAATAGTTGCGTAGTCTAAAGTATGATCGCATTTGGAGATAAGGCAGCTCAGCTCTGCCTTCCTTAGCTGGCGTTCGGCGGTTTTTGTCTTCAGCATTTTTGCAACGCATAAGTTGCAGATAGCCCGAAGATGTTCGCAAGCATCATCGGGAGCTTTGAACGATCGAGCCGTGATCTTTTTGGTCGCGCAGATGGAGCACTCTTGCTTTGTTGGCCACTCCTTCTTCTTCCGTGTCAACGCCTTCTTGCGCACCTTCGGCTCTGCTTTTGGCTTGACAACCGCACCAGCCTTGAAATAAACGACCGGGATCTCGGACGAGGCGTATCTGTCATTCTTGTGAGCAGCAGGCCTGCGGCCACGCTTTCTGGTGGATACGATAGGCTGAGGCGAAGCTCTGAAGCTGACCTTGGGTTCTGAATCAGACGTGTCTGCATAGTTGATGCGGCGCTCCGGCCTAGATCGCAGTCGGGTCAAAGGGGCCATATTCGCTGTTAGTGGCAGTCAGTCGTGGTGAGTATGCAATGCAGTAGGATAATTTGTGTAAGCAGAAACTCCTACAATGTAGACAAAGGGACAGACCCTCACCCCACGTGAATGAATTTAAGGCCTTCCGCACGCTCCTGCAACTGTGGCGCCAATCCAGATCAACAACAAACGGGTAGTGAAGGAACGCCGGTATTGGTGAGTGTGCGATGCGCAGAACTGCACTCAAGACCAAAATTCGATGCTCAGTGTCGCACAATATAGGCAATAACAGGAGTTGATATGGAAATAGATCAAATGAAAGGGTCATAGCACTTTCGTGGAAGATTGCTGCTCCATCTGTTTACCTGAGCATAGTAGTCAACCCAACTTATAAATGCAAAAGAGTATCCCGTGGTGGTGGGTATAAGTGGGGAAATCTGATTGACTCTTCGAGTATCAATCTTTTCGCAAAAGACAGTAATGATCACCGATGAGCTGCCATCTGGACAAAGCGTGGGAAGGACCAAGTGAGATGTATGTCCACTGAGTGCTTGAAGCTGGATAAGAGCCATCGCTCGGTATCTAGGGCTTACAGATGCGTACTACGGAGGTGTTCCTGTATCTTCTGCGTGAAGGCAGCTTGATGTTACATCTGAGGTTGGTGAAAGGAGGTTGAGATTAGCAGGTGACGTAATGCAATCGGGACATTCTGTGCCAGCGGAAACAGCGCGTCGCGTGTTGCGCGGTTCTGCTTCTACCACGGCACTCGCGCCTGCTTGAGCTTTATCGAGCTTCTCGATTTAATAGATCACCCTAGTGTACGTAACTTCCTTATCGCATATGACCGGCGCCTCGGTCACGATGATCGCTCGACCCCGAATCTGCATACCGCAGTACAAACTCGTACCCGCCGAACCGCTCGAGTGCGTCGATGACACAAAGCTTGATAGGTGCACTTGCGCAACACGCATAAGGATATGGATAGCCAGGGTGTAACTAAGGAAACCTCCCAATCCGATACTGGATCTGCGGACGCCTAGTGGTCGTCAATGTGCCATCGCGTCTGCACCAGATCGCATGTAGCTCCATCACTAAGTTTTGACGACCGCAGTCTCATCGCACCGTACAGAGCAGCGTCATTCGTGCCTTCCGACCAGACTACTCGCCTCTGTATTGAGCCTCTTCCTCTATGTCATTCATTTGTACGACCCCTTCAACCATTTCTTAGCATTGGCCATCAACCACTCTTCTGGTGCCTCCACCTGGATTCGATAACCTCTTTTACCACTCATCTGTGCCATTGTAACTGCTTGGCGCACGAAGTAGTATAGATCAGCGAGAGAGATTAAAGACTCCCATTCAGTTCGTGTAAAATATCGGCATCCCAGGACGATCGTCTTCAGGGTTCGAGATATGGGACAAGCTAGCAAGGCCCATCGCCAATCTTTAAGATGAGGCTCTATAGAACGATCGATCAGATATTGTAACGCCCTACGTTTCTTGCCTCTTGGTTTTTTCATCTCTCTTTCGCGTTGTTTTTGTTCGTCCGGTCTTTGTGGCTCAAGTAAGCCTGGAATTGTTGGTAAAATGGCCACCAATTCGATGTAGAGGTGACGCGGACTCGGGAATCTTGGGAGAATACCTTCTTCTGGAGTTATGGAGTGGCCCGCAAACGTTTGAGAGATGAGTCCACGTAGTCTTTCTAGTGACATCACTCTCACACTGCCATCCCTGATGATAGTGTATAAGATTTCTTCCCGGAGCCCTTTGGAACAGCAAAGAACTGGCGAAAATTTAGTATCGCGTCTTGATGCCGCGTACATGATGGGTTTGTCGTAAACATAAAGCCATATCTCTTCTCGAAGTTCCAGCGGCAGGCCATGGAAGTCTCCTAAGGTTTCTTGGATTGCTGCCAAAACTAGAGCCGGCCCTGAATGGTTTGCGTCTTTGTATGGAGAGATCATCGTTGTCAAATGTTGTGGTATTGTGAAGGAGAACAACAAGGCCCTTTGCAAAGAATTTGACGAAGCAAAAGCACAGTGCGTTCTACAACCCATAGTTGTAAGTCCTTCCGTCCATTCGGTTTGTAGTTGAAGATAAGGCTGTGGCTCTATTCGCTCGCTAAAACCAACGCGGTGACGCCGACCACGGCACACAACCAGGCCTCTCGAATGACATTCATGGATTATCCCAACTATCCACAAGCATCTTGGAGTACAACAACTGCTGCACGGATTGACAGATCATTTCAACATTGTTGTTCAGTTAGGCTGAACATTTAAAGGTAGTGATTGGCGGAGCGTGCCTACTACCCGTCCAATAACGTGGTTCGCCAATGTTGGGTGGCTGCTTATGGTCACCGGACCTTGGTAGCCCAGCGCCACAATGCCGTTCCCCCAGGCATTATGGCTTACGTCGATATCAGCGACAGCCCATTACACTACACCTGCTAGCCAACTTATTGGAGACCCTCAGTGACAGGTAGTCTTGTGCGACATCGTTTCTCGCCGAAGTGTCCGGCCACGCTCGTCAGCTCCCTGATCCACATGCGTCTTCTTCAGATTAATAGCCATGGCGACCTCAGCCTTGTCGAATATTTCGGAAACGACATCCCTCCGTATGCCATTCTGTCGCACACGTGGGGTGCTGACGACGATGAGATTTCGTTCAAGGATGTGAAAAAGAACCGAGCGAGAGGCAAACCTTCCGGTTACCATAAAGTACGCTTTTGTGGGGATCAAGCTCTAAGAGACGGGATTCAGTTCTTCTGGGTCGACACGTGCTGCATCAAACAGGAGAGTAGTCAAGAAGTCGGCGAGGCCATCAACTCAATGTATCGATGGTACCACGATGCGGTCACTTGTTATGTGTATCTTGCCGATGTCACGGTTGGCGGATATGCTCAGAATGTAGGCTCAGAGCCAACATGGCTTTTGGCCTTTCGCAACAGCAGGTGGTTCACTCGAGGCTGGACCCTTCAGGAGCTTCTTGCTCCTGTAAATATCGAATTCTTTTCTCGAGACGGCTACCGACTCGGAGATCGGACCACACTTCTACCCCAGATTCAATGGATTACCGGCATCGCTGAACTAGCTCTACGTGGAAGTCCTCTACCAAATTTTACGGTTGATGAGCGGATCTCATGGGCGCATACACGTGTCACCAAGCGCGAAGAGGATGCTGCATATTCGTTGCTCGGTATTTTTAATATCCATATGCCACTCATATATGGGGAGGGACGCGAGAAAGCGTTCAAGAGATTACACAGAGAGATCATGGAAGCTTCAAGAACTGATGTGCTTTCCCCTATATCTAACTTGCCGCCAGTCATCGTTCCGAACACCGCGACCCCCCATATGAGTGATATCTTGACTGCGGCCACATTGAGCCTCACTAATCGAGCTAGAAAGGACGGTGTAAGTATAGTGAAGTCAACGCTCCGAGTTCTGCTAACTCCTCATTGCCATTCAGGTGCACTTCGTATTTAGAATCGACGAAATCAGAGATACCCCCGATCGTGAAACAGGTCTAAATAAACAGGCACGCGTCGCGGAGGGTATTACATACAAGTGGTGGTATTGTGACTCAAATATACGACAGATCGAAGAGGTGCCTATTGGATGGACGCCCTTCGATGCTTGTAGTACTTACTACGAACGAGAGATAGGATATTGCACAGCTGAAGGCGGTAAGAACACCTCCCAAAACTACACAATTTCTTTGTGTATCATAGTCCACCCAACATCGCCTGGATCTCTCAGACTCTTACCATGAACTGTTGGTTGATATCCAGGTGAAAACGCTGACTTTATCATATTTAGATGCGACAACTTGGCCCACAGATGAGACAAATGAGAACTGGCTTCCTCTCAGGTTCCATCATCATAACGAAGACTTTTCATCCAGTCTCAGTATTGATCCATCACACCATCCGACATTGAGATGCCAAAGAGCCAACTCCATATGGCCTCATATGTTATTGCCAACCATAAATCATGGACCTTTAACGGCAAATGAGCAGTACGGCGGCCTGAAGGGCAGATTATCCATCTTCCTTGCCCTTATGGCTCTTTCAATCGAACCGGACAAACTTCAAGAAACTATGCCAAACCTGCGTAAAAACGGGAGGTGGCGATTTCCCACATATCAAAATGAAAGTAGGTCTTACATATCTATCACCGAATACTCTAGTCGCTAAGAAAAACTTAGGATTACAGAGTCGTGGAGTTGTCGTGTACGTCTACTGCGGCACCGACTCAGGTAGTAGGCGTGAAACTCTACAAGCATATGAGGATGGCATGTATGGAAACTACTTTGACTGAGGATACAAAGAGCATAGAAATATACCGATCCATTATATCCAGTCTCATCATCTCTTTCCTGCCTAGGATACAGTAAAATATATGCCTTCTCTTCCAAGATCAGGTACCTGTCATGTACCTAGGTAGTACCAACCCCCTTTAGGCTGTTCAAAACAAAACGACTCTTTGTCCACGCCAAGCATTCCAATGCAGGAAATATGGGTGGAGTGCCTGCTAGGCAGCGTCAAACCCCGCCTTAGTGCTTACTGCAGGCAGCGGCGCAACCACAACGCCACAGCCACCTCCATGCATCCGTCCAAGCTAAGAATTGTAATGCAGCGCTTGCTTAGGACAGCAACGGGTAAGAGCACAGGGATCCCCCGCTGAGTACTGCATTGCAGTTCATCTTGCCATATGCCCCCTGGTCCCTTCATACACATTCTCTACAAGCAAGGCTGCGCTGACAGGGATAAGGTGGACAGCTCAGCTCATCCGCGCTGGACATTGCACCCGACGACGGCGGGGACTAAGGATGAGCTTAAAACTGATTGTTTGCACACAGGCACTTGTCCATTCTCAGTCTCGCGCAAAGCCTATCCAGTACACCTTACAATAGACTTAGCAAAGTTGAAGAAGAGACAAAGTTTTCGGTACCAATATGCATTCGAGTGACTATCCCATTGCCTTAAGTCAAATCAAATCAGAGTTCTATAAAATCACGAAATCATCAAGCTAAGAAAATCAGGTAGTAATTGTAAAGTCGTCTAGCGACTACGCCCTTAGCACCTTGCTATAAAGTGATAGAAAGAAACTATCGAGATACCTAATAAATGTCGGCACCAATTCCATCAGACTCCTACCCATATATAACCACGCCTAATCCCATACTCCTAATCTCATTCTCGTGATACTGTAACCAAAACTCCTTGACCCCCGTCTCCAAGCCATACATCTCCTGTATACGTCGCCGAACAAAAGTCGAGCTCTTATGCAAGCTATGCCACGTAGTAAAGCTTCATAGAGCTCAACACGCGCTTCCTACACACCGGGCAATTCTGCACCTCCCTTGCGCAAGTCATACAAGCAACGACGTGCCCGCAGTCATAGAAAGCTGCCTCCGCTTCTCCATCCCAGCAAATCCTGCACAGACGCTCAGATTCTTGTGCGTTCTTCCAGTGCGTAACACCCTCACCGAACTTCTTGTCATTCTGCCATCCGCCGACATATGTGTTGCCGCTTGCGGCTTCGACATAGGTGCCGGTTCCGTGCTGCTGGTTGTCGACCCAGTCACCATCGTAAGTGTCCCCATTCTGGAAAGTGTATAAACCATGACCGTAGCGCTGGCCTAGACGGAAAGAGCCGTTGTATGTAGCGCCAGAGTGGTAGATCTGAGTACCGTGGCCGTGGGGATAGCCGTTAACAATTTCTCCCTTGTAGTATTCGCTTGAGAAGTAGTTGTAGGTAAAGTGGCCTTGCAACTTGTGAGGAAAGTTGTGGGCGAAAGCGCGGAATTGAAGGTATTTTTGAGGATCTGTAAAGGCAGCACGCGCTGCAAGCGCATTGCGCTTTTCAGCCGAGAGAGGCAACGAAACGATGATGATACCCGCGTTGTGTAGATCCACTTGCGCAAAAGTGCGGCGGTGCTTCAGAGATCGCGTATTGGTTAACTCATCCTCTTCGCACATCTCCATCTTCTTCTTGTCCTCCATGGGAAGCCCAAGCAATGTCACGATCGTCTCGTCCACCCTAGCAGACTTGAGTGCGATGTGCGATCCTCGTGCTTCTAGGGTTTGCTTTTCCGCATTCCAGAATTTCAAGAAGAAGTAGATCTCATCTGGAGGTGGCTCCGGTGTGGGGCTGCAAATTGGCGGAGGTCGTTGTAGATCCTCCACAGGTAGCCCAATTGGTGGAGGTGGTGGTGGCGGCATGTCTTCTTGTGTACCGCCCATCTCGGTGTCACCGGGGCCGGCGCCTGGAATTAGGACATCAACAGCTGGCGGGTCAACAGCGGGGGTTAGCTCCACTTCCAACATAGCAGTGTCGTTGCTTTCGATGTTGTTTGTTGGTGGTGGTGGCGGTGGTGGTATATCGACTTCCGACGCGTGAGGTTCTAGTTGCTCCGATTGCGCAGCAGCTGGCTCATCAGGGTCGCTCATAGGCGTATCCTCCAGCTGTGGAGGTATCTGCGGTGGCGGGGTACTCGAAGATGGCTCGACAACACTCTCAACCACTTGGATCACATCCATCTCAGCCTGAGCTCCCTGTAAAGATGAAGAAGATACACTCTCGTGAGAGACCTCTGGAGCCTTCTCTTCTGCTTTCGAAAGCTCGGGAAGCTTTTCAAACTCGGTGACATGTACCCAGATTCTCCGACAGGCAAAAGGTGAGTCTTCTAGAGTCCACTCTTTGGTATCGGTATATCGGTTGTAGCTACCTGCAGAGTATTCAATGATCCCAGTACTGAGAAAGTTGGGCCGGTCGAACGCTCCTCGTGTTGGATCCATAAACCAGAACTTTATTTGTCGCGGATCCTTGATGTCATTTAGAACACCCATCAACTTCTCGCGGATCTCTTTGCATCCGTCGTTGCTCAGCAGCGACAGTGTATGGATGTACCGTGAGCTTTTAGCTTCCCACTGCGCATCAAAGGCATCGAACAGACCCGGGCCTTCGTGTTCTAGGTATGCTCGCGAATCGATGACACGAAAGTCCAGTGAATTTGGTGACTCCGCTACCACTTCTTTTCCCTTCTCTTGGTCGACCACAGAGTTCAGCTCGTCGATTGGAGGTGGCGGCATTGGGGGAAGAGAACTTGGATTCTTCTTGGATTCTACTTCCAACTTAATCCACTCTGGGACATTCCACTGCTCTGATTCGGCGTCTGACAGGAATGCCGAGCGAGTTACATCGTCTCGAACGTACATTGCAATATATGCCACGGGGTCATTGCCAACGATCTGAGTACTGCCAGGTTTGCCTTCATGCGTGTCCACTGCTTCGCGTTTGGGAAGGCATTTGACGTGGTTCTCATCTTTGCTATCAGAGTAGCTGTACCAGCGTGAATCAGGTCCTTCGGGTCGAAGTATCGGTTGGTATACATAAGACTGAAGTGTTTGCTTATGAACCACAAACCCGTATAGCGTGTAGGGAGTGTCAGCGACTATTATCCGATCGTCTAGTGTCACTTTGTTCAGCACCTTGATATGCGAACGCGTCTTTGCACTGTCGAATTTGTGCCGGTCCAGCTCGATCGTCAATAACTCTGGTAGAGGCTGTCCAGGAATAGTGAAATCAGGTGACATATTAACAGCATCCTGCATGCTGTCGACACCTTCTACAGGTACGCGGTAGCTTGGTCTACCGCTTGAATAGTCGCGTTTCGGTCCACAGATAGCATGTAGTCGAGCAGCGTGAGGTGTACCCTGGAGCTCCTCCTCGAGCTTGAGACGCAAAACTTCCCATGTTTCCATCACATCCAGCTTATCAAGACCCTCATGAATACGGTACCATTCCAATGCATCGAGAATATCATCCAGAGCGACTGGGCCAGCCCCAGGCTCGACTTGAGTTCGTAGCATGTATAAGACTTGCTGTAAGGCGCTGGTCAGTGGCTTAGGGCGAATGAAAGGCTCATCGTTAGGGTCTGGAATGTCGATGCTGTATAACAGATCTCGGAAGGGCTTGAATAGCATCCACGAAGAGATTGCAGAGATCATGTTGCCGCCAGGCGCACTAGCATTCTCCCCGAGCATAAGGCCTTGTAATCCTGTCATTGCGAAGCTGTCCCACGGGTTCTCTCTAATTGGATGCTCCCACAAGCAATCCGTCTGGTCTTCCACAACCCGGATATAGGCAGTGAAGGCAAGTTTGTCATCACGGAGGAGGGCCATGCGCTGACCGGGCATACGACGAGATATGTCGTAATGTGGTCCGTGGAAACGTGTCCAGCCCCAGTCAGGCGAGCCATTGCAAAAGCGATGTAGAGCATTTCGCGAGTAGTTCACGCGAGGTTCTGTTGGATTGTAGAGAACGACCGATATCTGCGCGGCAACGCTATTCCGCTTAGACATCTTCTTCGATCCGAGAAGCGGAAGAGGCGTGTGTTGAGCAACCACTGGCGTCTGGACTCCTTCCGATGTTGATTTGGTGCTGTCCCGTCGATCTTGTGCAAGTATCTCAGTCTGAGCTGATGCCTCGGTTGCACCGTCTGCTGGTGCGTGTTCGGCTGTTATCATGATATCGTCGGTCTTCTTCTCTCCTCTTGATTCAACTCCTTCGCCGCTGGATACGTGTTTGCTGATCTCCTCATCTTTGCTGTCTTTCGCATCCTGAACGCTTAAACATTCGAGATAGACGCTAAGGTAATCCGAATCATTCCCCTTAGGATAGAATTTGATCTGCCACTGGTGACCTCCGATAGTGACGATGTCGGACTTCATGACCACTTCATGGTTCTGCTTCTCCTGAGTGCCGTTGTATGCATCGATTGCCCAGTGAATACGTCCTGTTTCACCAGGGATATATTCCGGATGTTCCAAGGATTTGAATGCTTCGCCTTCCCAGTATTCGTGGTCCAGCGCACTGTGTTCGCCCCTCTCCTCGATCTCCTTCACTTCCTCCTCATCAGGCGACGACAGGTCTTCTGGTAACGGGTGCCATGGTGGAAGGTCATCCTCGTCATCTGAGGATTCTGAATCGGAGCGGGGGGGATCGACTGGCGGTGGAGGAGGCGGGGGCTGTGTGCTTGGATCGATAGGTGGAGGTAGCGCGTCAGGGTCAATGCGTGGAGGGGGTCTATGGGGATAATCGTCTCCGTCTGGGCTGTGTCAGTACTGGTAAACAAACATGCGAGTTGGAGTGCTTCGCGGTTATGCGGAATCTGACTTACCCCATCATCTGGCGCAGGTGATGTTGGTGTAGTGATAGCAGCCTCTTGTGCCTCAGACGAGCCATTGGGTAGTAATAGCTCCGTCTCGGTATCCGGCGTAACATCCATAACGTCTTCATCTATAGCTGAGATCTCCACGGCGATGGTGTTTGTGGAAGCATCGCGACGGGCGGGCTCATCTCCATCTTGCATCTCCGCATCGCCCCGATCATGGTTCTGGCCTGTGGGCGGCATCGTGTCTGTGGGAGTGGGGCTACTCGTATCCAATTCGGCAGCCGGCGGTGGTGGCGGTGGTTGAGGAGAAGCTGGCGTGTGCGCATGAAGTACGTGGTTTGGCGAATGCGGCGGGCTGGAGAGTTGCTGGCTAAAGTGTAGCGGTTGCTCTACGCTGACGCTCATGTTTGCTGTGTAGGTGGAGGCGCATGTGAAAGTGGAGAGGGAGCGTTTGACAGTTTGAGGTGAAGATATAGCTGAGTAAAAGTACAAGCGGATGGATTGGTGAGAGAAGTTATGCACGAGACTGCACGTTGGTGATGTGTTGCTTTTGATCGGTGAGTGCACCAAGCTAGTAGCGTTATCGCGTCGATGAAGGTATATGGATATAATCAGCAGAGGATGTGTGCTTCTGGGGATATGGCTGGATATTAGAAAGTTGATCCAGGGAAAGGCAGACTGGAGCTGGGCGTGGCTGGAGCTTAAAGAAGGCTGCAGCCTACCAGCATGCGGCACGATGCCAACAGAAGTACAGAGTGAGGCGGTAAAGCTACCTGGGAATCGGCTGGCCCACGCGCTGCGCTATGCCGAACCGATGGAGCTTGAGCGTCAACGCCTTCCACCTGGAGGCTCTGCGCCCTTTACAGCCTCTCGCAGCTCCCAAACCGAAGGTTGACTCATCGCACAAGGCTGCGCGGGCATGGCGCCATCGTCATCATCACGAAGCTCAGCTCCCCTTATCGATTAACGCTCCACAGTGACCGGCTAGGCAGTCACGCTAGAGCTTTGAGACTAGTGGGGAAGGTGGGCCCGACCGCGCCTTCCCTGCGTCAGCTCTCTGCACCAACAACGTTGCTCCATACAGCAGCCATGGCTCCCATACCAGCCCACTTATCTCAGTCAACAGCATAGTCTTCATCACGATTACACGAGCTGTTGGAGTGCCACATGTTGTATTTTGTCATTGGCCTTGCGATCTCTCGACCCGTGCAAACGTGGCCGCAACGATGAGGGGAAACACTACTGTCGCCTCTGCGTACACTTTGACGCTATCCCCATCTAGCTTGATCTTCCCCCAACTGACAGCCTCGTCGGGTCGCGCTCCCGCATCACTCCCGTCAAATTCTTGCGCCGTGTTGATGTACACCGCACTGTCGGCTCCGTTGCGCATCAAGTTGGCGTTGGCTATGTGGTGCTTCACCAGTCCTCCGCCTAGGACAATCATGCCTGTCCTCTTCGCCCTCACCGCGATCGTGTTTACCTTCCTGATGTCCTCTACAATGTCGACGCGTAGTTGTTCTGGTGATGACTTGAAGGTGTGGAAGTACAACATGTCGCCCAAGCTTCCGTCTGTCAGCGCTGGGCAAAAGACTGGGATGTCGTTCTTCCATGCCCAGTAGTAGACCGATCGCTCATCGTTGATCTCCTTGCCCAGACGGTGGATCATCTTGCTTGGTGTCCAGTACAATGGCTCGTCTGTTTTCTTGCTTGCTTCCTGCTCCTCCAGCATCTTGTCCAGGATAGGCACTACCCAGTCCTCAAACGCGCAGTAGTTGCTGTTAGGAACGACAAGATTACCAATGCGGTTCAGGCCCTTCGCTCGCAGTCCGGCGCCAGGAGTAGAGAAAGCGCCGAGATACGTCGGCGCAAGACATTTGATGAAGTCTTCTTCGACGCCGCCTGCAGTCGTCACAATAGCAGAGACGTGTTTGTGCTGGACCAGGTACCGCAGCGTCTCGCGCAGTCCCGACGAGATCAAGTTCGACGTGTATCCAAGGAATATCGTCGTGGGGTCATTTGTCTCAGGGTCTCTCCATGCGCGCTGTTATTAATTAGCAAGAATCCCAAGCTTCTCAATACGGTGGTGTCGCGTCGCCAAATCAGGCTAAATGTTTCGTCTTTCGGGACAGTGCACGGACGGGAGATTCCCGGCATACGCAAGTGCTGTCTCCGCACTTGACGCTGACACGCCGCAGCACGCGCATGCGGATAATCCGGGCAGAAGCAACCTACCATGTCGTTGATAATTCGCACAGCCTCTCCCACTGAAGTCGCCTGAAAGCCCATGTTGGCATAACCGCCGACAAGCTCCTCTACGGTGATGCTGCGTGACGCATACTGGTTGAAATCGATGCCCTGCACCTCTTGTGCACCCTCAGGCACGGGCTCGGATGGCTTCAAGACTGCATCAGTGGCGCCGGTAGGGGCCGAAGAGCTGCTAGCCATGGCGATAGGCGTTTTTGTGGTGAACAGTCGTTGCAGCAGCACTGCCTCGATATGTCGACTTGTATTCGGGCTGCTCGGCGTGCTTTCGACGGTTGCAGCTTTCGTAATGTGCTATTTGTGAGTCGGTGCGGCGGCAGATTTTGAGGAAAAAGAAGCCCCCACACCCGTGGACTGGAGCTAACGCATGGCACTCTAATCCCTGCAAATCTGTGGCTAGTCCTCGGGTCGATCCTGCTGAGAAGGGTGCCAGCCCTTTGTCATCAACGTCTGGAAGGGTCACAGTGTTGCGTCGTCACACAGTGCTACAGACGGCCTTCCATTCGTGCATCGTGTCCCTCGTCTGCCGTGCAGCGATGTCTTGCTGGTGTTGGCGAAGGGCCTGGGTGAGATCGTCATCAAAATCCCCTAGTGGAGCCAGGGCTGGAATCTGAAGCAAAACCAGCGGCTGCCACCCCTGCAGATAATCGAGAATGTTCAAATCTGGAACCAATCAGAGACCGGCTGTCATGCTTGAATGGATTCCCCTCGCTAGGCCGTTGCAGGCCAGCCGGGGCGTCCATTTTGACTTGCAGGCATCCGTCATGGCTGCCCAGGTGCAGGTCAGTGCTTCGTTCTCGTGTCTGGTCTCCTCGACGTTCCCTTTCTCCTACTTTGCGACAACGACACCCTCCACAACACCATGCTGCCACTGACCACCGGCGCGCGGTCTGGTTAAAGAGCCACTCTATTCTTCATTCCCAGCATCGACCAGGTGCTGTCTCACGTGCCCGGGTCTCCCTCACAAAGAGACCCAGCGCCACGTCAACGGGCTGCAGAACATCTTCAACACGGCACCGGACTGCCTTTGTTGACTGCCACGCGCTTCTCAGCTCTTACCATTATCTTCAGACGACTTCACCTGATCTTCAGCACCAGTTTGACGCGTTTGCAGCACGAAAAGGGCGTTTTGGGCGTAAAGGTGACAGTAACAGATCGAATCTCAGCTCCCGGCGCCGAGAAGCTGCACCTGTTCCACAACGGATCGGGGGTTTGGCGCTTTTCCTAATTTCCTGGTTTCGAAGCACGGGCCCTGCCGCTAGCGCCTCGTCTACCACGGCTTGCAAACACGAACTTCGATTGACATCCTGTTGCCATCGTCAGTCTGGGACACAGCAATTCTTTCGACCCATTATACCATACCGTTTAAGATCGATACACGACACTATACCTAGGAACTTCCCTTTCTCTGTGCAACAGCTGCTCTTACGACGTTACTGCACGCGATCCAGACCTGCTACAACGACGGAGATTCGCGGCCTGCTTTGACATACGACCTTCACTAGTGCCCATGCCGCAGTTGCAAGTTCCTTTTACAGTAAGAAACCACCAACATGTCTGCCTCACGGTACCCGGAGAACGGCAGATATCCTCGAGACAGGTCCCCGCCCTATCGGGACCGGGATCGAAGGCCATCCAACTTTGGCGGCGGATACCCCCCAAGGGGTAACGAGACCTTCAGACCAAATGCAGAGCCGGGGGCCTTTCAAAGAGAGATTCCGAAAGGTCCCAAATCATCACTTGCTGATGCGTCACGTGGCCCACCGGTGGGTCCACCATCAAGCGCGTCTGCAGCGCCACGCGACGAAAGAGGCCGAGGATTTGCTGGACGTGGTGAAGCAACGCCGTTGCGAACTGCACCCCCATTGAGCAGTGGCCCGGGGTTCCCGCACAATTCTCAAAACTCCTGGAGAGCAGATCGCGACCGAGATCGTGACTTTGATCGGCGTGAGAGACGGCCGACTCCACCAAGGCGGTCACCTATTCGTGACTCAAGAGACCCCCGCGATCAGAGGGATTTTGGGCCGCGAGATCTGGATGTTAATCGCGCCCGACGGAGTTCTCGAGACGGTCCCCCTTCTGCGGGTTCAACCTACTCTGACCCCCCACCTCCTGGTGCGGCATTATTATATCGTGGCGGTGGTATCGGACGGGGGCGAGGTGGCTTTGCAGGACGCGGCCGAAATTTCCACAACGATGACCGGGACAGACATCATGACTCCCGTGATCGCATCCCAGAACGGACATATCGACCGCGGAGTCGGACGCCTCCGAGACGCCTAGAGAGAGATGTCCGGGAAGAACGCGATTTCGACAGGAGAGAGCGCGATGATCGAAGGTTTCCTAGAGAATACGACTCTTATATTGGCCCAGCAGGTGCTGCGAAACCTGGACTGCGGGCACTGGACACACACCGAGGCCCGGGTCCTTCTGATCTGCGGCATCTGCCCGGTACACCTACAGGTCCAACACCGCACTTATCTCATCACGCATCTCCATCCGACAGGCTGGGGCCACAAGGGGATTCCTACTCGAGGCGATCTTCTCTTGCTATTGATCCTCTCTCTGCTAAGGATCCTCGCCGGGAGCCAGGTAAAGACGAGGCTCTTCTAGCTAGCCGTGCAGAAGCGTCCAGAGAGAGATATGCTCCGCGTGCCTCGTCGCCTCCTGCTTCCATCCCAGCCTTCGGCGGATCCAATGTTTGGAGAGCGCCTATCTCGGACAATAAACCAAGCGTTCCTCCAGTAGCGCCATCGAAACTTGTCCAGTCTAATCCTGTTCCTACTAATGCTCCTGTTGCGCCTGCGACTCCTGTCACCCCCGTGAAGCCCGCTGTAGTTCCGACTGCACCAAAGGCGGCGATACCTCCAGGCCTTTCTACCCTACCGCCTACCGGACCAAAAGCCGATCGGGCGCCGGATCGTCCTTTGCTTGCAGATGCACCCAAACAAGAGAACAAAATGGCGCAACCAGCTCCAGCACGTATGGAACCACCCTCTATCCCACCTCCTGCTGCTTCAACTCAGGCCACTGATGCACCAGCCTCAGACATTGTAGCTGCCAAAATTCCAATGTCGCCGCAAATGGCCGCGCCCCCCAAAGCTCCCTCTGTCATGCCACCAGTCCCTCCAACGGCTCCTAATGCGCCGTCGGGTCCAGCAAAATCCCCTCCCCAGGGCCCTGCTCCACGGCCGCGTGCGCCACCTACAGCTCCTCAAGCAGCTCTGCGGGTTAATGTATCGCCCTCGTTCTCCAGGGCGACTTTGCCACAATACGTTCCTCGAGATGCATCTCCCGGTGCGAATGCTTCGGGTTTTGGTCCTCGTGGCGTTAGTGGAGGAGGCTCTGCGATGAATACTTCACCACAAAGTTTGCCCGCGAACATCCCCACAGGTCCGAAAGCTGACCGAACACCAATGGCTCCTAGGCCGCTTCCATCATATCCGCAATCAGACCGGCCTGGCTTTCCTCCAGTCAGAGGCCCATTGAGCGGAGGGCCGAAGAGTATGCAATGGGTGCGACCTGGGTTCAATTCAAATCGACCTTCGGTTCCTACTAAGCGCGAGTTTCCAGCGGAAGATCGTGAACGACCATTTGGCACTGCCCCTAAAGCCCCTCGACTTGAGAACAGTGTCTCGGCAACACAAACCCAAAGAAATTTGCAAGCAAAATCGGTGTCGCCGTCATTCTCACGCATATCAACTGAACCCGAACGGCCAAGAGAACGTGCAGCATCTGCAGAACGCCCTGCGGCGCCCTCGCCCAAGCCTACCCCGATCGAGACTAGGCGGCATTCTGATGTAGTCATGGCGGAAGCGTCACCTCGCATGCCCAAACCACCTATGTCGGCTGCCTCGTCCGCTCCAGAAGCTTTGCAAGACTCTGATGATGATCTTGATCTTGACGAAGACGACTTCGCTGAATCTGAAGCGAAATACAACCGAGAACGGGCGCGTTTGGAAGCCAAGCGGGTTGACTTGAGTGCCCCACACTTACGTGCTACGACACCTTTGCAAGAAATTGTTTTGCTGTCATGCTTAAATGTCGACCATCTTCCACAGACACAGCCAGACGCGGAGCTCGCGGAAGAAATAAACACACCTTTGCCTCAGGAGCAGGAACAGGAACAAAGACAGGAACAAGTGCAGGAACAGTCACATCCCTCACCTGCGCAAGAACTTCCCGTGGAGCCAGTCACTACCCAGCCGCTTCCAGAGAGCATCACGACAGATTTGCCGACACCTAAAGCTGAAGAGTCCGAGGATGTCGAGATGGAAGACAAAGAAGAGACTGAAGAAAGATCGGCCGCGCCTGCAACAATGGCACTTCGTCTGCGACGTGAGACCTCTGCCGAGCAGGAGATCGTACCTGACCTCAGCTCGTTGCCCTACTTAGGATCAGGTCCCCCTACGCCTCTATCAGACATCGGACATGATCGACCTAACCTGTCTGATGATGTCATGAATGCCATCCGCAGCAGGTTGCGCAAGAGTATCGAGCCTGAACTAAACACCGATCAGATACTCGAAAGATACGCAGCTGCATACAGAGAGTGGCGAGTGGCCATTCGTCCGTTGGACGAAGAGCGCGAACAGGATGACCAGGACAGACAGCCATCAGCCGAACCGACACTGAAAGCTGTCACCCCTGACGTACAGAACGCGGCGATGACTGGGATTCTGGATGGTTCGCTGGCACCTACAGGTCGAAGAAGCCATGCAAGTCGATGGGCTACTGAGCTTGATCTGGAGGCCGTCATCAAAGAGTCTCTAAAGACTGCCGAAGAGGAGAAGTTAGGAAAAAACAAGGAACCAAGGAAGGCCATGGCTGATCCTGAAAAAGAGGCTGATCTGCCCTTGGAACTCACCGAGGCTGAGGCTCAGCGGAGAAGATTCATCGACACTAATTTCCAGCGCGAACCTGGCCAAGGAATCTTCGTGTTCCATTACGAACCGCCAGAGGATGACTTTACTCCCGACGAACACCGAGTAATGGTACAAAACTACAAGGATCAGTATGCTAAGAAATGGGGCAAGCTGGCTGAAGTCCTATACAAAGAAGTCGGAACCGAACGTACCTACAAGGACTGTATCAATCACTACTATGCTACCAAATGGGGCAGAGAATACAAGGGCAAACTCCGCAAACCACGGGCTTCTAGGAAACGTGGTGGAGCGGTTGGCCGTGGCCGTGGAGCTATTGTTAACATGGACCGACCCGAAGGACCGGGAGAGGATGGATTGCCTTTGCCTGTTACTGAGACTGGACGACCTAGGCGCTCGGCAGCACCCAAATTTGGCCCAACGGAGATTGAGTTCGATCCGATCACAGGATTACCCATTCCAGGCCGTGCACGCAGGCCCACTGATGCCGACGACACACAAGAGAAGGTTATGCGGCGCGGAAAGTCGGCGAAGGACAAGCTTGGCCGGAAGGCGAAGAACATGCCACTCGCAGCGGCTCCCATGGGTTCGCCTGTCAAAGTTGACCGTAAGGACAAGAACTTGGGAGTCAAGATGGAAGACGATCTTGGCAAACGGCCCATGAGTGATATGCCAATCCCTATGCCCCTGATCCCTATGGAAGACCAAATAATGCTGTCTGGTGATTTACAACAGCTGTCTGGTTTGCCAGGTAGCCTTATGGATCGACCAAAGACACAGCCTGGCGCGAGACCTGGTCCGTCTAGTTATTGGTCCGTCTCCGAGCTACAAGACTTTGACAAGAACGTTGCACACTTTGGCACGGACTGGATAGCAATCGCAAACCACATGGGTACCAAGACGCACACCATGATCAAGAATCAGTATTTGCGTCTCGTCGAAAGTGGCAAGCTAGACTTGGAGCAGGTAGCAAAAGAGGCAGATGCTCGAAGGGAACGAGGTGATGATCTAGGACCACCCCCAACACCGACTCCAGCACCTAAAAGACGATACGAGAGTACACAGGCGGGACCTATCCGCCCCATCGCACCTACGCCCGAACATGGGTCCCCGCCTCCCAATCCGCTTGCGCTCCCCAAAGTATCCCCTCCGCATTCGACCCCCTCTTCAAGGTTTTCCACTATCGCTCAAGCACCTATGCAAAGCAAGCCGATGGTGCCTCCGCCCGGATATCCTGCCCTGCCAGAGACTAGCCTTGCGTCTGTACCCTCAATACCACCACAGCAGTCACCGCCCGCTCCACCTCAACGTACACAACCACAGCATCATCATCAGCACTCCATGTCGCAGCATAAGCCGCAGCCACAGGGGCCACGAGCTGGATATTTCTCGGAGGAGCCTTCACGGTTTGAGACCCGACCACCTTCGCAACCATCGAACAATCAACAACCACATCGACCATTGCAACAGCATGCACCTCCACAGCCTCGCGCACAGGAGCAACACCACTCGCCTCTATATCGTGGGCTCCACTACGCAGAGCGAGAGGGCGTGGGTAGACCCGAAGTTCAGCAGGAACAAGAGAATCAACGCCGGTTTCACGAACACAGGCGTCAGATGTCACAGGAAATGTCACAACACAGACCTTTTGCTCCTGGTAGGGCACCGCCAATCATGCCGCCAGTACGTTCAAACTCTGGATTAAGGTCACCGGAACATCGTCCGTTGCCGTCCTCACATTCCCGGCATCCATCGCAGGCGCAATCGCTCAATCAAGCTGCAGCGGATGTATATTCTCCGAGTCATGGCACTAGCCATGGTGCGCAACAACTGCCGCCACAGTCGACGATTCTTACGCCGCCTGTTAAGGAAGAGCCTAGGAATCCTCCTCCTGTCAGCCTTCCCCCGGCGCAACCCCAAGCGATGCTGCATACACAATTACAACATCCTCAACGTGGTCCACCGCCTATGCAAAATACTCCTCCACCTGTAATATCCAAGCCAGCTGCAGAGCCACGCAAGTCCAACCTGATGTCGTTGCTTAATGACACCGACCCTGAGGAGCCTAGACGTAAGAAGCCTAACGAGCAAGGCCCACCATCGCATACATCTACGCCTCTGCAATCAGCACCAATCGCTCCTCCTCCCACAACGCAAAGCTACTCGTCTTCGTCACGACGTCCACTCTACGAAGATTCCATGGGTGCTCAACCTCCGTATTCTCGTCCATCCTCGTATGCTCAACAATCTTCGCTTCCGAATGCAGCATCGAACAGGCCAATCGATTTGACAGATGATAAGCCATCAGTGAGCAGGCCAAGCCTGCGTGATAGCTGGCAAACACAGCAGCCGTTCCACCGAGGACTGTCCCAGACTCCACAACTCACGTCACTTTCATCGACACCGTCCGGCCTGCCTCAGCCGCCCAATGTTAATGAGAGGATCTTTAGCAATCACCGTTCTGTCTTTGCTCAGCACAACACTCCGCGTCAGAACCCGACACCACCACCTCTTGCCGGCTTCAACAATTCGCCGAACCCGCATTCGCGCACATCAAGCGTAAGTGGACCACCCGGATCGTTGCCTCGACATGGTATCCCGAGTACCACTGCGGCGCAGCATGCGCAAGCAATGAGTGCATCAGCGCAGATTCTGCAGCCAAATCCATATGCCCAGGTTGATCCACCAGGAAGTGGTGTACCGCCATCTGGACCTATGGGCATGCGGCCCAGTCCGCATCTGTCGACAAGCCACATAGCACAACAGAGAGACTCATCTGGACGCAACGACCACTCCCAGGCTTCGAACGCAAATTTGTCGTACTCAAACCCGCAAACGCCTAACGAGCATCCAGCTCATTCTTTCCAAGGATTAAGCAGACTGACTGAGCCCTATCGTCCTCGCGATCCTCGTGATGCCCACGATTTTGATCCTCGCCACTCGGATCGCGACACGAGTCGAGAGCTATCTCAAAGGACTGAATATCTACGTGAACAACTTTCCAATCCTGCTTTACGTGCGACAGGTCCCCCAATGCACGAAGATATGCGATTCCAGCCTCAAGATCGAGGGTATCTCTCTCAACGCTCACAGACTCCGCTTTCTAGGGCTGAGCATGGCCAACCTCCACCTTTGCAGCACCCTCCGCACTCGTCGCTTGGTGTAGCAAACCACTCGCTCTACGGCCAACGTCCTACCGAGGAGCCACACCGATTCATGCGCGATCCTCGTGATCGCAGCATGACAGATCGTATCCGCGAGGAACAAGCCCAAGCTCAACACCAGGCAGCGATGAACCGTGACGAGCACATGCGAAGAGAAGCTGAGCGAGATGTGAGGGAACGGGAGATGCGCGAAAGAGATGCACGAGATGCGCATTACAGGGATAGCATCATGCGAGGAAGAGCAGAGATGAGGGGTCCGCCGCCACCACAAGTACCTAGCTCAGGACCGGGATCCATACATGATCCACGGCCACCTGCAGGGCCTATGGACTGGGTAAGCGGAGTGCGACATCCGCAAGATCGTGGCCCATGGCAGCGATGAGCAGTCGACTCAATACGGGAGTTTTCGGACATTCCAAGCTCTACGCATATATTTTCTTTTGTGTGTTGATAGATAGCCTAGCGTTTCTGTGTCATGTTTCTAGACGCCTTGCTTTCTGATGTTTGTAAGAGAAAAGGACGACCTTGATACTGCGCGGTAGTCATGCTTTGGCGTTGGGTGGTATTCGTTTTGCGTTGCTTTTGTTATACCAGAGCGAGTGATTGGTGCGCAGAAAGAGAAGGCTTTTTGAACTTTTATTGTAGAAACTTGTAGTGTATTATACGTAGCTGTCAAGCTAATTGCGAAATGTTTGAACGAACGTCTGCATGTAGCCTTGCAAATGTGAACGTGTACTAGTCCCGAGTTTCTTGGATGCACTGCAATTGCTAGCGTTGAGGAACAGTTCCGATGACCTGAGAATGGGGTCGAAAGTCTATCAACGCTTTTCGACCCCTTGCACTGCAATCTTAGCTTGAATGATCGGCCATTTCTTCTACAGCAAGGCTGGCGATAAGTCTTCGACCGACCAATAATGTCCATGACATCTTTCAGTTCGCGGTATACAACCAATCGACAGCCTGAGTAGAGAAGTAAGAAGGTGAGAAGGCAAAAGAATGCAACGAGTTTGCACTGCGATCCTTAGCGCAGACGAGTAGACGTCTTTCTTCTCATTGGTACGTCCTTATATCATAGTCGATCGAGCTTCCAGGCTAATGTGCTGACTGCATGCGCCACTTTGCCTACTTTGTGGCGCGGCGGTTCGCAAACTCGCACTGCAATCTCTAGCGCGGAAGAGACGATTCTTGGAGGCTTTGCAGTAAACGTGACGAAATCTGGTCCAATCATTATGACGCTAACATTTATGCCACTCTTCTCAGCCTTTCCAATAGAAACACGTTTTGATTTACGTATGGTGCATGAAAGAGCTGAGTTGTGCATTGAAATCTCTAGCGTGGACGTCGAGGTGTTCGATATCTTTTCTTGTGCGTGGGCCAATCATTGTCGTATCTACATGTACCTTCTTACGTTAGGTTCCCGCCGCCATGGTCAGGCCCACTGCATTCCGATCCCTAGTGTAATTGAGGGGCTCAGTGTTTAATTAGGATTGGCACAGTCTGAAAGATTTGGAAAGTGTTTGTTTCACGAAGGAGCTGATAATGGTACGTTCAGATTGACGGCCATGGGTTGGCAGATATGTGCATCACGTTGGTGACAGTCGAGACTAGAAGATTCTACTCGAAACAGATTGGCGAGACGAACATCTTGATATCCTGCAGGGTCACAGGAGTGCATATACACACTAAGTGACAGCAAGAGAACCTCCCTCCCTCGATGATGTAGACACTGAGCAGTTTTACCAAAAGTTAGTGATTTTTCAACCCGCCTACATCTCAACGGCGATAAGCCTCCGCAACAACCCCATCCCACTCATCCTTCAGATCATCCTCCAAGCTCCCGCCAGACACCCTCCTACCCTCAAACCCCAAGTCACTGACACCCGGCACCTCGTACAGACACCCATCTATCGTTCCATCTGCGAAGAAAGTCATAGTACCGGTGCACTTACGACCAAACGTCAGCTGTCCGGTCCTTAGATCACGAAGACGCCAGCCAAGCGAACAAGGTTGACCTAGACTATCGGAATCACTAGGACCAGGATTCATCTGGATGATACTGTCCCAAGCGCCCCAGCGGAATGTCGCCCACCAGATGCCACGGGAGGAATCACGAGCGAGAGTGAGGTCAAGGTTGTAGTCGTTGAAGGTGGAGCTCACAGTTTCGCAGGAGATAGAGTATGTACCGCTGAGGAGGAGAGAGGGCTCGGGCTGGTAGTAGTTCTGGTACGGGGCGGACTTGTTATAGGGAGAGGAACGCATTGACTTTGCGTCGTACTGCTCTTGCTTGGCGCGAGGACGCGAAGGGCTTGATGACGGTACTGAGACGCGGTCTTCTTGCTTGACAGTGTAGGGAGATCGCTTGGTGACAAGTTCCTTCTTGATGGGTGTTTTCTTTGGCACTGGCTCTTTCTTGACTCTTGCTGCTTTCTGTGGCGTCACTATCGGACTGGAGACATTGCTATTGACGCGCTTAGGTTTGGCTGGCGACGGCTTCTTAGGGGTGATTTGGCTCTACTGCTGCGCATCCATATACTGGTCATATGATAGTCCTCCTGAGGCCAAGGTTAGGTTGACTATAGTATAGTGTCAGCACCGTTGAGACATCTAGGATTTATAAGCCTACCAGAGACGTTAACAGTGCTAGCTATGCTTCCTTGAGCACTACCAATGCTTGGATCACGAGCAACGCTCGACTTAGTCGCCTTCTTGCTCATCACACTACCACCCTTCTTCAGTTTCCTGTTTCCTGCTTCCCACTCTGCTCTTAGTTCGCTCTCTACTTTTAACACCCACACAGATACCTCAAGCTTAAGCTGATTCATGGCATTGAGGAGCCGCACTTTTGCCGCGTTCTTGTCCTTCGTGACCGGCAATCCGTAGTGAATGAGCTGGGCTGAATAGAAATGCCACACCTGGTCTTCCATTGGTGTCGCAAATTCAGGCTTTCTACCCTTGCTGTAGAGATTGGGCGCTTCCGAACGGAGGAGAACCGCGAGCTCGGCGACACTGGCGCGCGCGTGGTGATGCCCGCCAGGGTCTGCGTAGAGGATGGAGGAGTAGAGGAAGTCGTCGCGGCGGGCTGGAGGGGCAAATGTCGCCATGTCTTTGCTGTAATAGGGGCCAAATCAGGTTGCGATTTGTCAAGCAGATAGTGTGGAGAAGGGGTATCCGAGAAGGTGGGGTTGTAAATTGGTGGAGCGGATTTCGCGAGCCGACCGAAGGTTAACAGTGAATCTATAGTCCGTGCTTAGTCAAAGGAACATCCAGGACTCACTCCCCTACACCCAGAGTGTCCCTGACGATTCTCATGCGATTGATGAACGAAAGAGCATATGATACTGGTAGCCCGATTTGGCCACTGGCTAGTCCATGCATCCCAACCTGATCCTCGCTCTAGTTGTCTTCTCGATTTCGCATTCTCTCTTGAGACTGGATAAGTCGATGTAAATACGCGGAAGTGAACCTTGCTGAGGTAGTGTTTTGCAATGATAGCAGACTGAAGCCGATACGTTGGCAAACTTAACCAAGACATCTCTGGATTTGCCCAGCGTGGACCAAGAGATTGTAGTCATGGTATGCTCTCAGCTCTGCCCAAGCCTCAAGAAGCAACCTTATATCTAGCTTGTCGTCTCCTACTTAGCCCTTGACATCAGCCTCCCTTTCATCCTTCGCTACCTTAGCTTTTGTAGGCGTTGGACCTATTTGACCTGCTACTCCTTTTTGTAGAGCCTCCGCCTTGTCGAGTTTCTTCTCGGTCTCGACATTACCACCCTTGTGTTCGTGGATGTTGCAATAGTTGCAGATCCCTTCTTGAGCCTTCGTACTGTTGAGCCTTTTACTGGAATAGAAGTTGATATAATATCAAGCAAGAAGGAGTCTAGGAGCTTGCTCACTGCTGATTTAGTCGGCTTGTCACTTGAGCGCAGTGCATATGTTTTGGCTGCAAAACAGAAAATATGTGATAAGGAAGGTAGTGTTCCGTAAAGCTCCTCAATGATATGACGTGACCAGCTAATCGCTTTGCTGTTATGATAAGTGTGGTAGGTGTTAGGACGTGGTGGTTCGCTCCATCATGTGACCTCCAGTATTGCGAGTATAAGTAGAGATACGAGATCGTAGCTAAGAAGGTAGCGATTTGTCTATTTAACATAGACAATACAATATAACTCTACTATATCTTGCACTCTGTATCATCGAATAGTAATAAGTCTAACAGTAGGCTGTGAGTTCGACAAAAAGGATCATCGTGCCTCGTCGTAACTCTGGTGCATCGTATACATCGGCAAAGCATAAAGACGGATGAACGTTTAGTGATGGTTATGCTCACGCTCAAAACGATACTCTTGTACTTTCTTGACTTGTACTGAAACCTGTGATGATGTTGCTTACTTTTCCTATCGATCCAATCAGCAGAGGATGACCAGCTTTTGGTTACGGTTGCAAGTTGGTCGGCGTCAGTCACCACTTTATCATCTCGAAAAGTTGGTGGCCGTAAAGAATAATTCTTCAATCAACTTCTCCGGACATCTTTTGCCGCTTCTTGGTTCATTTCAGCAGTTCTTGGGCAAGCGGGTGGACTGTCCGTAGAGCCAACATCGGAACAACTTCATAGTTGAAGTGGTCACATCTGGAAGGTGAACGATTTACTCCTCAGATTCGCGAAGCTTTCATCGGAATGCCCCAGCAAATCATGGTGAGTAAGGAGATAGTAGTCCCCTACGCATCATCAATGTCTGCTTGTCCCTATGTTCGGCACCCCAACGTTGATCGCGACGAAAGCCTGGCCCAAAGCTCCGTTGTATACATTTAGCCTGCGATCAACGATCGATGTGCGTGCTGTTCACATCCAATTGAACATGTGGGTGGCTGGGAGTCAGATGCGCATTTGGACTGGACACGTACAGTAAAGCCGGCCTGTTGCGCCTCAACGTGGTGGCTGGGGACAATTCTGATGCCTCTGTCATGACGATCGCAGTCTACAAAAATTGAACCGGAATTCTTAATTCGCAATCAGAAGACAAATTGCCATGAAACATGCACATGCGACAGAAAAGCAAGGACGAACGGGGAAACATCCACCGGTCAAGAAGGGCTGCGCTAAAATCGTTAGCGCGTAAGTTCACGACCCGAAATGAGCATCAACTTCAGCACCTTGTAGACTTCAGAACGACATCTAAGACTCGGACAGTCCGACTTGGTCATGGGAGATATACATGTCGGCTATTGATGGCTAAGCACGTCATTGCAAGATCACTACCATGATCCGTCCTCAAGCTAGCATATCCAACTTCCTCTTAGAGAATGAATGACAATCAAGACACACTTCGCCTCTATTTTCTAATGAGCCCGGAGTCTGCACCCTGTATCGCGTGCGAGTGATTGGCAATCTAACATCTACTCTCGCGACAACCTTCGCGCACCTCTCTCCTATACAAAGACACACTGTAATTGCGACTGCAACGTAAGCGGCAAAAAGACGCACAAAGAAACTACTCGAGAAGTCGCCGCGTAGTCATCGAACTGAGCCGAGGTAGTATCGCTATGTCGAAAAGAACAATGATAAGCAACTTACACTACCTTAAGCGATAGCAAGCTACAGCCACAGAATCATCTTACACACAACCACTCACAGACCGCGCGTTATCCTCCCGGACAAGTATACATGGTATCCCTACAACCGGCGATACAAAGTCCCGGAAAGATAAAACATGCGGCATGAGCACGCCGCACCCGTAAGCGTACCACGGAGCATGCCTACACACGGCAGCAACGTTCCCGTGAAAAGAAAGCACTCGAGCATACCCAAGGGCACTTCTTCGTGCTTTCTAGCGCGGGACTACGCATGCACCTTGTCTTTTCTTTCCACTTCGCGCTGCACAATCATACGATATGGTGGGACTATGATCAGCATATTAGCGAGGTGTACCAGTCGGCAGCCCTCCGAACAGGTGCTCTCACCATGGCTTTTTAGCGCAATGGTACTTGCTCAAGTGTAAAATATAGCAACTTCAGAACTGTAGATCACCGATTAGCGAGGCGTACCACTTAGTTACCCCTCCAATCCACCGAGTCTCTCCAATGCTCTACACTCATACCACCAAGTGTCCATATCTTCCAGATGGCAAAGAACACACCGCACCCAACTAGCAAGTATGCACTAGTTGTAGACATGACAGAATATAGCAAAAGAATCAGGCAGTGCTTACAGACAGTAGTATCCATTAGCCAATCCCCAGAACTCCGAGACCGCGTCAGCAAAGCCAACTCCTACACTACCATCACCATCCACAGCCACAAGATCTACAGCATCAGCATACAATCCCACCGCCATCTAAAAAGCCCATATCCACATCCCCGCCACCCACGTGTCCGTCGTCCAGAAACCCACCATCAAAACCCTATCCCCACTCATCCACACACACACCACCCGCACAGACACCGTTCACGCGAGCCAGCAAAGAGACATGTGTATGTGTGTATGTGTGTGTGCCTCTCTCCACCCCAGCCTCCGCTCCGATCTTGTCCGACAAGCCGCAAGCGACCCATCAGTGAGTAGCACGGCCCTGGAATCCTCAAGTCTTGCTTGCGGCACGGTGCAGCTACGGCACAGCAAATCCCTGGCATGACATATAGCACATGTACGGCGCAGTAGTTCTGAAACAAGCGCGGTGGCCATAGATGACGTAAACAACACAGGCAAAGCAGGCAAGGCAAGGTAAGTGAGATGTTGGGTTAAGCAGGGATGAGAGGCACGTGAGACGGAAGTGTGTGGGATGGTTGTTGGTAGGACGATCTATGGGGCTCTGCTCATATGCATGAGGTGGATGTTGGCATGATGATATGATGTTGTGCTGTGATGAGATAGGGATTCGACATGTTGATCACAAGCATGATGAGATGCGGTGTTGTTTCATCTTGAGTGTTACTTGATGAGGGCATTGATGTGACGTAAATGAGAATACAATGCAGACTGAAATGGGTGTTGACGATGATGATTACTGTGAGCGAAAGGGAAGGTGAGTGTCACGGCAATAAAGATGATGTTGCAGTTATGCGATTTGCATTGAGTTCCAGTATTATACACACGCCACCTCTTCGAAGAGGACAAACGTAAACCAACAAGCCACCTGCATATCCGCGAAAGATAAATCTACAACGATATGCGTGTGCGTGCGCTTCAAATGGTATCCAAGCTTCCCAGTCCACCATCAAACAACTTTTGCTACAAAGCAAGCCATGCCGCCAAGGATATATCCATCAACAAGCGCTGAGCAAGAGATTGGAGAAACAGGAAAAAGAAAAGTGAAAGAAAAAACGTGAAACGATGAGACGAAAAAAAAGAAGGGTACTCATGTTCGTAGTTGTTGTGTCGTCACCCAACCCTCGCGAAAAAAGCCAAAAGCCGGTGGTATCACACCATCCCCTAGCTCCGAGGGTTGGAAAGAGAAAAAAGTAAATGCAGCGCGGACATCGTAAATGTGTGCCGGTAACAGAAGAACGGACATCGGTCTAAGAGGATTAAACGCGAAGTGGGACAAGAAGATTGAACAAGAAAAAACAGCAGACTGGTATCCTTCTAGATGGCTGCGCCCTTGATTGCGCCGAAATGCTCATTTCACGTGTGTAATGTCGTGATAGGGTATGCTCAGTAGTGGCTGCCGGCCATGAGGCTGTGTTGTGGTGGCGCCATGGTCATACCAAGCCCTGGGCCGGGAATGTCGTTGATGGAGTGCGATAGGCCGAGGTACTCGTTGCCAGACTCTGGCGAAAGCTCATCTTGAAGCGAGTTAAGGTGGTCATCCTCGCCATCAAGGTCTTCTTCGTCTTGGTAATCACTCAGCGGCTCGCCGTCAGCGCGGGGCTCGTGTGTGCGACGATGTCTGATGAATTAATTAGTATGCGGTTTCTGGTTGGATGCTGGCAAGGGCACTTACTGGGCGAGGTTGTCTGAGCGCGAGAAGGCCTTGTTGCACAACGGGCAAACGTATGGTCGTTCTTGTGTGTGGGTGCGTACGTGTCTAAGCGCCAGGGTCAGCGTCTATGCAAAACAACAAAAATAGTGGAGATGCAAGTGACAATGTAGTACAAAAATAGAATGATG